AGGTTCAAGGTCAAGATCGGACTCAATTCCTATACCAGTGTTTAGTTCCCAGCCTATCTCTTGAGCTTTGTATGCTGCTGTATGCACAGCCGGGATGCCGGGTTCAAGATGTGCTCTACCGGTGAGCCTGTCCGATGAAACAGGTATCATTTGTACTTCGTTAGTTCGAGGTTGATCATTCGCAGTAATTGGGGAAGATCCTGTCTTGGTATCTTCAATCTCTTTGATCGTCTTTGAGCCTTCTGCCGCGATATCGCGACCTGCGTCTAGGAGGTCCTTGTCTCCTTCGGCAGTGGCTGGTGTGGCGAGCTTAAATTTGTATTCGCTGACCCGGTCGAGTATGTAATTGAACAACTTCTCTGATTGTTGATCTCGTTTGTTGTCAACGGGTCGTCCAGTAGAATCGTAGATTGTGGTTTCAGACTTCAAAGCATGATAAGGCAATGCAAGCTGGCCTCGGACGATAATGTTGAGAGGGTTGCCCCGATCGAATCCAGTAATGATCATACCGCCCATTTCCGCAGTATGTCGGCTTCCATAGCTCAGAGTGGGATATTGTGGCTTGGTTTTGAAGGGGCGAGAATACACTCTGCCACCAATTCTGTCTCTGCCCTCCAAGACCATCACTTGTGGAACTTCTTCGCCCATTTCACGGAAGCGGTCCTCGAACTGAGAAAGAAGGCTTTCCAGTTGCCTTGCACAACCTAGGCCAGACATGCCAGCTCCAATGACAGCAATGGTCTTTCGCTTTTGTTTCGTCGGTCTCTTTTTCTTGCCAGTAGCACTGGACTCTTGATGTTCTAGGCAGCCATAATTGATGTAGCCTCGTCGTACCAGCCACTCATGGCAGATGGCTGCAATATCAAACCAGCGAGTGTCTTTTGCACATCCAATGGCTTCATCTCTCATCACACCAATGAGAGGATTTCTTGTCCATAGCCTCAAGATTCCATTCCGTATGTTAAGGTAGGTCGTGACTTGTTGGTGCGTAAGGTGTTTCCGTAAGATGGCATGTTCTTCCACATGCATGCTATAGGGGTTCAGACGAGAAGACTCGGCGGCAGCTATACATTGTCTTGCATACTCGGACGGAACAATGTCAGTTGGTATTGAGACCTTAGGGCGCACATTATATTTAGGACGCTTTCCACCTTGTGAAGCCCCCTTTGTGGTTTCCCTCGTGCTAGCCTCGAAGCCCGTTGGAGACGTCGCCTTGCTCGATATCGATGACAGGACCGAGGAACCATCTTCGAGATCCGTGGTCATTGAGGAGGCCATAGAGTCGCGTGCGCTTTCAGGTCTCAGGTGCACGTTGTTATTTGATGCTGATTTATGAGAAAGAGCGCTGCGTTCAGGTGGTTAATAAACTTTACTTGCAAATTGTCCAATTGCTGAATAGGAGATGAAATGCGAAAGTTTAACATGACTCGGAAAGAACGATTGATACAGATACATACTTTTTGATATTGATATTGCGAGCTGGTGACTTTGACTGCCCAGGTTTAATGTGGAAGTAACTTTCTGGTTGTAACTTCCTTGAATATATCATATCCATGGGTGAATCAACGACTATAGTGGTAGTTGTTTGTTCATTTGTGGAGTTGAAGTCGGTATAGCCAACTGTTGAAGTCGCACCTGGCGTTGACGAATCTCGCCCAGGGTCGAACATTGATAGATGGGAGTCTAATTCTTGGAACCCCATCAAATTCAGATCCTCGTGTTGCGACATTTGGCCGTCCATTGTCACTGCCATGTCAAAAACTTCAAGTCCTGTGACTTTTCGAGAACACTTCGAGATATATGGCCGTCGGTTGAGGAACGGGGGTCAGTGCTGCTAATCGAATTTCCCTTGACAGCTCATATTATCACTTATCGAACCAGTTCCTCAGATGCCATTGGGCGGGCTAATCGAATGCTCCTTATTAAGCTATGAAGAAACATTAGCAATCCCTTCAACGCACTTGATATTGATATATGTATCACCACGTGGATTCGTCTCACCTGGAGCTTTCGATGTCCAAGTCCTCCTTTCGCCACCCTGATATCCCACACCCAGCTTTATATGAGTCCCAGCCAGTATTATCATCGATCGCAAAGGAACCGTATCCGCTCAGAAGACTCGAAAGGATTCGTCGGGTTGTCGGGTCGTACGATATGGGTCTTTCATGGCTCCATGAGATTCTCGGCCCAAATAATGAGATGCGACCATAGCGTAGCATCACGTGGACGATTTGGCGACGCCGATTTTAGCTAATGCGGAGCTTCTTCCGACGTCTTACGGCTCTTAAGCATTTACATTGGACATCTCATTGTTTATTTCTTCGTTTGTTTTTACATTTACAAGTCACTCTACTAAATTACGAGAGGCACTTTAAAGCCTGTGCAGGTTTGTTAATTGGAACAAGAACCGATGTCTATACACCGGTCTTTCCAAACGTACTTCTTTCAATCGCAGCATCCAAAATTCGATTCCCGCTGATGATTGAGGTTGTGCAGATGATTATATCTTTTCGGGCTGAATAGAGAGAGAATGATTAGCGGTTTGCAATTGAATAGAGTGGTGTTGACATACCCTCTTCCTGCTTTGCGATGAAACGGAGAGCGGCAATTTCAGTAAAGGTAATTCCGCCCAAAAATACCACGAAAACAGTCTTCTTCTCACCGCTACCTGTGAGGAGAGCTCGAGCTTTCACAGCCTTATCCTCTCCTTTCTGGACCTCGTCAAAAGTTTGCCCGCAGACGTGCTTGACAACCTCCTCAAATCCTCGCCACCCTTGCGAAACGCCTCCTGTAGCGACAGCAGTATTCGCATTCCCGCCACGAGTAATCGAGGTTAGATATTGTTTCTGCAAGATGCATTGGACTAAGCGGACGGACAGCGGTGCATATCCGCTGTATACATAAGCAATGTCATTTGGATCGTGTTCATTCACCTCGTCCACAATCAAACGAAGAGCTTTGCGTAGATATGTGTAATTAGTTTTAGTACCCGTATGATGATGCGACGCTCCTCCTGCCATCGGAATCATGGTTGCCATTGGCGAAGTTCGTGAAAGAAGTAGTTGTAGCTTTTCTAGAGCGTCGAGCGTAAGTATGTGTTGATATCCGTAGGCTTGTAGGATCATTTTCTTGAAGCTTTCCAAGTCTCGCGGTTTGATACCCCCGGAAATGCAGGACTCCAAACACATGATTCGTAGAACTTCTGCGAGAGGGGCATCTCGAGCTATAAGCTCTTCAATTGCTTCGTGTTGGGAGGAGGGATCTGCGCCAGCTGCGAGGTTCTGCTGGACCTCCAGCAGTCTGCCAAATTGATCAGTCCGTGTATGCTGCATAATAACTTCCGCAAGCCCGGTATGAATCTTTAGGCTTTGTTGTTCGGCTTGGTAGCCGGGAAGTTTGTTGACGAATTCTCTCAATTCGGCTGTTGTCTTGCTCCCATGCCTACTATCGTAATCGGTTTGGAGTCGTCTAGCCACTTTGTTCAGCAGACTCCCAACAATAGCAAAATTGGTGTCCCTTAATTGATGATAAAGTTTGTCGGAAGAATCCAGCATTATCTTTCTCTTTTTAGCTTGCGCTGGTGCCGGAGCTCCACCGACAGCTTTCGAGGACCCTGGCGCAGGCTGAGGAGCAGCACCGACAACCGAGGAATCTACATCAGCTTGATTGTGCTGGATCCCTACAACTTCGTCAATCAATCCCTCGTATGTTAATTGTGTGAGAAGCGGGGTAGCAGAGTCGACCTCGCGATCGATGACAATCAGGCTTTCGATCGTGGTACTAGGTGTCAGACCAAGTTTATTGCTTTCATTCGAATCTTCGCCCGCGATCAATTCTTGTCGCATCCTTGCCAACAAGTCTGCGAGTCTCTTTGCATTATCTCCCTTTCCAGTGATTCTTGGGAACAAGCCATGCTTTTGTTGTATAAGCATCAGAGCACGTGCCAGTAAGAATGTTGGTGTTGGATCTTTTCGAAGATACAGGTCTGCGAACGAGTCTTCCAGTTCTAGCGATAGTAGGTCCTTCTCTAAGGGAAGAAAGTACAATGGGAATTCTGCGATGCTCGTGTCTCCTAAGACGCCGGATTCTTCGAGGATCTTTTCGGCTACAAGGGTTCGTCGTGGCACCCAAAATATAGAGAATTCATGTCCGGTTTGGCTCTCCCGTTGCATACGCTTGATATGGTCTAGAAGGAGTCAGCATGTAATAACAGCATCACTCTTACATGATAGGATGGCAGAAACACTAAACACCACACCGCATGAATAGTTTTCCCCTTCGGGCTCAAAGAGTGACCAAGTAGAGTAGGGAGATTTGTCTACTCAGCCCACTTCGAGGGGCATCGAATGTATAAAAGTCTGTGAGTGAAAAACGAAGGCTCAGAATCCACGTACCGGCTATTGACTGAGCATGCTTTGCACACTCGCCCCGAGCGATAAATATCACATTTCGCTGACTGACATCCGCGTTTCCATTCTCCAGGAGGAAGACTTTGTCCACCCCGTAGTCTTGTAGAGTCGAGAACTTGACGAAGAGGCCAATTGGTCCAGCCAGTGCCGTCTCAATCACCAGATTCTTCTTCCCTCGGACCTGTTGAGGGGCAGGTTAGCGGGTGCCTTGCCTGCCTTGCGTACCTAGGTACCTGTGCAAGTGAGCGAGGCAATCCTTACTTACACCTTCGAGTAAGTACAGAAGATCCTTCTTCGCCTTGTCCTTCACCTGGTCGGTGTCAAACCCAGCATGAGGAGCCATGGTGAGCTCTACATGCGGGTGTTGATGTGTAGAATTCCAGTCGAAGTTGGGAGGGGAGTACGCGGGCGGCTGTGGTGGAGAGAATGGCTGCGGGTCGGAAGCAAATCTAGCGAACCAAACCGAAATCCTTCAGCCTCGCGAGAATTATGAGTGTGAGTGTGCCCGCTTCCACAAGCACCAATGACTCAGAACTTTTGAGAATTTGACCCCAAACCCCACCAAAACCCATTTAGTTGATGTGAGAGTGAATGAAGGCCATACAACCACACTTGTCCAGATCTGCGAGATCACTACGACTGTTGCGACCTCCAAAACCATTCCGAATCCCACCATCAAAGGCTGCATTCTCCAGTTCTGCACCTTTGTCGAGAACAGTAACAGGTTTCATACAGAGGGACGGGAATCCAGCAGACATGGCGCCAAAAGGCCAAAAGTTCGACTTGAAGACGCCCAAGGGCACGAAGGATTGTGAGTGCCTCATTTTTTACCCGTCTACTGCGTATGTTTACTAACGCGCAAACAGGGCAGGGACCGGATATGGTGATTCGAGACAAGATCTTCTCTACCATCACAGAGGTCTTCAAGCGTCACGGCGCAATTACAATTGATACCCCAGTGTTTGAGCTGAAAGACATCTTGTCTGGGAAGTACGGCGAGGACAGCAAACTCATATACGACCTAGCAGACCAAGGAGGTGAGATCTGCTCCCTGCGCTATGATCTCACAGTTCCATTTGCAAGATGGCTTGCCATGAACAGAGATATTCAACAAATCAAGAGATACCACATTGCAAAGGTGTACCGACGAGATCAACCGGCAATGACGAAGGGGCGCATGAGAGAGTTCTATCAGTGCGACATTGATATTGCTGGAGTGTACGATCCTATGTTGCCAGATGCAGAGGTTATACGAATCACTACGGAGGTCTTCGCAGGTCTGGGCTGGCAAGGGGAATATACAATTAAGCTGAACCACAGGAAAGTATTGGATGGAATCTTCGAGATTTGTGGGGTACCGGCAGATAAGATACGCACGATTTCTTCTGCAGTCGACAAATTGGACAAGTTACCATGGGCTGAAGTACGCAAGGAAATGACGGAGGAGAAAGGGTTGGCAGCAGAGGTTGCAGACCAAATCGGCGAATACGTGGTATTGAAAGGCCAAAAAGACCTGCTCGGCAAACTACAAGCAGACGAAAAACTAATGGCCAATGCGTCTATGAAAGCAGGTCTTGCGGAGATGGAGCTACTTTTCACATACTTGGAAGCTTTCAATGCTTTAGAAAATGTCTCGTTCGACTTGAGCTTAGCACGTGGCCTCGACTACTACACTGGCCTCATCTACGAAGTCGTTACTGAAGGCTCTGCCCCTCTTGCAAGCGTGTCTGTGGCTACTGCGGCACCGCCAAAGCCTTCAAAGAAACCATCCAAGGCGGGCGCGGACTTTGACGAAGATCGCTCTTCAGATCCAAGTGTTGGAGTTGGCAGCGTTGCAGCTGGTGGTCGTTATGACAACTTGGTGGGGATGTTTTCTGGCAAGAACCAAATCCCTTGTGTTGGTATCTCTTTTGGTGTTGATAGGATTTTCTCCATCACCAAGGCCAGGATGGCCAAGGAGAACGCCGAACAAGTGCGGAGTAACGAAACCGATGTATTTGTTATGGCGTTTGGTGGGAAGGGTTTTACCGGTTTAGTGAAAGAGAGACTTTCAATCTGCTCGAAGCTATGGGAGGCAGGGATCAAGGTAAGAGACTATCAATGCCTCGATATCAACATATTCGCTAACAATACATTCTAGGCCGAGTTCCTTTACAAAGTTAAGCCAAAATTACCAAATCAGTTCAATGCTGCCGAAAAGAATGGCTGCCCATTATGCGTTGTCATTGGCGAGGAAGAAATGGCTGCCGGTAAGGTCAAGATCAAGGAGATGGGTCTTCGAGACGGCCACCCCGAAAAGGAGGGCGTACTCGTCAATTTGGATGACTTGGTTGCGGAGGTACGGCAACGAATCAAGCGAAAGTCGACTCTTGATCAACTGGCACAGGAGGCATCAGGCTTGAAGGTTGTGGGTGGTATTCATGGCGAGTCCACCAAAGAAATCAAAGAGGGCACCGCAGAAACAGAGAAACCTGCCGAGGAATCCGCTCAATCAGTAGAGGTTATAGAAGCTGTACCTGCTTCATGATCCAATTAAATAACTTTTAGATGTACAAATAGATGCATATTGGCATTGCTTTCTGGCGTCATTGGCACAGCGGAAAATAAAAGCTTATTTTTGGTTCGATCTTGAGATGAATTGGGGGTTTCGATCTGCCAATCTGGCACGGCTAATCAAGGTGCTGTTCCTGTCCAAAACATCTCCAGATATTGCGAACCCTGGGTTGCCCATTTTCACGAATCGGTACCACGATTTGCTGGTGAGACCTTTCGCCGCATGAACGCCATGAACGACAATCCGATGATGGGTGGGAAGTGGGAAGTGGCATGCTATTGGCTGCAAATATCCTACACGAGACTCACTCGCATTTCTTCTTTTCCACGCGCGTATCCATGAGACTCATCGGCCTTAGTGTGAAAAACATACTCACCGCCAGCGAGTATCTTCATATTTTCCTTTTGCAGAGTCTGGTCTGCCTCCAATTCTGCTCTGGATCCTCACATTTTGACTATCACTGAACTATTTTCAGCCGTTATCGCCGGCTATACCATATTTGCCAAACTACAGAGGTCTGAGGTAGATTTGTATGCTTCCTCCTCGTCCTTCACACCCTCGGATTTGAAACAATACCCGTGCAGCTTTCCATGTCTCAGACTCTCAGGTCTTTCGGGTACACGGCGTGGGGTTCTACGTATGCTTCACGGAGGATTCTTTGCGCACAGGCAGGCGCTTTGACACTTTGAAGAAACAATGTTAGGCCGTGCAGCGCATGGACCACAGAACTTCCCAACCTCCCACATCAATGCGCGTTTTTTCGGCCGATGATAACCAAGAGTGTCTTAAGACGAACCCTTCCCATGCTATCAAGTGATAGGATATCTGTTTGACCGGGGTTCTACCCCCTTGGTAACGATATGTTGCAGGGTAGAACTCTGCTTTTGCCCTGGAGCTTTTGTGGTCCCCTGAGACCTTGCATCTTCACTTTTCGTGCTGATCGGCCGGTATATATCTAGAACTGCGCAAACGTTCAGCTTCTTTTCCTCTACTCCTCTTTTGCGTCTGATTTCTGTATGAATCTATGCTTATATTCTCTTCTGGCGCTCAAAAGTTACATGTAACTCAGTGAGTATACATTTGATGCTTAAGAACACCATCTACGACCCCGCCTTTTCTGTTACGCAAATTCCATACGTTTGCTACTTCAAATTGATCAATTTCGGCGAATTTCACTTCAGCTTTTTTGACAAAATTCATGCTTTCGGGGTGCGGGAAGCGGCAGATCCATTCCCGACCGCAATCGCAGGTGTTATTGGAGTACAAACGAATACAATACAGTTGTAGTCGTAAAGAAGAAGCAATCGAAGCACGATGGGGCGTCTCATTCCTCTTGTCCTGAATCAGGCCTCAGAAACTACTTCCAACCGTTTTTTGTCCAATCCACACTCCGGTCCCCCAGCTTTCGAGCTTCCGCCCGTTCCAGCCAGGTCCAAGAAACGCCGTCCTAGCCCTATAGCGGACTTGACAATAGTCCCGTATACTTCTACGGAGTGGAGGAAGGCCATGGCGGAAGTGAAAGAGCTATACGATAAAAGACAGTATAAACAATGTTCAGCCAGGTGCAAAGAGCTATTTGATAATGTCAAAGACTCAGTAAGTAGTTTTTCAAGTCAAAATCTTCTGTGCAGCGTTGGCGCGGAAATATACTCAAGAATTGAATATTGTTATGAGAATGCGAATCTTCTCGTGGACATTTATCTCTACTGGATATTCAAGCTGGTTCGAAATAGGGACTTGTGTTTACTTATACTTCCCAACCCAAATTTCATATAAGCTAACGAGCACTTAGTACGAAATCCATCCCATCTACTCTATCTACGTCGCCTTCTACGCCGCCAGCTCCTTTGAACTGACTGCCCGCTCCCTCCATAACAGCACCAGGACCAAGCTCCCCCTCTTCCAAGAAGCCCTCACCTTCTACGAAAAAGCAGAATCCTACATACAATACGCCATATTAACTCCCGACCCGTACTCCTCAAAACACAACTCCACCAGCTCCTCCATCCGCTCTTCCTCCTCCTCAATCTTCTCCCAACTATCACTACCCCCAAGCTCCTCCACCGCATCCTCAATCCTCGACTCCCCCACCTCCTTGGCCTCAGAATCAGACTCAGTAACCCAAAGCCTATCATCCACCATCCACCATCCCCAGTCCCGACACACGAAGAAAAAAGTCTCCTTCTCGGAATTGACGCCAGAAACGATAAGTGAGCCGGACGATGACGATGAGCGCTCGCTCTTAGATAGCTTCCCCAGTCCGCCGTCCCATGCCTGCACCTCCCCAATCTTCAGCTCCAGCTCCCAAGCCATGACAACAGCAACAATCGCCGAAGAAAAGAACCAACACCTCGAATCAAAGGCAAGAGAGCGTACAAAAGCCCTAACACGCTACCACACGCACCTCTTTACGCTCTCCACGCAACTAAAATACCACACGACCTCCATTCACTCACAAATGGACATCCTATCCCTTACGCGCCACGCTAGGTGCTCAGACTCAAACCTACCTGATCCATCTTCCTTTTCTTCGGGCGTAGCCGAGGAGAAAGAGAAGAAAGCGGATTTGCAGGAGCGTATCAAGAGGGGTAGGGAAACGGGGTGGGTAAGGAAGCGGTTTGACGGGCGGAGGTATAGGGAGTTGTGTGAGAGGGCGATGGGGGAGGTTGAGGGGGGGATCTTCTAGGTTGGTACACTGACGGCGATCGTGTTATCACCTGGATGAGTTGAGTGATGAGGAGGCTTCATTTCTTGTATTTTGGTAAATAGGAGGCGTTCGGGCAATGATTGATGGACAGAAAGGGGCGAATGACTTGGCGATTTACTTATTATTGGGTGTTGGGAAGTACTATGTCAATGGGTAGGTATGCATGGGAGGATGTTTGAATGATGTCACGGCTCTAAACTACATGTATGAATAATGTAAAGTCACATAGTAACATCGCGTAAAAACGTATCAATATTCATTTAATTCGTGACCTCGTTTATACCAGACCAGTCCCGATCATTCTCAAAGCCGCCCGAGTATGTTATGTAGGTACCCAATCCACAAGGTAGAAAAGAACAACGCACGCAAGGCAGAGGTATCGTCAACCAACGGAACAACCCAAAAAGTAAAATCCTCCACCAATCTATTTCTGGAAGGTCTTGCTCTTCGCCGTAACCTCCTTCTCCATCTTTGCAGCCTGCTCCTGCTCTTTCATCTCCCTCACCTTTGCCAGAACGACTTCTCTAAAAATAGCACCCTTTGCAATCTTGCTCAAGCTCTTCTTACCACCCGGAGCACTGCCAGCCGATGTGCTCGTACCTAACCCGTGACCAGCGTCGTTCCCGGCAAGCGCCGCTCCAGCTGCTGCTTTGGCGTCTGCTGGAACGTCGGCCTGGCCTGGGGTACCCTCTTCGTCGTCTTCTTGCATCTTGAGCATTTCGATGCGGTTGGCGAGCTTGACGATTTCGATGCCGCGGCGGAGACGGGCCTTGGCCATATAGGCTTTGATCTCGGGTAGCAAATTGTGGTCTGTTGCGTTCTCGCCGCTGAGCCACGAGTGCTCTAGAGCTTGCTACACAGCTATCAGTATTCTTCTCTCATAAAAACAGTGGAGTTATATTACTTTACTGGTCCATCTGTCCTCCGCGTCAGGCTGCAAAAGATGTCCAATAAAGTCCTTTGCATCGTCACTGACGTCTTTCCAGTACCTCTCGTGGAAAACAACTCTAGCATTGCTGCACTCGTCGATAAGATCTTGAAGGTTCTCACTCCGGAACGGAGAATATCCACAGAGAAGAGTATAGGTGATGACTCCCATCGACCACATATCTACTGGCTTTCCATGGCCTTTCTTCAGCATAACCTCGGGAGCGGCATAACCAAACGATCCAGCCATTGTTGTAAGAACTTCGTCTTTTGAATCCAGCATCTTTGCAATTCCGAAATCGGCAAGGACAAGATCGGATGCTGGCTCGCTGGTAAGATATAGGAGGTTCTCAGGTTTGAGATCTAGGATATGTTAATTACTGGGAATAATTCCTGGGGCTTAGACACTAACCCCTATGGACGACATTATTGTCGTGCAGGTAGTCGACGGCTTCTAGAACTTGTCGAATGGTCTGCGAAGCATCCTTCTCTGTGAACCTCCCCTGCTCGCAGATACGGTCAAACAGTTCTCCTCCCGTAGCAAGTTGTGTGACAATGTAGTATTTGTCCTGCACAAACCCGTCAGCATCAAAGAACACCATTCTGTGTAGCACATCTTACTCTCGATTCGAACCAATCCACGAACTTGACGATATGTGGGTGCTTCATCCGCTGCAACATCTCGAGTTCATCGTACACCATCTGCTCGTTTCCCTTGACATTCTTCTTCAGGATAATCTTCACGGCAACCTTCCCAGCTGGTCCATCTGCCTCTCTGACGATACCATATGTACCTGCACCGAGCGTTCGACCGAACCGATATCTCGATCTGCTAACAGTGTCAGCGCATTCTAAATGGTGGTGTTTAAAGCCATACTTCTTGTCATAGCTTTCCGGCTGGCCGTGCAGCTTGTTGAGCATGTTTGAAACTGGAGTCACCAACGTGGCCGCCACACTTAGCATATTGCCCATAGGAGGGAGAATAGGAGATGAAATGAAGGTTGGGATTCTAGAGGTGCATGTGATAGTCTGCTCACACAGAGTTTTGAAGCTTCTTGCTTTTTGGGTTTGCATTGCGGGGTACGGAGAGAGAACTTACAGCTCATCGTGACTGCCAATTCTGTAGAGCGAAGTTGAAGCCGTGTACTTGTCTTGTATCTCGTCCGGTTCCAATTGCTTCGGATATTATGTTCTGTACGAGAAATGCTTGGTCGCGTAAAAGAAAAGGTGGATAAGCTGAGGGATTCAAGTCGAATGGAGGTGAACAGAGTGTTTGGTGGGGTTGTTGGCTGGCTATATGATTGACTACAATACTTGGAGTAGCGCACGTCGTTGGTGAGTAATGTAATGGTAGTTGGCAGAGTCAGTCACAATCTCGGTGTCAATAATAGAAGTAAAGAAGGAGAAGAAGACAAGGACCAATCTGATTTTTGGCTCAGCTGTAGGATCTGCCTTGCCGTCAATATAAGACGACTGTCAGCCGCAGGCTGAGGGGCAGCTCTGTGGCTGAGCTACTGTACCTCGTGTACATACATGTTTCAAGGGCTGAAAGGGCAGATCATATCACGTGGGTCTTTTCTTCTTGCTGTTGCCCCCAATGGGTAAATAATGCGAAAAAGTGAAGATTAAAACTTTACTTTTGATACGGATTATCTTATGTGAATAGGTACCTACTTAGCAAGACATTTATGATTCGTGCTACAGTACCTGAATACATACGTAAATGGTGAAGCCAAGCCCTAGTGATTAACACGCGATAAGAACCTCGACCTATGCATGACGGAAATCTAGCGCGGGTACTTCAACAGACCTTTGCAACTTTGCAACTTTACAATAACATGCCCACACAACTAAAACTGAATTCGCCGCAAAACCTTGATCCCTTTTCCCGAACGACCGCAAAGTTAATCCTCTTACCGACCACTCAAGCAATCTTTGTCCCGTAATACAGGCAGCAAGGTATCCAACCGTTCCGAAACGAGGGGCAGGACAGCATCATGTTCGCAACCAAACGTCTGGGGAAAGAGTTGTCAAAGGTAGAATCAGCCCATACGTGTATTCATATGCATCTACTAACGTCTTCTCCTAGATCCACGGTAGTCTGCCACCAGGAATCACACTCGTTACCGCAGAAGGCTTCCAAGAATGGCTCCTCGACATCAGAGTACTCGACGAAAACCCAATATACCTGAACCAGACCTACCGTTTAAAATTCAAGTTCAGCCAGTCATACCCTATAGGTACTACATACATCTTTCCACTCTCAATCCTATCAATAAAAACAACATATTTCTCCCCCCCCCCCTCTCATAACCTACAACCTCGAGTCACAGCTAACAAAATCCCCTCCTCCCACAGAACCCCCCGAAGTAACCTTCGTCAACACCACCGACCGCCCCATCCCCATTCACCCCCATATCTACTCAAACGGAATCATCTGCCTCGATCTCCTCGGCACCCAAGGCTGGAGCCCCGTTCAAAACGTCGAGAGCATATGCATGTCCCTGCAAAGCATGTTAACCGGCAACACCAAGAACGAACGTCCGGAAGGAGATGCGCATTTCGTGGCCAGTAATAGACGACGTCCCAGAGATATCGATTTCTATTATCACGATAACACAGTTTGATAAACTTAACCATCGGCTCGGACGGGTTTCCTTTAGCCATTATTGATGGGTGTACCGACCTAGCTTCCTCACATGAGGATGGCTGCCTAATTCGTATGAGCGAAGGGATTATGGATTTGTTCTATGCTTGGAGTTTGGGTTCCTGGTCTATGAATGACAAGCATTTTCTGGCATCATAGCATGGCGTTGGTTCGTGGGAAACTCAGACCTCTACGGTTCCGAATTAGGTGCAAATCAAGGCATCCTCGGTAATAACAATATCCTGCTTTTCACCGTCGTAAAGGAGAAAATCGTTCTCTTGAAATATGTGGAATAGGGAAACATACTTTTTTGGATAGTCTGTTTCCTTCTATGTAGTGATTTGACTCTCACTCTGTGAGCATAAGTGCGATTTCGTTTTTCTGATACTCATATACGATTACTCCCTTACAATATCTTCCCAGTTCCGGCCGCCTGTCTCATAAAGAACGCCTTCACCGGCTCCAATGCATCCACAGCCCCCAATCCCAAACTCCTCAAGCCCACAAGCGGTCCACTTTCAACAGAATACAACTTATGCAACTTATCCACCACTCCCAGCAACACATGATTCTTCACATACCTCTCAGCCATATATTGCTCCAAGCTCATCCTCACCCCAATATCCATCCCGTGCGCAACGGCGTACTCAATCGTTCTCGCCAAACTCTCCACGTCCCCTTGGCCCGCGTTCAGTCCTTGGCCAGCTAAGGGGTGAGTAGTATGAGCAGCATCTCCTACAAGCGCGACACGTTCCCCAATATACGTATCCGCGTGTCTAAGCTTTAGTGGGAATGAAGCAATACTCCCATCCTGCACACCCACGACCCTCTGCGGAATCTTGCTCCCATCAAACCCGACGTGGTCTTCTCTCCACGCCGCCTCCTCCTCCTGTCCCCCTTCAAGCGTATGCAAGTATTTCAAATCCACAACGCCGAGGCGAAAGGCCGCATTAACCATGCCCACAAAGTCCCTCGGGCTCAAGCTCTTGAGCTTAGCAGCCAATTCAGGAGTAGTACTCCACACCAGTGTACTAAACTTTCCCGGCAGTGGTAAACAGGCCACAGGCCCCGTAGGCAAGAATCTCTGATACGCCGTCTTCACCCTTCCCTCCGCCTCCCCCTCGCCTTCCATACACAGGGTAGCCACCAAACCTACACGTCCATAATCCCACCCAGTACTCTCAATCCCCGCAAACCCGCGCACAGGACTATTCGCACCATCAGCCCCAACCAGCAACCTAGCAGCCAGTTCCCTCCCACCACTGAGTTTCACCACAGGCCATTGACTTAAATCCCCCTCCTCCGCCTCCCTCCCAAGTGTAATATCCTCCACTCTCTCCCCGTCGAGTATTTCCACGCCACCTAACTCTTCAACCCTTCTTAGTAAAGCAGCTGTCAAATTCACATTCTCGTTCATATAAGCCACCACTCCCCCTTCATCCCTCTTTTCCTTTTCCGCACCACCAAAAGCATCGAAATGAACAGCAGCCCCCGAAACACCATCCCAAACCCTCATCTGCCCATACCCTTGTACCCTCTCCCCTCTAACGAACTTCCACGCCCCAATATCACTCAAGAAACGTACCGACGAGGGCGTTAGACTGGAACAGCGGTTCGAAAAGGAATCTGGGGATGGGGAGAATGTGCGTGTTGGGGTGAGGGATTGGGATTCTATGAGGGCGATTTTGAGGGTGCTTGTTATGGGGTTTGCTCCTGTGATTGCGTGCGCCAATTAGCTTTATGATAATAAGAATAGGAATAGGGGCGAATATGGGAATAAGCAGGGAGACATACGGAGTGCTGCGAGGAGACTCAAACCTGCGGGACCGCCGCCGACGCAGACTACGTCGAAGATCTCCGGGGTGCGAGAAGAAGTGGAGGCATAGCTTCGTCGTTGAGGTTTGCGACGTAATTGGCGGGTGCAGGTTTGGCAGACGTAGCCATTTAGTTGGCGGGCTCGGAGGGTTGAGAAAAAGGGTTTCATTGTGAGTTGTGTAAAAATGGGACGATGCTGAAGCTTGAATCTTGAGGGGAGGGGAGTGGGAAATCTCGCGAAGCTGTTCATCCCTCAAGCGCGCAATCACGTGTAGCATCAAGAAGACTGGTAAGTGGCTTATGGATGTTTATACTGCTAAGCATTATTCCTAAGTATACGTTTCTCTCCCCATTTCGTTCCTATGTTCGTCTAGCCATGCTGTAATATGTAAAGGTGAATGCGTAAACGGTTGCATAGCATAGCGACACAAGGAGATCCATGTCGAAATTCCACCGAAAAACATTCAAGGATAAGCAGCAGCAACCAAGTATTCAAGAGGAAGATCTTGGTTCTGGGAGATCTCATCCAAGCCAATCCTCCGAGTTATCCACAAGGCAAAAGCCAAGCTGCCATGATGCTAAGATAATGCGGTACCCATCCCCCGCTCCTCTTGTAAATGCGATTGCCTGACTCCAGAAAGAAAGACGTGGGTAAAGCACCCCTTACCAGAATACATAATATCAGATTAGAAATAAATTGTGAAGAGTATGTATGAACGTGTACGAGAGCTCAAAACTCCCAATCACCTTCATCATCCTCAAGTGACTCAATGGCCCAGGCGAACTTCTCGCGGAGTGTCTTGGAGAAGAACTTCTCAACAGGGACATCGAATTTCTTGGCGAAGACAACTGTGAGACGAGGATCGATGTAGTTCTATATAATGTTAGTTGACTCAATATTAAGCTGCAAGGCAATACGTACTATCTTACTTGTGCCGAGTGCAACCTCTTTATTGCCTTCTCGGTCTTCGGCCTGCAGTCTCATAGTATTGATCCTCTCATCAAGCTTCTTGAGATTCGCTTCGCACTTCTCAATACTTGGACCTTTGCCCTCAGCCTCGACCTTCTTGGTCTTGTTCTCCTTTTTGAACTTCTTTTCTAGGTCAGTGACGACTTCAAGTCTCTCGGTGAGTTCCTTGGCCTTCATTTCTTTCTTGCCCTCGGCGACGAGCTTCTCGTTGTCCTTTTGGAATTTCTTCTCGATCTTTGTACGCTGCTCCTCGATAAGGAAGGCCTGGTGAGAATGGATCCATTCCTCATCAAGGTCTTCGTGTAACTCGAAAAAGCTGGCTGGCTTCTTCTTCTTTATCTTGGGATCGATATCTATCATCATATGCTTAATGCGCCATTGCTGGTAGTGAAGGCCCTTGATCTACAAAAACAGTAAGTATGATGCCGAAAGTACTGTTCAGCAGCAGTAACTCACCCTGTCTGTCATCTTTTCCATTTGGGCCTCATGGCCGGCTCCCACAGTACGCTTGTGGTTACACAAAATGGCGACCTCTCTGTTGCAATCGTTATAGAGCTTGACCTTTTCTTGAATAGACAGGTTTTTGGAGCCCTTCAGCTCTTTCAACAGGTTGGACATGGTGTAGGAAGCATTGTAGGTACGGAAAACCTTGGCACTCAGACCTGGCATGTAACTTGTCAAATGCTTGTTAAGTTGGGTCGTCTGTAAAATATCAGTTTGAGTACTCCTAGCTTCAGCGACGAACCTTACCGTAAGTCGGTCAAAGATATCGTCACCATCCTTCTTTGGGGACTTCTTGAACAGTTTGAGATTCTTGAAGACTTGCGTATCGACACGCACTTCCTGGTAGAACCGAATACTATCTTTTCCGAGGAAATCAAAAATGACGGTGTTAGGGTGTGGATCATTCGAAAGTGTAACATGCTCAAATTTCAGAGAGCAACATCCAACTGTTTCGGCCTCGTTCTCGGAATCTTTTTCATTACCGGCACGCAGCGCAAACTTGTCAATGAGATAGACTGCCGTCGCACGTTGCCGATCAGCCATCAACTCAGCCTTCAGCTCTTTATTGTAGTCCTTTCGAATACGAGCAATATGCTTCTTGAGCTCTCGGGCCTTCTCAAATTTCTTGTGGTCGCTCTGGCCCTTGATACTACTCTTCGCTGCAAGCATGACATACTTATAAGCTCCGTTGATGTTCTCTTGCCACATCGCAAGCCAAGTAGCCTTGTTATCGTGGGAGATATTTTTCCACTTATGTCCCTCGGGTGGAGTAGGAACCGTGGCTTCCTTACCGATGTTGATTGTGATCTGCTCGGGTGTGACTCTGCGTTTGACCTTGCCTGTTTTTGGATGCTCACCACGACCCCTAAAAAGCCCCGGAGGTTCAACTCTGAAGTTGCCCACTTGCTCTTTGCGGCCGTCCCATATGCAATGCACATATGGTGCTTCGATTTTATCCTTCTCTGCCTTGTCTGCCTTCTTCTCGGCGGCTGATCGAGCCTTCTTCTCTTGATTTTTCCCATCATAGTAATTGAAGATCGGTTTGAAGTCGAGTTTCTCAAAGTCCTTAATAGCAACCTTGTTGCCATCCTCGTCCTTAGCGCCACCAGTCTTCTTAACTTCGTCGGTGAAGTCTGCGAAGAAGTTCTTTTGGAAAGTTGGATTCTCCACATTGTGAGTGGAATTGAGCATAGCACCGAAGAAGCCGGCAATCTCCTCGGCCTCTGTAGAGAGAGTAAGAGGGATCCCATCGTAAAGAAGCTTGACATTTGTGGGAAGTGGCTCGTACTCAGGAGGGAAAACAACGCCATTGTGTTGCAGGGTGTCCCATTTGACACTATCGTCTTCCTTTTTTGGAGCATCCCACCATCGATACACCTCCTCGACGTCCTCGCTTTCCTCTTTCTTGCCCTTACCCTTCTTTACAGGAGAGGCAGTTTCGGCCTTGACTTTGCCATTTGTCTTTTTTGCCGATACTTTCTTCGAAAGTGGAGCGTCGGAGTCCGATTCCTCTTTCTTTACACCATTTGCCTTCTTTGTGGTTGGCGTGGCAGCGGCTTTCCGCTTGTTCTTTGGCTTGACATCCTCGTCAGAATCGGCCTTTTTGATGGGTTTCTTTCCCTTCTTGGCATCCTTGGCTTGAATGGCCTTGGCTTCCTTTTCGGCCTTTTTCTCGATCGAGGCTTTCTTCTGGGCAAGATGGGTCAGAGGTTCATCGTCATCAGAGGACTGTCCATAAGAAGTTTCGGTAGCCTTGGGAGGTAGCTTTCCGGACTTCTTAGCTGCCAATGGCTCATCATCCGAGTCCGAATCCACAGTCTTCTTTGCGGTTCTTTGACGTTTGGCCTATGGATCCTTGTCAGCATGTGTTGTTACAATGCTATTGTCGCATGAAATATGATTGCAACATTGCCACGGGGTTTGCTGCATACCAATGGTACATCCTCTTCACTTTCCGACCCCACGTTGTAGTTTACGGCCTTTGAAGTGCTGCCTCGGGACTTCCGTTTCGCGTGACCATTCGTAATTGGGGGGTCCACATCCATCTCGTCTCCCAGGACAGGTCCATTCCTAACGGATATGCCCACCGGGATATTGTCTGACTTCATTCCGGCCTTGTCCATAGCTTTATCCATGGCCTTATCGTCCGCTTTCGAGATGTGTGCCTTGGAGACTAGAAATCACTTAGTAAATGGGTTCGAGTGATAGATTGAATGGTCAAAGATGAGAAGGCTGCAAATTACTCGAGGGTGTGTGAGATGGTTGAAAGAGCGAGTCAGGCTTCATGTCGGCTGTTCTTGTGTTCGCTGAAGAGTACTTCAAAGGTGGAGTGAAGATAAAGTGTATACATACCAGGTGCGCTCGCTCTGGCGAGAGGCATATCATCGTCGGAGTCCGAAGACATCTTGAAAGGGAAGGGTGGTGGTCGTTGAGGAGTGGCGCTCTCGGGCGTGAAACGAGGGAGAGAGCTGAAGACTTGTCAATACGTGGGTAGTATTAACGCGAAGTATATCGCAGCAGAGTGCAGAACCTGCCTCCGAGCGCGTAGAAATGTTAGACTAGGCGTGCTTCGCGGTGTGACAGATCGGAGTTGTTTAATGAGTGTTTGGGGGGAAGGAAAGAGGCGTCGAGCTGACATAAAGAGTTTGACTTGGTGAGAAAAGAGAGAGCCTTCAATTCCAAGCGGGCGCTGAAAATTGAAAACGACGAAGTCCCCTCAAATCGCTGTGATTGGCTATGCGGCATACGTACCACGTGATTTAGCGGCTGAAAGCTTTAGGTGAGGTGGAATTTGACTGCGAGCCGCTCCGACACCCGAAACAACAAGAATATCAATTGATCTCGAAACGCACTCGTGGTCAATTGAGTCGAGACATACCTACACTCGATATCCTTCCCTTTGTCGCCCACGATGCTTTCAAGAGCTGTCCGACCAGCTTTGAAGGCTGGCGCTGCGGCGTCTGTCAGGTAAGAAGACCTTTGATGAACGGGTGTTGACGGAGGAAGAAGGAAGCTCCTGGGGAGCTCAATATGATAGATCGGTGGAATATTAGGATAACGAAACTAATTATGTGCATTTGTAGGCCAGTTGCTGCACCTGCCGCTACCTTCGCGACCCTTCGTGAGATCGAACAGCGCCTGAAGTCAATCAGCAATATCGAGAAGATCACCAAGACCATGAAGATTGTCGCTTCCACCAAGCTCAACCGCGCCCAACGTGCGATGACAGAGTCTCGTCAATATGGTAAAACGTCAAACACCGTGTTTGAGCAAGCCGAGACGAAGCCGTTGGAGAGTGAAGGCAAGAAGACCTTGATCGTGGTTTCCGGCTCCGACAAGGGACTATGCGGTGGTATTCACTCTGGATTGTCGAAGCAGGTCCGCCGGATGCTTGTCGAAACCCCCGATGCTGATATTGTTGTTCTGGGCGAGAAGTGCAAGGCTCAATTGTCTCGTTCAAATGGAAAGAACATAGTTCTAAGCTTCAACAATGTCGGAAAGAATATCCCAACATTCGCAGAAGCCCAAGCAATCGCAGACCAGATCTCTCTCCTCCCAGCGGACTATGCTTCCATTCAGATTGTCTACAACAAGTTCGTCAATGCCACATCCTACGAGCCCACCCCAGTTGAAGCTTTCTCCGAGGAAGCAATCAAGGAATCCCGTGAGTTGTCCTTAGCAAACCATGTGAGAGTCAAACTAACATGATCACAAAGCCAACTTTTCTGCTTTCGAGATTGACGACGAGGTTCTTACCAACTTCCGCGAATATGCCCTCTCCAACACTCTGTTCTGGGCTCTTGCTGAAGGCCACGCTTGTGAAATCTCCGCACGTCGTAACGCTATGGATGTAAGTCAAAAGCCTACTCTATTTCTAAATCGCTTAAAACTAACAAAACATAGAATGCTTCCAAGAACGCTGGAGACATGATCAGCAAATACCAAATTCTGTACAACAGAACGCGTCAAGCCGTTATTACTGGAGAGTTGGTCGAGATTATTACTGGTGCTTCTGCCTCGGAGGAATAAGGGGCTTTGTGAATATGTAGTGTAGTCAAGAAGTTTCCGGTTTTATGACCCTAGAGCGAGAGAAATCCATCTCTTTTGTACACCATTGCAATAAAATCCTAAGTACAGTTCCATAGACCACTTATTTTGTTATGTTAAAGCTTTCATTTCTTGCGAGATGTCCTCCCATTATACTACTTGCAATATCCGGAATGCCCGATTCTCCACTGTGTGCTAGAAGTGATATGGGTAGCGCCCAGTTTGTCGGAGGTTTACTTTATCAACTGTGTTGCCATTTATGGAATTTGTTCGGACGCTTTCCACGATAGGTTTAGAAGCCGCAAGGTCGTCAGCTCTCCAAGAGAAATTATCTTGCTTGATTGTCCTTGCCACAAATCAATTCAGAACAGCAGGCAGAAGAAATCTTAGATTTCCTGTGTAAGTAACGGGACGCATCTAATACCAACACCGTGTTCGATTTCTACGAGACCTTCCATGTCCCCCACGGACGAGTGTCCTCCCTTCCAGTACTTCAAACCAACGTACCAGACCTCTCCTTGATCACCATCCCCAACCGACTCGCCAACCCCGGTAATCTGCTTACCACCCTCTCCCCAACCAACCTCTCCCTCCTCACACTCTTCACTCCAATGGTATCACCCATTAACCTCCTCCCCCCACTCCTACCTACCATTTCTTCTCTGCCCCCATAAACCTCTCCCTCGGGCCTCGGTATCCAAGCCATTTGTTTAAAACGCCCACCATTCCCACCCGGCATGCAAAGTGCCCATTCAGTGGGCGAGATCTCGGAGAGAGTGCAGGCTCGGATGATGTGCCAGGAGTTAGGGGTGAGATGCAGGAGTTGGATGCAGAGGAGACCGGCGCCTGGTGGGGCTTGTGCTGTGGTAGAGTTGATGCAAAAAGGACACGCGAAGGGGAGGTTTAGGTGGGTTATAGTTGCAGGTTTAGATGAGGGATAGGCTATGAGAGGGCCGTAGCCGGTGTGGGCGCAGGTGTGAGTGAAGTTGTATTGAAATGACATGTTCAGCTTGGATTGTGGAGTCAAGTGATGTGATGACTAGTGTGAAGCTCTTGTATTCAAGAGGTGAGAGCAGTCAGAAATCTTGCAGAGCTTTTGTTTTAGGTGATTGCTTTGAGTTTTCAAGTTGTGTCCGTAATGTTGTGCAGGAGTTGCTATAAGTACTGCGGCATTGTTGGAAGGTATGTCTTTGCTTCTGACTGTGATCAGGAAGGGGTCTATTTCTCAGAAAGGTGAATTCTACAAAAGAAGGAATGCAGCATGCCAGTGACTCGAACTGTATCATGAGGGAAAGCGAAACCACAAATCCTTTCAAGAGAACTGCATCTCAATGTATAGGAAAATGTTCCTCTACGTTCTATCCGTTCTAGGGTCCCAATTCTTCAATATTATATGAGTTGAAAGTGTGAAAATGATCTGGCTCTTATTTTGGAAACGGAACACAGTCGGATGTGACTTAAAGAGATTTGAATAGTTGAAATAGTTAGACGATGTTATATTTGAATTTTATGGACCCATTTCTGAGGCATTCATTTCATCTTGCTTGCTTCGTGAAATGTAGATTTCACGAATCAAACAACCCTGCCTAGAATAACTAGCTTGCGTCTTGCAGAGTCGGAAAATATCCAACGAGCTATAACAAACATTACGGGGAATACAAGAAGCGCAAGCTTGATTAATGAAGTGTATTATATTGCATCAATTCACCGTCATCTACAACGCAGTATATATGAATCACTCCTCTTGACTGTCCCAGTGTGAATTCCCCGGTGTCTTCTCACTACTGCTCTATTGCAACCACTATTTATTCTTACTCATAATCACTCAGAGTGACCTTTAATCGAAGATTTGAACTACCCATTCTCTCACGACCTTTACCGCGGACCAGAGGAAGTCATTAGTTTTACAGCAGCAACGTAGCAGTCTATCGCTCAGCTTCCTGCCTCACCCCTGGATAATCTCCCACTAAGATTCAACTTAAAGCCACGCAAGGAATACGTAGCACGAAGTTTTCGCCAAGATCTCAGGACCCTTTTACCACTTCTAGTCTTCTCTCAGACATTACAAGGGGATTCATATCAAAAAACGAAGCTGATTCCAAGTAAGATACCATACAGCAATCCTTTTACTCCTGAAGACGTTTTGCTTTTTGGGTCATTTCAAGAGTCCGAGCATTTTCTCCTTGCAGCTCAAGATGTCAGCACATCTAGGTATTAGAAACTCCATATTCACTGGTTGAACTTGCTATTCAATTGAACATTTAGGTCCAGTTCTTTTCCCCCGCCCTACAGAAGGGGTGTTATCGATCTCTGCATAAGCTCACTCTTACCCCTATTCTCAATTCTCGCTTAACGCAGCATATTTATTACTCCCGTTCTCTTCAAACTCTGGCTGAGTTCTCAGAGTTCCCATCCCCCTTTCTAATTCTGCAAAATCTTTGCGACAACTGGGTCGTCAAACGTTTTCATCTACTGAAGAGATGCACGGAGGACTTGTTTTTTATAGCTGAGGTGGAGTGCCACCTCTCTCGGTGTCTTTTGCTTGGATACTAGTGAATTGCTAGCAGAAGCAAAGGAAGTCAAAGCCTTTTGTTTTCTGAACGTTTAGAGCCATTCCTAGGATAACACTAGCTCAACCTTTCTGAACCTCAATGCTCTAAACATTCTTACTAACAGTTGCAACTTAGATCTACTTAGCCTCCAAGTAGAAGACGAACCTATTCAGAGAACAACTCGCTTCGCTCAGAGGCTTCACGGTCGTTACTTCCCATACTTGGATCCTTCCTGAAAAGGTTGCTCATTCACTCCACGGATCTCAACCTTGCTCACCGGGTACATATTCCTCACAATTTTTCACCAAGCAACACACCATCATCTCCTCACATTTTGTCAAGCTTACTTTCCGTTCACCATCCAGCTATTTTTATCCCTTCTTGCAATACTTATCTTTAATCTCCTCAACATCAAAAGCAACAATGTGCGTCAAGGAGTTTCTCGGGTACAATTGCGGTCACTGCTCCATCCCCGTTCTCCGACCTTGTCCTATCTCTCAATCCAACCCCACATTCCCAGTGTGCCAGTACCCGGCCGAGCGACCGATATTCACTAATGACTTCTGCCACCCATGCTCTCGCATCATCTGGAACATTAAGGTTCTGAGGGAAGAGGGGACACACAAGGAACGACACATGGCGGGGGAATGTTTGTGTGAAGTTATCTTTGAAGGTGAGGATCGGGAGAAGCGTCTTCGACCTCGGAGTGGAAAGGGGAAGGAGAGACCCGCCGAGAAAGAGACTCATGGTGGTGCAAACTCCAGAGAGGCTAGTGGAGGTAAGAATGCACGACCAGGTGCTGAGCGTGGCTATGAAGACAGGGGCGAGACATCGACTGGAGTTGGACAATATGGTTCACGTGGCCGAAGAAGTGTTAGGGATGGATCTCAGTATGATCAGAAGAATGATGGTGCTGTAATGAATTCTCAAGCTGGTGGTGAAGGTCGCAACCTTAGTGGCGGGGTCGAGTATAGGTATGCCGATCAAGGTCAGGTGTGTGCTGGAACTTATGCCCGTGGAAATTTTGCAGATGGTGAGTGGGTTCAAGGTTATGATGGTGGACGACGCAACGCTATACTCGGACATGGTGGTTCAGACGCGGACGGATCTTATGGGTCTCATGTCTATGGACCACTAGGCCATCAAATGCATGCAGGGCAAGACACGGGACTGGGTGATTGGTCTCGGCGTGATTGGGACCCCGAGGCCCAAGAGAAAGCATACCAATACGTTGGTTATGTCGCCAATGAGCTTCGCCAGCAAAGACCAGTGATGCCCGAGTCCGGATATGGAACGGCGGTTGCTGGAGGTAACTACCCGAGTCACTTGGTTTGGGAGGGTCAAACTATGTTGGGCCAACCTGGCGCCGGCATGAAGTGGTATCCTCAGCCTGACCCCTCCCAACCTGCAACTACAAGCAACGAGACGGCCCAGCCAGCAGTGAAGGACAATGAAAAGAGCGGCAAGAAGACGAAAGCTTTATCAAAGGCACACTCGGAGCCAAGCCACACGCCCTACCAAAGCTACGCAAAGTCGGCAGCTGAGGATTCCGAGCTCCAAGTAGAGCCACAAGAGGAACAAGCAGAGGCACCAGTCGTCAGCAGTGACATGGTCAAGCCTCGATACTAGTCACGCATAACTTTGTAAGTATGAAAGGCAATTTTATGCATAGTTCTATTTCAAATTTGCTGGTATTCTAACTCAGCTGAACAGGACTGTACAACAAGGAAAGGCACGCCATTTGTATCATCAATGTACAATCCATCCTCCGTTCATTCTTATCGATCGACCTCTCCAAACACTGAAATTTGGTCAGCACTTATTTTTATTCAACATATAGACGCATCGACTTACCCAGATCCATTGTTCCGATAATCGCCACAGCATCTGCCAACAAATGACCTCTCGAGATCTGGTCAAATCCTCCCAAGTGTGCGAAACCAGGTGCTCGGATCTTGCAGCGGTATGGTCGTTCACTCCCGTCACTCACAACGTACACTCCCATCTCTCCCTTTGGCGCTTCGATGGCCGAATACGTCTCTCCTGGTGGTACAGTATACCCTTTTGTGAATAGCAAGAAGTGGTGGATCAAAGCCTCCATATTCTCCTTCATGGCTGCACGGGGTGGTGGGGAGATTTTATAATCCTCAACACGGATAGGTCCTGGAGGCATCTTGTTTAGGCATTGGTGGATGATCCTGAGCGATTGACGGAACTCTTCCATCCGGCAGAGATATCGGTCATAACAATCACCATTGACACCGACTGGCACATCGAACTCGACCTCACCGTACGCATCATACGGCTGGCTCTTCCGAACGTCCCATGGTACACCAGACCCACGAAGCATGACACCTGTAAAAGAGTAGTTCAGCGCGTCAGCTGCCGACACAACACCAACCCCCTTCGTTCTCCCAATCCAGATTCGGTTGTCAGTCAGCAATTCCTCAGTCTCATCAATGCGATCTGCGAATTGCGTTGCCCATTGATAGATGTCATCAAGAAGGCCTACAGGGATATCTTGATGCACACCTCCTGGTCTTATATAAGCAGCGTGAAGCCGAGCTCCTGACACCCTTTCATAGAATTCCTGCACATCACTTTAGCATTGACCTTCAGAAGCATAATAAATCGTTGAATTTACCATTAACTTCTCACGTTCCTCGAAACCCCACAAGAAAGGTGTAAGAGCCCCAACATCCATTGCGTGAGACAACACCGACATCAAATGGTTTAATACTCTCGTGATCTCTCCAAACAGTGTCCGAATCCACTTCGCTCGCTCCGGAATCTCAATATTTAGGAGCTTTTCCACAGCCAGAGAGAAGCATTGCTCATTGGTCATCATAGAAACGTAATCCAAACGATCGAAATACGGCAGAGCTTGCAGATAAGTCTTGTACTCGATCAACTTCTCCGTCCCTCGATGCAGCAATCCCACATGCGGATCCGACCGCACAATCTCCTCTCCATTGAGTTCCAGAATCAATCTAAGCACACCGTGAGCTGCCGGATGCTGAGGACCGAAATTGACCGTGTAATGCCTGATCTTCCTGTTCTCGACACCTTCGCCATCCAAGTTCGGGTCCGGCGTCTTGTTGATGTGCTGCGTGTCGTAGGGATCGGTGGGGTGCGAGAAGTTCGAATCGGTGGGTATCAGCTTCGTGCCTTCGTAGGGCTCGGCATAACGGAGGGAGGGGACGGATGAGAATGCTCGTGAGGTGCGTGCAATTGGGAGTGCGGGTCGTAGACAGAGGCGTTTGGCACTATGGCTGGCAAGCCGGGCGAGAGATGCTGCCATTGTGACCGAGTATCCTGGTTTGTGAGTACCAAAACTCTTCAGCCGTTTTCAATTGACACGAAATGAGGGAGAGGGGTCCGGGCAATGGACTAAAATCAGTTGTCGTCGCCTCCTTCTGGAATCATGAGGTTGACGATTTTGGTGGAAGCTCGGAGCGGATTAACTAATTGGCTTTCATCAGCTTCTGATTGGCTGGCGCATTTTCTCCGTGATGCCGATCTTCAAGACTTTTCGAAGAGCTTCAAAAAAAAGTTACTCGACAGACCCCGCTATCAATTCAAGAAATTGCAACCATGGCGCCCGTACAACCCTCCCAAGAGGAGCTCGATCGTCGAAAGGCAAGTACTTTCTGCAGCTATTCTAAGGTACAACTCTAACAAAAATAAAAGATCATAGGCATCAACTCAGAAACAGTAACAAATGTAACCTCCACCGACTTCCCTGGTCACTGGCCGGGCGAAGACAACTCCTGGTCGCTCTCATCCTTTCGCAACACCTTCAACATAAACATCCACCGCAATGAACCACTCGAATCCTCCTTCTCCCTCGTCGGAATTGACGCCTCAGTCGCTAACGCTTTCCGGCGCATCATGATCGCGGAAATCCCCTCCGTAGCCGTCGAAGCTGTCTACGTGCACAACAACACCTCTGTGATCCAAGACGAGGTCCTGTGCCAGCGCCTAGGACTAGTTCCGTTTAGGGGGGGCAAAGAGGGGATTCAGGAGTTTTTGAAATGGCATCCGAGGAAGAAAGATGATGGTATGAATACTGTCATAGAAGAGGAAGAAGAAGAGAATACGAAGTTCGATTACAACACTATCATCCTCTCTCTCAAAATCGCTTGTACTCGGAACAAAGAAGCAGAAAAAGGCGAAAGGGATCCGTTGAAAGCATACCACAATGCTCACGTCTACGCGCGGGATATACAATTCAAGCCATTTGGACGACAAGAACAATACTTTTCGGGAGAAGATGCCATTAGGCCTACGAATCCCGATATCTTGGTAGCGAAGCTGAGGCCGGGACAGTGCATTGATGTTGATATGCATGCGTTCAAGGGTGTGGGAAGTGATCATGCGAAGTTCTCACCTGTTGCTACGGCCTCTTATCGACTTTTGCCAACCATCACGATTTTGAAACCGATTCTAGGGCAGGATGCCGAGAAGTTCGCTAGGTGCTTTCCGCAAGGGGTTATTGGGTTTGAGAAAGTGGGCAAGAAGGAGGCGCAGAGGAAAGGGAGTGGGTATGAGGGACACGAGGGGGAGAATAAGGCTGTAGTGGTGGATCCCATGAAGGATACGGTTAGCAGGGAGTGTCTTCGGCATGAGGAGTTTGAGGGTAAGGTGAAGCTTGGGCGCGTGAGAGATCATTTTATTTTCTCCGTGGAGAGTGTAGGGCAGTGGGAGAGTGATGCTTTGTTTTTGGAGTCGGTGAAGGTGCTTAAGATGAAGTGCGAGGCGCTGAAGCAGAATCTGCAGACTATGAATAGATAGATTTAGAGTTTGCGAGTGTGTATATGCATTTGAGGAGTTTGGGGGCTGGCGTTGGATTATGATTCCTAGGTTACAAGCGCTTTGTGGAGATAGAAAAGCAAAAGCAATTTATTCTGCTTCATCTGGTATCCTATAACTCCGTCTTATGCAATGATAATAAGCAATGCAAGCACTCCATGACCTCCTTTATGCTCGCTCGCTCGCTCCATATCTGCAAAGCTTTTCCTAACCATTGCGGTCCGTGTGACAGCGACAGATCCCCTACTAAACAGCGGCCCTGTACTCCTTAAAGAACTTGAGTTTATACTTGAAGTTGACCGTCCCCAACGAAGGATCCGTAATCGCAATCTCATCCCCATTGCCAACCAGCTCTCCAATCTTCTTCTTCAAATTCGGTCTCGTCATCTCCTCCAAACTCACAGGGCTCTGCATATACAGGGTATGACTCTCAGCACGAATTGAAGGCTTTTTCAGCTGTGCCTCTGCTCTCTCAGCCAAGGACTCAATGAACTCTTGTAAAGTAAAGTTCGGGTCGACTTCGAGATCTCGAGCAAGTTGTCCACATACTGGACAGTCATCTTTCTTCTCGTGCTTGAAGGTGTAGGTATAGATGCTGTCGTTTCCGGAATACATCATGTAATTCTCCTCGAAGCCAAGACTAGGGTTCGTTTGAGTGGCGATCTTGAAAGCTTCGTTGCAGCAGCTAGCAGCTATGATGGCGTTTGTGGATGCAATGGCGGGAATGATGTTCTTGACTACGCCTTGGGTGAGTGAGTAGGTGACGCCCGAGATCTTGAACTCTTCTGCTCGAGCTAGAGCTTTCTTGTACAGCCAGGTGATGTGTTCTGGGTCATCATTGTCTAGCTTCGGGAATGGCTGCTCTTGCTCCCATGCAATAATATGCGCCCACTCAATGCAATGTTCTGGCTGGCGAGGGATCGTTGCGAGTGTGCAAAGAGGGACTGCCTGTCTTGGGGCATGCATATCAAGTTGACATTCTAGGCAAGATGTGATGGTAGGGAACACGACGCGCGATTGGCCCTTGAATCCTAATTGTGTACTCAGTCCTGCGATTTGACAATCTATATAATAGTCATACATACCTTCTGTACCTCCGTCAATCAGAGGCTTATAACTCTCGGGATTTTCTGGGTCCGCAAGATTAATTAGTGTAGAGTTCATCCACCGTCGAGCCTCAATACTGTCCAGTCCGCAGATGACTATGTTGAATTGCATGTAGAAATCCTCGTCTTTGTCTTGAATCTTGCAATTATGCGGTGTAATCGAGACCCCTTTAACTCTCTTCTCTACAAATCTTGCTGCCACTTCTGCTTTTGATTTGCCCACATCGCTGTGACGGAAGAGGAATTGGCGGTTGAGATTCGAGACGTCGATCGTGTCTAGGTGGTGTTAGGAGGGCAGTGACCTTTGGAAGCAAACCAAAACGCACCCATATCAATCACATGTATGTCCTTAAAGCCGGAGAGAGCCAGATCCTTCAGTAGTTCACATCCAAGGCCTCCAGCGCCACTGTTCTCCAGTCAGTATCTGTATATTCCCGTCTCGCTCCAGGCAACTAACATGACTCTGTGAATTTAGTTAGCAGTCATCCTCATTCCAAGAAGTCGCAGATACGAACAGTACTTTCAGTCTATCCATCGTCGAGACTGCCTCATCACTGGTGTCAAATTCCTCAGATGTGTACGGTCCTGTGTTTCGACGAACATTGTCCAGGTACGTCCTAGAGGAGGGGTGTGAGCTTCTGCTTATGTTCGGGAAGGTGAGAGTATATACCATCTTGAGTCTGGCTCTAATGCGGGCACTGGTATTGTGCCTGCCACCATTACAGGTTGAGACATCTTGAATACAATACTGTGTGCAAATGGGGTTGCAGAAGAGGGGAGTTGTTGTTTTAGAAGGGGAAGGGTAGGAGGAGGAGGTACCTTCTTATCTTATCGCCGTGCATTAGCTCCAGGCAAGCTTCGCTTCGTCCAATTCTTTATAGTCCTGCCGCTAGGCGAGCTCTGCTATTTATTCCGGAACTTCATCTCAAGCCAAATGTAGCCATGGAGGGTCTGCTCAATCCTGTGAGTACTTCATACAAGTCGAAAGACAAGGAAGAGGATGCTATCTTGGTTGAAGTGCCTAGAGCATCCAAAGCTATTACCAAGCCGACTTTCCAAGCTTCCACTCCAGAAGAGGCTCTCGAGATTTTGAAGAATGAGCCAGACTATGAAGCTCTGATCTCCACCTTACGATTTCTTGGAAAGTCGAACCATGATTTCAATATCACTTCTCCAAGTCCTGTTGCATCTCAACTAGTCCATGTCCTCGTCTCAGAAACATTGCCAAATTACTGGAACGTCGTATATGAACCAGAGGGGAAGAATTCGAAAGGAGGAAAGCAGAGGAATAACAGGCGCCTGCCAGATCTCGAGTTGTTTCTTACATGTCTCCGAAGTGTCACGGGCTTGAATGCAATTTTGTTGTCTCTAAAAAGACATATTCAGCTGTCAAAGGAGACGAAAAGGGCTATAGGCGGTCCAAATGTACAGGATATATTGACCGTCCTTCTCCAGGCACTATCAGCGCTTCTCGAAGGGGATCGGTCAGTTGAGAGGATCTGGAGTGCTATATACGTCTCCTCGGATCCACCGCAAAAGCAAAGGACCATTTGGAATGAATTCTTAAGCCTGGTTGGGGGAGGCAAGATCTTGGGAACTGCTGCAGAAGTAGAAGATATTGTTAATGATCTCAGTCAGAAGATCGGCGAAAAGTACTGGATAGCAGATGGTAGTCTCTATAGCTCGTGGCTTTCTCGCAATATTTCTTATTGGGTAAACTGTTTGCCAACGGATTCTGTAAATGGATGGAAATGCTGCAGCGAACTACTAACAAAAACATTCCGCCTTGGATATACAGGTACGTAACACAATTTCAGTTTGTAAACCATTCTCTAACATGCTACTAGAGAAAACTCTCAACGAGCTCTTGAAGTCTCTGCTCTTTCAAAGTCAGAGTGATGATACTAGATTCACGAAGCTGCTTTCCAGCTTGCCGACTTTTGAGCAGCGAAATGTACTCTATGCTCTTCTACAAATTATCTCAAAGGAGCATCTATCCACCACGATCACATCTAAAGCCGATTCTTCATGGTGGAAATCAGATGCCAAGGTTGTTTCTGGCGCCGCTGGGCTGATAAAATCATTGGTAAATAACGAAGAATCAAGAAAAACTCAGCTGTTGTCATGGCTGACTAGTTCCACGGGAGCTTGTGTTGGCGAGGGAATTGCAATTCGACGTGCAGTTGTAGCAGCTCTTGCTGAGGACAAATCTGACATGGAGGCCGTATTAGAGAAGAGCCTGCTGCAACTTGGGGACCAATTGTACATTAAGCATACTCCTACAATGCAGCAAGAAGGTGCGAGTCTAGAAAGCTGCTTTTTCGAAACATTTACTAACCATACTTAACAGTTCATACCCAGGTTCTACTTCTCGCTGCAGGCCAGGTCCACCGAAAAGCTCCGCTTCGTCTTTCAATGATGATGAGGTCAGGAGCTCATTTAAATGTTGTCACAAACAGACTTGGATCTTCATCACCCCGTGCGAGGTTTCTAGGCATGGTAGTTGGCGAAGCACTGTCTGGATTAGTTGATAAAGGGGACAAGAAGATGGACTTCAAAGTGGATGAGATGAGCACTGCTGAGGCAAATTGGTATAAGAGCTTGGCCAACGTTTCCGATACAATTGGCTCTGCAGACATATTAAAGTCCGGAGTAGTCGCTCCGTCATCATTCAAAAGTCAACCAAGACCTTCGAAGCCCGTGAAGAAGCCTGCACCTTTTAATGGAAGCTCGAAGATCATTTCGATCGAAGAAGTCGACGATGATGAAGAGGAAGAGGAAGAGGAGTCAGATGACGATGGCTTAGTTCCATACGCCAAACCATATTCTGACCCAGAAGACTCAGATGAAGATGCCACGAACATCATTCGGGACAAATCTACCGCTCCAGTCTACATCCGAGACTTGATAACGTATTTGCGAGACACCGATAATTACGACCGACAGAAACTCGGTCTTCAAACCGCAGCACCGCTCATTCGAAGAAAGGCGAATTTTGGAACAGAAGTCAGCTCACATGCTGAAGAGTTAGCTACTCTGCTTGTAGGGATACAAGACAAATATGACATGGATGATTTCCAAGATATGAGGTTACAAGGAATGATTGCCATACTCGTTGCCCTACCCCTGAAAATGGGCCAGTGGTTCTCCAAGACCTTCTTCGACGGGGACTACTCCATCTCCCAACGTGCCTCAATCCTCACCACCCTTGGGCTCGGTGCACGAGAAATTGCTGGGTTCAGCGAAGAAGCCAGTTCCCTAACCTCAAGTAAGCCCCAACCTGTCCCCTCTTTTCCAAGCAAAACACTCCCAGAAAGCATGCACAAAATCTACGCCTCATCTCCTTCACCCGCCAAACGCGAGCTCAAATCAACACCCATCTCAACCCTCACAACACAGCTAGCCAACACAATGATAGCACCCATGGCCGCCTCCCTAGCCGACAAAGCAACAGGTCCCAATATCCTAAAAACACGCACCTTTTCATCCCGCATGGCTGTTGAAGCTCAACGAAAGAAGCCCACCACCAACGCTCTAGCAAAAGTCGTCGCAGATGGCTTCTTCTTTCCCCTAACCGGTCGATTCTTCATCCACCTCAAAGCCCGCTCCAATATTGTCTTTGATCCTTTCCTCTTAGCTCTATTTCTGAAAACGATAGCGCTATTACTGCACGCCAGCGGCCCGAACAACATGTCCTTGCCGCAGATGACGAGCGAGGCGTGGGATTTATTACTTGGGCTGAGGACGCAGGCTACGAGTGATGTAGGCGTGCTTGAGGGTTTGCTGTTTGTGGTTATGGTATTGGTCGAGGTTAACTCAGATAAGAGAGGCTTGGTTGAGGGGTATGGAAGGCAAATTTTGGAGATGCAGGAGTGGGTTGAGGGGGTGTTTGGCAGATTACAGGGCGTGGGCGGTGAGGAAGAGGAGAAGGTTAGGGTTTTGGCTGCGGGGGTGCTCGTTAGGATTAGGGAGTGCGTGGAGAAGTATCAGGCGCTGCTGTTGGGGGATCTGGCTAGCTTTTGAGCATAGTTATTGGGCTGTACTAGGTAGCTCTCAAAGTCTCAAATCAAAGTCTTGAGTCACATACTTGACTCCCGTATTTCGAAATTATCTTTCTGCCCTGATCCGATTCTTTTACTTCCTGAAGCCACAAGCCCTCTGTTCGTGGTTCACATTCTCGGAACTCCGCCCTCTGCTTGAATGTTTACTCCTCACGAGTCACAACGTCCTTCATTGGGAGGAGAAGAAGATGTATAGCGCTATTATGACTTTCCTATTTATTTTGCGAAAGGAATATCTGAAGAACACGACCCGGGCCTCCTTGTGGTCAGTATAGTATTTCAAAGAGCGTGAATAGCAACTGTTGACAAACCTAACTACAAGCTTACACTTGACAGCAGAGAATCCCAAGGCTCGATTTAGATGGTTGAGAAGACGAGAAAATAAATAATAATTAGCAAGCGAAGAAGTAATAGTAGATTGACTGGTTCACTCATAAACTCACAAACTCACAAACTCCTAAGGATTGATTAACGAGCTAGTTTATTGAATTCGGTGGATTTTTAATTGGCCAATCTCAGAATTAGTCAATAAATCAGAACAGAACGCCGCGCTAATTCATTCGTTTCATTCCGTCCATTTCCCCTTTTCTTTCTTCCCAACGCCTTCCCTATAACCCATAACGTAAAAAGCTGAGCAACAAGTCTAAGAAATGTTCATACAATTGATGACCACGAGCAACCACGTCAAATTACAATCCATTCCCTTCCAACTGCTGCATCTTCGGTTTTGGGGAAAACTCATCCGTGACGTAGACGTCGCCGAAAGCACCTAGCTGCTTGATGAGACTGTCCAAGATGCGTTGGAACTCAGCCGCCATTTCTGTAGGCGAAGCTGTGCCCGTCAGAGCAGCAGCAGATGGTGGTTCGGGAAGTTCAGGAAAGTGGGATACGGTGTAGGGCTGCTCGAGGCGGCTGCCTAAAAAAGAATTCGATATGTTATTCGGTCGTGGGGGAGGTGGCATGGACGTATAGTCTGGATCTAAAAAGTTGTTGGAGACTTCGTAGTGTGGTATATCGTTGGGACCGTCCCGGGGATCATGTTCAACATCAGAGACGGAGAAATCGGAGACGTCTGCGATATCGCTGGATTGAGTCTGCAAATTAATGGCAGCAGGAAGAGTCGTGTCGTCAATGTAGATAGATGGCTCCGCTTGGTCAATCGGTGCTTGGTATGAGGCATGACGCTCAAACTCAAAGGGGTTTCCGGATGTCATCTGCTCGCTCGACGTGGAAACATCAGAATTTGCAGTTGATGGGCGTGTAATCTCGGGATAGCTATCAGGCATACTCATATCAAGATCGATGAGTGACTCTGCCATAGATCTTCGCTCTAAGGCAGGCTGTGTCGAACCTAAAATGCCAGGGCCGCTGAATGAAGCCCCTAGAGGTTCAGTTGGATGATGAATCAAAGTCGGTCGAGCACCAGAGCCAGGTGTAATCGCTGGTCGTGAGACACTATAACTCGAAGGAAATCTGGATACTTCGGGATCTGCCGAAGCAGGTGGTGCCATTGCACTTGCCGATGGGAAGGTCCAGTCTTGAGTGCGGCGATTGGGATTGGCATCAGCCGGATCGCTGAGTGCGGGTCTGCTGAAGGCATGCATTGTTGAAAATTCATCTTCGTCATCCATACGCCGTCCTGCGGGCTTGATTGTGTCCTCCCGGAAGCTTGAAAGGCCTGGATCGGAATCATGACCGTCAAGGTCGATCATCGTGTCTTTGATGGCCGTCCTTGCGGAGTCATCGCGCAGAGGCAAGTCAGAGGTCGGTGGAGACATCATCTGTCCGTAATGGACTTTACTATTATCGTGGTAGTTAGATTTGGTATTAGGATCGAAGACTTTCAACAAAGGATTCAACGGAGCCGCAAGAGCTTGCGGTGGAGGGCGCCTCCTCCCGGCCTTAGCACGCGGTGGTTCCTCATTAGAGGGCATTACGCTAGCGCCGTAAGCATCAAACATATCCTGGGCAGTTGCATTATCGAAGACTTCTTGACCAAAGGATGGGGTGGTAGAAAAATTCCAGTCTCCGCTATCGACTGTCGCCCCAGAATCTACATCCCCAAGTCCTTGGGCTCCGCCAGGCATGAATAAAGATTTCCGACTTCCACCATGCTGTTCCCAGACCATAAATGCGCGAACCAGTTGAGCCAGACTTGACGTTGGGTATTTTAACCCTGTATTGTGAATGTATGGGTGTCTCTGGATCTGCTCGATGGTGGGCCGAGCACTTGGCGCTTCCTCCAAGCAGAAAGCAACTAAGTCTCGGAGGCCGTCCGAATAATTGCCTCCTTCTAGTCGAGGAGTGGAGACTGCATGGCGCGCCTGGAGAACCGAAAAGGTATTGACCTTGCCAACATTTGGTGGTAAACCCGTGGCAACCTCATAAACCATAGACCCGAAAGCCCAAATATCAATTTCCTTGCCGTAGCTGACATTAGAGCCAAACAACTCGGGGGCCATCCAATGAGGTGTACCAATGACTGTTGTTCGTTTGTCGAACTTCTGCTCCATAACTCCAGCAACACCAAAATCGCAAAGCTGCACACCTCCCTGCTCGGTGATGAGTACGTTTGCACCTGAGATTTGTCAAATTATGGAAATTGCAATTTACGGTGTGGACTTACATTTGATATCTCTATGTATAATGTCGGCCTCATGAACCCATCGAATAGCCTCCGCTACGCCCCTAACAACTGGGATGATCCATTTTTCTTGTAGTCCACCAGGGGCAGTTGGTTTCATCTACCATATGATTAGAATCTATCAACAACATGGTTGTGGGAGGCCAGGGAACTTACGAGGGTTGCAATGCTACCACCTGCGCAGAATTCGGTCACCATCCACATAGCCGGGCCAACAGGCAGTGCTTCAATAACGTGATTAATATTGCGGGCATTATTTTCGCTCAGTATCTTCAAGGCATTGACCTCTTTGAGGAATTCGCCGTACGCGTCGGCATTTCGCGGGTTCAATGTATCGCTCTCATCAATATCGATGATTTTAACAGAAACAATAGCTCCCGTGCTCATGTCCTTGCTGTTGTGCGGGTTAGTCAGTGGACTGTGTATGTTTGACAAGCTCACGCTGGACACAAAAAGCGGCACTCGTTGTTGTCAACTTTCGATACCTCGCTCAGCTTGACACGTTGAGAGTTTGGTGCCGCTTTTTATATCCACGATACAAGCTCAAAAACGACTTACCTCTTATAGACCCTTCCAAAAGTACCCTTGCCAATTAACTCGGTGAGACAATATTTGGGGGGAGATTTTCCGCTCTTGTTACACATCTCAACCACGGCATTCTGCATCTGGCGAGCATCCTCCACAGCCTTCGTCCTGATTCTGTTCGTATCCGTCGACCGAACTTGAAGTTTGTTATCCATCTTGGGAATCTTCCCACTCTCAATGTGCTCAACCGAAGAGTTTCTCTCTTCAAAGGTGATTGTCACGACTGGTACAGTCAGGGAGGCGGGCGACGGAGGTGGGAGTGGAGCGGGAAATGGAGGAGGTCGGGACCGATCTGGCGCTGGGAGATGAAAATAATTGTCTGGTTTAGGCCTAACAACGAGTGGCAGAGGTAGCTGCAAGGGGGTACGTTGTCGCTGCACAGGCGGGGGGTTATTATGCCTTTGGCGCGGGTGTGAGGCAAGACGTTGCAGTCGCGGATGATCTGGGAGCTCAACCTGGGACTGAAGTTGAGGCTTAGGCTGGACGTTCAATGAGGGGAGTTGGCGGGCGCGACGAGCGACGTTGTGGGCTTGGAAGATATCTAAGCTTCGGCGATCTGCTTTGTGCAAGGAATTCGAAGAGCTTGTCGAGGCAGGTGCAGGTTCAGGTACGTGGGCGCTCTGTTCGAAGGTGCGTTACTCGTCAGCATGAACGGATTGGAGGAGAAAAGGTGCGTGGAGTGGGAGATCAGAAAGAACGATGCAAAGAACGATGCAGGTGCAGACGTAGGTAGGCTCTGTTTTTGGAAGGAGGAAACAGAATAGAAAGAGGAAGTAGAAAGTAGTGAGAGATAGAGACAGCGACAGAGAGACAGAGAGAGTGAATGAGGCTGAATCAAGCAATCAAGTCAACATACCCCTGTTGCGGCTGCCATCGCAAGTCCCGGATTGCCTGCATGTGGCTGCGGTGGTCGCTGGTCGATCCTTCCTATTCTGGTCTAACGTGGTAGTTAGCGTCCGTCTCTCGATCCTGATACGCTCACCCCTTTCGCACGGCCTGGCTTGGCATTCTTCTCTTAACGACATGCCATACGGTACTGTACTCGTGAGTACATCCATCCACCAACCGGCAGTTCATCTACCTCAGTCTTTGAGCAAATTTGTTATCACTTACCTCACTACTACCATCAATCCCATGACTACCCCTATTTCCTACCTCTCCATCTCCCTCTCCCTTTCCATGTTGCTTTTGGATGTCTGTAGACGATGAGACATTCTCGCGAACACGGAATGGAGGCGGGCCTGGATGCTTTCGGGATCGAAGTTGGCTCTGAATGTCTCTCGGAGGATATTGATTCCCACCTCTCCCCAGTCCTCTACCTGCTGCTGTCGATGATCGCAGTAGAAGTGCCTGTAAGTGTGTTTGCGAGTCTTGGTGCGGACGGTGATGCACTGTTGGCCGAGGAATAGATTGCTTTCTAACAGGACCTTGTGAATCAATACCCCCACCGGATTGCGTCTGAGGCGAATACGGCCTCGTGGTAGTTTGCAGTTCAACGCAAGCATCTCCAGTCAATTCTGTACCAGGCTGTGCTCGATCACCCAGCGAGAGACACTCCCCCGAAAGACCTTTTATGAAATCGAAATTAGTGACGGGTGATTTGGGTGGAAACTCAAAGGGACGGGTAAACTTGGTGCACCGCATCGGAACGTTATAATTCTTGGGCATTCGAGGACTAGCGTAAGTTGAGTACTGCTGTAGCGCTTGTCTAAGCTTTGGACTTCGACCTCGTGCTGCATCGTAATCTGACGGTAACTGTTGTGAAGGCTTGACGGGGAACCTCGTCTGCGATGATTTTATTGCATTGAATGGTCGCGTACCTGGTGATTTGAACTCTTTGCATTCCGAACACCACTTCGTTGTAACGCCGGACGGCATCGGCAAGGGCGTTATATTTTGCTTCTGGTCGTCGCAAGGTTTGACCACTGGAAATCCACTCGGCGTCGTTATTGGAAAACTGTTCTCATTTCGATGTCCCAGACCGTGTGGGACATTGGCAACCGGAAATCTGCTCCATGGTGTATTTGGTCCTCCTTGCTGTGACTCGGCAAAATGCGGAAGATCCTGACGCAGTTTCTCATCTTTTGTCTGGATAGGCCTCTTCGTCTCTGCTCTCCAACCAGGCAGTTGTTCCTCGAACTCTTCTATACTCATCCGGGGGACGACAACTGGCCTTCGGCCCATCAGATTGCTATCAGCGTTTTTCCAGTGGGCCTGTCTGTGTGAGGACGGATTCACGAATTTGTAGGAAGGATCACGGAGGTGCCCATCCTCGGACACATCCGCCGTGCTTCCTGTATTGTCTTCAGTGGAGAGGCTCTCAACCTCTTGCGTCTTTACCTGTCGTCTAGTCTCGTCATTCGATACATGAGCCCTGCTTCCTGGATTATCTTCATCAACATATCGTCTTGTTTTCTCTTCCCGCTGTGCCTGTCGCCTGGTCTCGTTATCAGATGCGTCGTAAAGTGAATCGAATGGTGGTCGTCGCTGAACATTTGGGGTGCGCATTGAAGGAGGAACATGCTGAATGAGAGGAATGTCCTCCGCCAACAACTGTGTTCTCGTTGTTTGACTGTGGTTTCGTCTGCCAAAAAAAGCTCGAAACGGCGAACGTGACTTATCTCCAAGAGGCTCGACCTCACTTTTCTTGGTCAAGTCACATGGGGATTCAAGGCATCCTCGGCTTGTATTAGGCTCTGTAACCAATTCCCCTTTAGCATAACGCCATACACTTCGAATCTTGTCTCGCCAAGTTGGTGTGTCAGGTGTAATATATGTTGGTCTTCTCGAGGGCGGTTGATGCTCAACCGCGTGTCCGTCCTTGAGGAGGTAGTCCACATAACTGCGGCCGGCCATATCGGAATATTCTGAGGTTTCTAGAAGAATCGGTATGTCATCCGGTCTTGGATACTGATTATCTCTTTCTTTGAGTCTGTCGCCAGGTCTCTTTTGAGGTGCCATTTTTTCTCGTCCTCTGCTGAGGAAGACTCAATTGAAAGGTGGTTGGTCGCTCGCAATCATGCAATCATGCTGGCCATATTCGAGGCTTCCTATCTTGCTGTCATCAGGCATTGGTAATGAGATCAAGGTCGCTGGTTGAACAGCGATGAAACGAAGATCGGAAGTTGAGGTTGTATGGATCCTTTGTGCGAAGAATGAGAAGTTTACGGCAAGAAAGTCAATCAAAGTGGATATGTTTTCCCATTTGGGGTTATTCTTGAAGCTTTCACAGCACGTGGAAGCGGAGCAACATTGCGCCCCTCTTTCTCTGCCAAACGCCACATACACAACATAACCCTAATATATTAATTTCTTCTTTATGTAACTGATCACTCGTACTCAGCCCTTCGTCCTCGATGTTTCTGCATGTTATCATATCCATTTCCCGCAAAGTTGTAAAGCAATATCATTTTTTCAGATCAGAACAGTATTTCCTGTTTCGGAATTCACAGAAGCAACACCGCCCTCAGGGAACTACTACTTGAGAATCCCAAAACGGCATACTGCCTATCCACTATCCAAGGCACCTTAGGCACCTACCTAGGTAGACATTCATTTGTTTTCATATCGACACAATATCACGCGTTACGCGCTCCTTATCTTGATTCTGCCTTTACATGCCAAGCAGAGATATATGCAAATGCTATGCAATCTATAGTATTATATTATACTTACCTATGTAGAAAGCTCGCCTCAAAGACCTCCTAGAAATAGGATATAATGTATTTTCTGGAGGATAACTGTGGCGTACGACTATATGATCCTCACTTTTAACACGCTTCGATTTGATGCACTGCTCACGTATCGCACCTGCAAAAAGTGGGCGCGTAACACAACCGCTGAAAGTCCTGTTATCCTCTTTTTTTAAAGGCTGAAATGAATTCCTACCGGCTACCTACCACTTATAGGTGAATTGATTTTCTTGCAAGGGTCTAGACACAGACGCTCTATAGCTGGGACGGCTTGACCAAGGTAGATGATGAGACTATAGTAGGGTCGAAAGACTTGAATTAAAGGGGGTGCTTTTGTTTGACTTTATTTTCTTCGAGAGTAAAGACTCCAAGATACTGTGCATTACTTGTAGCGCAAAGGATTCTCGGACCAGGCACCTTTGCCAAACTCGGCAGTAGCGTCAAGGTAAGCAAGACGTGTGACAGAAGATTTATCTGATGAACAAGGTCGAATCCGTCATTTGTTATAACCTGACTGGAAGGTGCCGAACTGATCCCCGCATTATTGCACAAGATATGGAGCGGTCTACCGGTACCCGACCAGCGTTTCCCAAGCGCTTGCACACTGGCTAAACTGCTCATATCGACTTCCCACCATTCAATCTCGGTATCGAGCTTTCCAGCTACTTTGGCAGCTGCTTTGAATTCGTCGATGACGGATTCCGGGGACGGTTCACGAGGTGGTGGGTTTGGTCGACATCCCAAGACGATATTTGCGCCCCGGGAGGCGAATCGAAGAGCGGCTTCACGGCCAATACCGCTGTTGCCGCCAGTGACGATAATCCATTTTCCGGTGAAATCGACGTCTGGAATCTCAACTGTTGTGGAGTTGCAGCACCTGAAGGATTGTATCTGGCACCAGAGGGAGGATGGATATTTGAAAGGCGAAGCTTTGCTTTTTTTCCCCCATCGTGAAGGAAGGTTTGGGGCTTTAGTGTTATGGTGTTTTTTGAAGCGGAGATAGAAGTGGTACGTGGTACGTATACAGAGTAGAAGTGGAAGTGTGAATGGCCACGGCAGCCTTCTATGATTCTGCCCAGCATGCCCATAAAACGAATCGTTTCCACCCTATCACGTTTATTCATTCTAAAACCATCTCACGTGGAACTGATAATATAGTTTGCTAATAACTTCGTTCCTAGAAACATTGCAGTACCATCATTTAGGAATTCCAACGTTGCACAAACTCACACCCCGACCCGCTAATTTCTAGCTACTACCTCTGAATCCAATTCAAGGACAGTTTCAGCCAGTCTTCTATAATGGGTCTTAGGCACCTCTCTAGAATATCTTGAACGGGAGCACGCTTGAAGGGTTTTGGAGATGCATCCTTTATTCGTTGTTATATGAAGTTGGAAGACTGGGTTCAGGGGCTCATATATAATATATCGAGATATACTTTCTTGCAAGCGATGACTACCAAGTCGGTAGAGAGTAGCTTCTAGTCAATAGATTTATCTGGTGCAGAGTCATGATTTGTAATTTTTTATGGCCGAAGAGGGAATTCAACGCTCGCATTTGAAAAGTCACCTCATCAAACTATCAGTCTCGGTTCTCTTTGAAATCTCCTGAAATATTTTCACGTGCTAAAGGGTTCACCTGGAAATCTTCAAAGCCCGACTGTTCATTATATTATGATATCCTAAGATGATGCTCTCAAGTTTGAAATTTGTCACCCCGATTGCCGCTACAAAGCCTCAAACATGTTTCTAGACTTCTCGTCCTCTTCATCTTCCGCAGCTTCTTTGATAGTCTGGTAAGGCTTCACCATTTGACTACCGGTTCCTGTAGACGCTAAACAAGCCATATCCCTCTCTCTATACAAAATCCGAGGCTGAGGGAGAACATTTGTTCTTTTGGGGGGCCTGGCCTGTAAAATTCCCACCATACTATCTCACTTTTTGTCGGGATCGCCAGCAGGAGGCTGTGTCTTTGAAGGTGCCGGATCATGACCAGTTTGATCTTTACTGGGTTCCTTCATCAAGTTCAACGTTAGCGGTCTCCGATAGCATGAGGATATAGATATCAACACATACTTTGATGCGGAGCACCATCCAATGACCCCTTTTTCCGCATCGGGGAACTTCCTCGCGAGACGTCCCCAAGATGATACCAGTACTAGTGTTACACTTATAACAGAACCAACGACTATTCCGTATCCATTGCATATCTTTGTTTGGGAGTAACTCCGTTTTGCTTACGAATTACTTTAACTTTATCTTGCTTTAAGCTAAGGGTTGAGAATCCTGAGAGAAGAGGGTTTTATAATCGAGTTGATGGGTCACCATGTAGAAGTGTACAAAGTAGGCAATTATATAGCTATGATTGACAAGGTGTCAATAGCGCTTTGGTATGATTCTGACCCCTCTGACGTATAATGGCAACATGTTTTGCACTTTGAATCACGGCGTTGCTAATAATTTATTATCAACCAACAAGTTTTATATTATGAGTGTCGAAGATCGAAGCATCAAAGTTCAAGAAAACCAAGGCTCGTTAGCGTTCACAAAGCTTTCCCATGTATTTGGCGCATCTGTCAATTGATCCAAAGTCCACTTTAAATCCTCTCTTCCAGTAGGACCAAAGTAAGAGTAGTCATCTATCAACCCAACACTCTTCTTCAATTTGCGTTGCATTTCTGCAGTCAAATTTCCCCTTGCCTGATCAGCGCCGACTTGAGCATAAGTGACCTTTTTGCCAGTGATCTTCGTCCATACTCCCACAAGCTCAAGCGGGGTGTAGAAAAATGTTGCACATGTGAAACTTTTGCCACTGTACTTTGCTGGGTCGAGGAGAATTGGTGCAACGAATTTACCAGTGTCGGTGATATCGATCATTGGGAGAAGGGCAGTGGGGCTCCATGTTTGTGAAAGAACAACACTTCCATTATCCTGCTGCAAATTTCAAATCAGTTTCATAATGCAAGATTTATTCATATATGGGAATAAACTTACAAGTTTTGGCCGCATGTAGGAAATATGGTTCTGCATGTACCATCCCGCCATAAAGAAACTGCTCAAAATCGGCAAGTTACGAATATATTCCTCGACCTCCGCTTTGCTATCAAAATGGGCCACATCCGTCAAAGCTCCTCTAGTCATTCGGGATACATTCGGGAGTGAAGACCAAATCAAAAGCGTAACACTTGCAGCCAGTGCAGCATCAGCGATTGCCTTTCCTTGAGCAATTTCGATTGCCGCCGACCCTTTGTCCCAGTCTGGAATACTATTATTAGCTAGAAGGAATGCTATAAGGCGTAATAAAGACATACAGTTGGTAACGCCAAAGACTGCATAAGAATCTGCAACTGCTGAGACGAGCGATTGAGAGTCACTGAGATCAGCCTGGATCACTTGGACACCTCTTTCTTTGAGAGATGTCGCAGATGCTTTGGAGGCATCACGAGTGATTCCACGCAGATGGTAAAGGTTTGAAAGTTCGGGGTTCTTCAGAACATAATCAATCAAAGATCCGCCTTGTTGCCCAGTGGCTCCGAAAACAGTGAGGAGTTTGGTCATGATGAGAGGCCCGTCCTAGATCTCCTTGGATGATGAAGAGAATATAATCTGGAAATTTTATCTCCCCCTTCTCACCTCTTATAGAAGTTCTACCCTGCCTGGTTTTCTGGGACTTTGAAGTGTATTGCTCATCAAAGCATTCGCTAGTCAAAAGGGGGGAGCTCGCTTGTTCCAATGTGGTTAGGTTATTTCTGGTTTACGCCCTAGCCTATCAGAACTGGCCCCAGCGATGATCTTGGGTCAACAACATTGGACCAGATTCTCGAATCGGACATCAACCATGACAACAAGCCACTGCATGGCATTCCGGGTCATATTGTGCAAGCTGCTAGCAGACATGAATTCACATAGCTGGGGCTGATCAAAGAACGCGTTCAGCGAGGAAAGGAAGGCATTATGGACGATGTGTCTGCCAAGAATCCTAGAAAGACACGAAAAAGAGGCCCAAATACAAAGGAAGGTTGCTCTACTTGCAGGTATGCACCCAAGCCTTAATGCAGCCGTTTAATCACGATGCTTAAAGTGGTAGGATACGGCGGAAGAGGTGTGACGGCACAAAGCCAACCTGTATCCGATGCACCTCCACGGGTCGCACTTGCGACTTTCTCTCATCATCTTCACAAGGCCGATCTGAGGGTGAGGCAGTCCTTTCCATAGTCCGCTGTGAGGGGTGGAATATTGGCTCCCAAGAGCGTGGTCAATGCTGCCGCAAAAGTCCCACTCTACACCCTAGAATACTACCTACCCTGGGTTTGCTAGGTCAGGTTGGATCCCAAGAACTTGATCATTTCGATTACTTTCGGACAGAGTGCACCGAAGAATTTTCAGAATTCTTTGACCAGAATCTGTGGAAGCGGCTCATCCTTCAAGCTGCACATACCGAGCTTTTCATCCTTCAGGCGGTCTTATCTATTGGCGCTCTCCGTCGATCCCAGCTAGCCCCACACTCACCAAGAGCTATCAACCCCGTGGTGCTTGAGTACAGTTTGAGAAAATACAGCATTGCCTCCAAAATTCTTGGACTGAGAATAAAAGCCGGTACCGTGGACTGGAAGATAGTGGTTCTTGGAAGTCTTGTGCTTCTCGCAATCGAGGTTTTGGAAGGTCATGAATCAGGGGCCCTGATGCACCTAAATAATGGTGCCGCGATACTTAAAGGCATTCTACTTACAACTGCAGATGCCTCATCTACTATGGGGGTTGGTGGCACAACATTTCCATATATCCAGCATGGGATTGAAACCGAATATTTGGTAGCTGCCTTCACACGCTTGAGTGTGCAAGAACTTCCGTTTTTTGGTGTACCGATCTCAGTCGTTCCACCAGCTCCTGCAACGACCAGTCAAAAATCCTACTTCACAAATGTCAGAGATGCTAGGAACTCTCTCAATTCCATCATTGCGGCAGTATATGCCTTCGTTCGCCGGTACGAGCAGCCGGATCTTAGGATCTCCCCGATACAACCGCTCTCTGGTGTAATCTCAACTGAGATCTCTTATCTACAGATTATTCTGCGGTCATGGATACAGACATTTGATTCCTTCTATTCGCTACTCGAACATGTCGACACAGAAACATCTCTCGCCGCGAATGTCTTGATCGTACAATATCATGTCTCCTGGGTCAAAATATCATGCTTCCTGGATGAAATGAGCTACGATCAATATTTGCCTCGGTTTGAGGAGATACTGGAACGGTCCAAAGCAATAATACTTGCCGATGAGGGTGAACCATGGTCAAAATCCAGAGGACCATGCTTCACGCTCGACATAGCAACGGCCCAACCACTTTACTTCGTCGCTCGCAAATGTCGAGATCCTCAATTGAGACGAAGTGCCGTAGAGCTCATGAAAAAGGTGGGGACAGGTATTTATACAGGAAGAACAATCGCCAAGGTGGCTGAGTGGATCATTCGCACCGAGGAGGATTCTACTGGGATGTTTGTGGTCGCCGGCCACCGACTTCACGAGGTCTTTTTCGACTTCCATCAGGAAACGAGAACAGGAACAGTTTTGGCCACACGGAGCGATATTGATGGGACTTTACAGCATATCACTGAAACATTAAATCTGGCATTTTAAGATGTCTTCTCGAGCAAGTTTGTTTCCAACTCTCAATTGCAGCATGTTTCAAATGCCTCACATCGCCTAAAGCACTTTCAGTCCCATATACACCCCAAATCCAACAAACTCGGCGAAAGAAGCCGCCTAGAAGTGCAGCAATTTCTCAAGCTATCTTCCCCTCCAGAGCAGCCATCTCTCCTACTTTCTTGACAAGCGAAACACGGTTTTCGAAAATAGTCATATCTTAGACTCTCCCATATTCCCTACTTTCAAAGCTTCGGTGGTGTCACCTTTCACCTTTGTTTCTCCCCTTCTGAGTTAGTGTCTTGGCGGTCAATGGCCACACTGTGTTTTTTATGAAATCCACCCTCTTCGATCTCCTCGAGGTTTGCAAGCCTTGTCGAGCGCTTACAGCAGATACAAGAAGGAGCAACATTTCTTGTGGTCTTGACTTTGTAATCGCAGGCTTGCCAGATTCAAAAGTTTGGTGAGGCTTGGGCTTCCATCATTCGCAGTGGCTGTTCTTCAAGTCGATATAATGTTTTCGATTGCACAGTTTGGTCGAGTTCAATAAAGGGGAAGTTCCGTCGAGGTCAGACAATTTCTGTCGAATTTCGGGTTTTGGGGCAGCCTTGTCCTTTCAAATATCGTGGTTTGAGGTACGGCAAGAATTCCATAATAAGTAGGGGGCGTGCCTAGGTTATCTTCAAGAACTCCATGAATAAATATACCTTTGAATCTCATGTTGTTTGGTGAGGGTGATTCATTGTATGAACCACCAGTCAGCTCCTTTCTTTCTAGTCAATGTGACATTCATAAACTCCTACATAATCAGTACCTTCAACGTAACGGAAAATATCTCATTCATAGCCTCTCTTGGTGGCTTTGCGGCTGCATTTCGCACGTGGACACCAATCATAGTCACGTGATGTCTCCTTTTTGGGGAAAGTAAAGAATCCAAATGGACAGTGATTACTATATAAAGATAGCATGATGTAATGATAATGGAGCCTAATGATCACTGTATTTCTTTAGGTTCTGGGTCTTTTTCTGTTACGTTTCAACGCAATACTGATCTGCGCGCGCGATTCATACGGCCGACGTTCTAATCACTAATCACTTCCTCTCCTGCATGTTGCTTTCAAATCCCCACTTAAACATCATGCATTCTCGTGTATAAACGCCATTTAGTTTCTCCGTTAGAGGGTCCAATAGGTCAATATTTTCAAATCAAGTGCTAAAGTGCAATCCGATTACTATACTTCTGTTTCGCAAGTCTATACTTCCTGACGCACGGAGATACAGGTGATCAGCAACCTGAAGTTCGTTTTAATACAGCTTTTGAGTAAGTAATCAAAGAAATATCCCTGAAATCACTTTTGAAAAGATGTATAAAGTATAAGTGGGACCCTCATGTTTTGTGGAAATCCCAACTCATCTCGCCATTCCAAACTTACCCCACAATCATACCTATTTTTTCACAGAACAAGATCAACATGTCTTCTACCACCAAGCCAACACTGCTCATCCTCGGCGGCGCCGGTTCACAAAACAGTTCCGTCACCAAAATCTTCTCCGAGGCAGGAACCTACGCAATCCACGTCCTGACCCGTTCCCTGCACTCCGCGCACGCCTCAGAATTAGGTCTCCTCCCCAACGTCACGCTCATCGAAGGCGATTGCTATGACGACGCAACCCTCACGGCAGCCTTCAAAAACGTCGAATTTTGTTTTGTCAACACAAACGGCTTTGCTATCGGCGAGAAGAATGAGATCTATTGGGGCATCCGTATGTATGAGATAGCGAGATGGGCGGGCGTCAAGCACTTCGTATATAGCAGCTTGCCGTACGTGAGCAAGAATGGGGATTTCGATCCGAGACGGAGGGTTCCTTTTGTGGATGGGAAGGCCAAGGTTGCTCGTAAGTTCGTTCCACGTCCTGATTGATCGAAACCCAAAGCCAATTGGAACGTAATGTAATGCAAGACACGAGCTAAGCTAATGTGTTTGTATGCAGAATATCTTGCCGCAATGTCGACAACTCCTATGGCTTGGAGTGTTCTCGCTACAGGTCCCTACGCTGAGCGTTTATGGGGCGACCGAGACGTTCCTGTTAAGGACGCGGATGGCATTTATGTCTTCAAGCTTCCGTTGGGGGAGGGTGCAATGCCACTGGTAGCTTTGGATAGCATTGGTATTTATGCCAAGGTAAGCAGAGCAGATTCCTCGAGCAGTTTATTTCCTTTCCAGTCGGAACAAATGCAGAGGGCCTCTGGGAACTAATTCTGGAGATTCTATTATAGTACAGCCGAATTCTCAAAGACTTCTTGATTGATTAGGCAATGCTGACTCTGAGAACTCGCAGTGGATGTTTGAACACCCTTCGCGCTCCGTCGGGCTTGACCTTGGCGTTGCCATAGCTCATGTATCCGGCGCCGACCTCGCGACCGCATTTGAGGCCGTGACTGGAAACAAAGCAAGATACGAGAATATTCCGCTGCAGGCTATGCTCGACCAAATGCCAGCAGGGAAGATCGGCTCACAAGGCTCGCCTGGATACGACGATCCGACGTTGAAGACAGCTCCAGAGCACTTCGGACCGTGGTGACAGATTTTCAGAGAGAGTGGAGGGAATACGGGACTGTGGAAGAGGAATTATGGCTTGTTGGATGAGATTATGCCGTCTAGGATTAGGAGTGTGGAGGAGTGGATGCGAGAGGTGAAGTATGATGGGAAGCCGGGGAAATATCTCACGACTGGATTGTCATTGGATTAGAGAAGAGGGTACATGATAGGCGTGGAATCCTGTACAGATCTCTTGCGTGGGAAAAAGGTTCCAAAACGTGTGGCCCGGCAAAGTTCAAACCTCAATTATGATTTACTGGAATAAATTTCATTGCAAGTACTGCCTCAACGCCTATAGAGCACTAGCTATGTCCTTGCCATTCGCCTTTAGAAGTATCGAATAGAAGTTTCGAAAGAAAAGGCTTAGCTAAATAAAAAAGGTCTAATACAGAGATGTGATAACCAAGTTTATTATTTTCGTCTTTCATTTGACTCAAATGATTCAAGGCAGATCCGCGAATAAGATAAAAGGCGAAGATCAGGCCTCCAGCCAGCCAAGGAATTACTTGCATCTTTACCGAATAGATTCTGACATGACTTGGCTTAGCACTCCCATGGTACTCCGTAATGTCAGACATGACCCAGAAAAATCTGACGTGGGAAGCCCTTATGGCGCACGGTAGTGTCGCGAGGCTTATCAGAACCAATGTACTTACTTGTCTTGACACCAAAGAGAAAAAACCATGCCGAATGTCGTCGATGGCTTGCTTATATGCGTATTTCAGTCCTATCAAAGGTCTGTTGATATGGAATCGTTGCATTTGCATTTGAAGAACGAGCCGGCACAATGTGCTAAGGGTGACGGGACGAATCTGACAATCAATGTCAGGGCCCCACATCTAAAAAGGTCTCGAAGTCGTTTGGTTTCGTGGGGGCTTTTGATTCCTTCCACTGATTGGATCTTGTAGCCTGACTGAACATGCGGTGCGTACATGACTGCATAAGCTGATAAGAAGAGGCTGACTGAACATGACTGCGTAGCAAGAGCTTATTGAATATGACGGTGTAGCAAGAACATGACAGAACATGACGGCGTAATAAAAGGATTTCCTAAAACTTCTACCTCGGACGACGTATCATAGAGCTGGAGGTTATCCCCCAAGGTGTAATGATAGTCTGGGGATTAAGCCCGGGAATGTTATTGGCTGGTGAGTGCTTCACAGGGTGCAGCACAATATTGGATAAACAACTAGGAAAGGAAACTGGTGCTCGTATTGGCTGACTTGGCAAGTAAATGAGATAGTTTGAAGCTTTTCAGCTTTCAAGTCATGTAGGGATACAGTACAAGTACAAGTAGCCCCTTGGCATAGATTAGGGCAATAAAGATTGGCGGCGATAACGAGAAGGAAAGCCATCCGCCAGATGTGCAACCCAATGAGGCTCCGTAGAAATCTTGTCTAAAAGACTCCGTAAAGGCATCATATCGCTCCGGAATATGAAGTATCCGGCCACATGTGCTAATGTCAGCTTTGGGCCGAGGCTACCGATCCGCCTTGGAATCTTATGGAGGTAGATAGAGGCTTTTGAATGGTCTGGTATACATGTGAACACTCGTGATAGTAGTAGTAGTAGGACGAGTAGAACAAAGTGTCCAATAATATATGAAATATATAGTTTCTCCATCTCAGAAGTAGATGTGGTTGCGTATAGTTATTTAAGGGGACCCCAGGAGAGGAAGTCCGAAAAGCAAGGGGGCCCCACGGTCCTGCCCGTTGCAGTGCCGCACGCCGAAGGCTCGAAACAGAACAAATGCCGAATGTGGATATTGATTACAGACTTACAGTATTGAAATTGACGGCTGATTGCAACCCCATGCTATAATAATAATACTCCGTAATGATACCAAATGTATCAGAGGCGTGGATTAAATATAATCTTACAATAATTACCTCGTATTACCGCTGCTAACAGCAGATCACACCGCTGCTTTACATAAATTGTCAGGATTTTGTTGAGGGCGTGAGGCCGGACTTCCGAATTTACAGTAAAAAGCGGCCCGCGTTCGCGCATAAGGCTCATTTCCCCTGCGTCTCTAGCCCGATCTGGGAGGTGATGTCCATCTAAAGTAGTTACGCGCAAGTCGCGAGTTCTCAACAGCCACCACATACGTCCGAGCTGAACGTTGAATTTCTGAGAATCTTCGAAGAGAGCCTCCGGAGTTGACATCTACAAACAATCACGTCGTGCATTCCGCCGCCTACGAGTACGAGTCATCTTTGCCTGACATGACCCGACAATCTGCACCCCTTGGACGGCCATTATCGAAAGAGCGTAAATTGTTGAGACTTTTGCTTATCCGACGAGGCTTTGGCGGCCCGTGCCTGTCTCTTCGAACTTCGAAGCACTTTTTATACCCAGACCATGGACGACTCACGGCCTGGACCCGAGGATGTTCATTTTGAATGGGAAGATATCATAGAGTATAAAACTTTCTCAACTCCAAAGCACGGAAAGAGCCCCATTCCAAATCGCCATCTCTCCTTCTCGGAGTATTCGCGGGCGGACCTGAATTTGATCGATAGCGACGTTGATGCCTCGCAATCGAGTGAAACAGAAAGCAATGTTAGCACCGGGCGCTCTAGTAGTGTTGCGGGATCTCACTCAACACGCACTACCTTCTCCCTCGGCGGCGTTGACGACCTTCCCGGGGATGAAGAGCAAATTGATTTTCCTTCGTACGACGATACCAATTCTGGCCTGCGGGTTTCGGGCTCATGCGATGATTTCCATTCCTTTCCGGCAATTAGTCCAACGGGAGACTCTAATTCGCCAGACTTAATAGAACGAGCTGAAGATGATGTCGCAGTTGTTGCTATCCCCTCGAGACATGTAGATTATCTCTCACATGACTGGTGTGAAGAAGATATTTGGTCGTCTTGGAAGCATCTTCGGTCAAAACGATCAGATTATAGCAAAAAGGAAAGATTAGAGAATGCAGCGTGGCGAATTTGGGGGAAAGCAAGACAGAATCTCGTCACAATAAAACCTGACACCATTAGTTGGTATGTGGTGCTAGCCGCGTGTGTGTCGCCTGCTAACATATATCAGGAACAAGGATCGCGATGTCACTTGGCTATACGGGCCTCTTCAGACCATCGCTAACGAGTCAGATTTGTGTTATACTTCAGGAGCTACAGTATCAACTATACACCAGGTCTTACCCCTAAATATAAAGCCTATTCTAAAGAAACGGACCTTGTACGAGACTTTGCTCCAACGCTCCATATCATCGTCTTCTCTGGACAAACAACCCGAAAGCACCGCATTTCGCCCCCATGATGATTATTTAGAGCCGAATCAGAATGATCCGACCAGGAATTCTGTTAGGTATGCTTCCACAACAAGGATTAACTCCGTCCAAAACCTTTCGACGGCAGGAAAAAACGTACGATTTCACGAAAGGGTGGAGCAATATATTGCACTGGAAAAGGGGGACCATGAAGAGCCTGGAAACGAAAATGAACTCGAAGATTGCCTGACGATGTATTACAGTCAGACGCAACAAGCCAACGTGAGGTTATACAACAAAGCTTCCTCACTGTTGGACAAATCTGCACAGGATCCTCCTAGTCCAATGAAAACAATCGCAACGCTTCCAACAACCACACTGAACGATCCTAAGGCTACCGAAACACCTCCCAGGCCTGCCAATAAATCGACTTGTTGGACTCCTTCCTCCTACGTCTACGACACATCCATAGGGACTGTATGCACAGTGGAGTCTGATTCGATCCGGGCAGTCCATGACGATAGTGACGAGGAAGACTGGCTAGAATGTTTCGCTCCTCGGGATGATTATTATGCGACGTCTGATATGACTTCAGGCGGTGAACTCACTTCACGTGATGTTTCTACGTACGATCAAGTCCGAGCCCACGAAGTCGCTCAGGCAAGGTCATCCAGTGAGAGAAATGCTCGCTCAAAACAGGATACCGATAACCCTGATGATTTCTTGCATTCTCACAACATAGCGCCATCTGGTATCACCGCCGTCCTCGAAGAAGAGGCTGCCTCTGAAGATACTTCAATCAGCGAGAAGGGCTCAACAGGAACAGACTCAGACGTCGACTCAGATACACAGAGCACATCAGAAGACTGTAGTGTGGAGTCTGATGAGCCCTCGAATGGCTCTCTTCGTGACTTGGATGTCGAGAGGCTGTCAGACAAAAATGACATGGGCTCTATCCTAAACCCCATCAAGGAAGACTTGGTAGATAGGGTGATGGATGAGTTCTGGATCCTTTTCAACCATCAAGAATGGGACTGTAATATCACCACGTGTAATAACACCTCCCCATCCTCAACACCAACTAGCATCACCACATCAAGTAGTTCAGCGCCGTCGAAGCAAGCTGAAAGGAAGCGGCAAAGGATTGATGACGATGAAGGGGCTGAGGACAATGAGGAGAGGAGATCTCGGCAACCACGCCGATCCTCAGCGCCAAAAGAAGGAGATGAAACAAGATTTGCTTGCCCCTTTCGGAAACACAATTCGCGCCAATATAACATATACAACAATAGAGTATGTGCTTTGAATAACTGGCGGTCAATAGCGAGGGTGAAGTGAGTTTTTCGACCTCGGTTTTATGGATCTTATGCTAATTAGAACTTAGGGAACACTTGTATAGGTGCCATCAAGTTTCACCTCACTGCAAAAGATGTTGGCGAACCTTCAAAACGCAGCAACAGCTTGATTCACACATCACAGTTGCCGCTGGTGATATATGCCATGTTCAACCGGGGAACCCGCCTACAGGAATCACTCCAGTTATCGAGAGACAGCTCAGAAGTAGGAAGAAGTCTCATCCAAATCAAAACGATGGTGACAGATGGAGAGATATTTATAAGCTGCTATTCCCCAATGAAGAAATTCCCTCTCCATGTAAGTTCCTAAAATGCTCAATCTGAGTTACATGTATGCTAACGGTGCCCTAGATTTTGAGGCAGTCAAAACAGAAACCCCGTCGTCGCCTGATTCCCGAGAACTAGCAAATTACGAGGAGTACATTCGGCGTGAGCTCCCCCGCCTGGTTCGTAGTAATATCGAGGAAGTTGTCCACCGGGAGACCCAGCCGCTGGAGGCCTCTTTGATCGGAAGCCTCGTCGGAATCATTCAAGACTGCCAAGACCGAGTTTTTCGAGCATACCGAGAAAGGCAAGGGGTTGATCCAGATATGGTGACCCAAGCCATCTCCCCGGCGAGCAATAATATGTCTCGTTCATTGCCGCGAGTAACTTGGGCTGAAGACTGGGCCGCATACAGCTTACCTCTCCAGTCAAACTTTCTCGACGCTGCATTTGAAGCTCCTCTTCGTACTGAACAGCCTGCACTGGACCTTTCACGGCTCGGACAAGCCGAACAACCAAGACGAGATATTTTCTCCGACTCTGGATACGCAAGTGAGCCTCGCTGCAGTTGCCAGGGTTCTTGTACTTGCCTCAATTCGGGTCTCGACACACGGATCCAAGATGGCATTTCTGGTACTCCTACTAATCGTTTCGGTTTGAGCGATTCAAACGCCTATCCCTCTTGGCATCAACTTGAATCGACGGAAGATGAAGCTGATTGGTGGATGAACATTTGATATTGAGAGCCTTGAAGCCTTTCGATACATTTGTTCATCTGGGGTGGTCATGAAAGCCGGCAAAACAAAGTATAGAACTTTTGCCGAATATATACCATCATCGCGGAGGAAGGCCGGGCCCCACTTATCGGCTCTTGATCAACATCGGAGCCTTATAAAGGATTCGGCGGCGCAGCAGAATGGAGCTGCACACAATAGCAAGTCTCAAGACGATCGAGAAAACCAAAGGCGGGTTCTCGGTCATTGCACTTAACCAGTTGTGCTAATTGGGTTTGCATGTGTATATGAAGATATGTATACTTGCACATTACACCATATATCATATTAGAATTAGCCGTATAATTAGATATGCTACTAAGCAAGTTCTGGCAAGCATGGTTTTACAGGTATCGAATCAAAAAACATACCTCAACCACAACCACTCCGTATTCATTTCAACATGTGATCTAATGTGCTGAACGCCACTATACAGTCCACACGCAAGACATCAGATCTCTACACCAAACTACTATCTCTTTCTGTGCAGAAGGGTCCTCATCACGTGTCAATATTCTTTCTGCCTCCCAACACCGCCGCCCACCGCATCCCACCCCCACCAAAAAAGTTTCCATTCTCCCATCCCACCAAAGAGTCAAAAAGTCCTATCATCCATACACATACCTACCTATACCTAACAAGTACAATGGATGACCCAGCCTTCACCCTCCCGACTCTAAATCCAATCGACGAAAATACGCAAACAATCCTCCTGCACGCCTCCCAGCACAACCTCGCAGCCCTCAAACCCCTGCTGCGCATCCCGGGGAACGCATCTGTGCAAGATCCGGAAACGGGGTTCACGCCGCTGCATGCTGCGATTGCGGCGTGTGAAGATGAGGAGGGGAATTCTTCTGAAGTGGTTGTATGGGAGGTGGGTGGGGAGAAGGGGGATGGGGAGAAGGTGGATATAGAGAAGGCTAAGGATGTCGTGAGGGAGTTATTCATGTCGGGCGCGATTTGGAATGATCTCGATGTAAGGAATGAGACGCCAGGGTGCCTGGCGTGGAGGCTGGGGACGAAGACGAGGGACTTGTATGAGCTGTGTGTGGAGGCGGGGGTTAGGGCGGAGATGCTGTTAGGGATTATGGGGAGGTATGAGGCGTTGGATAGTGGGGATGAAGAGGATGAGGAGGAGGGAGAGGCCGATGTCGATGCCATGGAGAGCGAAACGAATGGGCATACGGCAGAAGGGGTGGAGGGTGAGGGGGAAGAAAAGAAAGATGTCAACTCCGCGGATTACCTAGCCTCGACCCTGAAATTCGAAGACGATAAACTGCTAGATGCCGACGCAAATGGTGTCATGATGGCCTGGGAAACCAATATCATGCGTCGCAGTGTCGATCTCCTCCTACCGAACCAGAACCAGCAAGCAGGAGAAGGAGCCAGGATCCTGAACATCGGGTTCGGAATGGGCATCATAGACCGCATGTTCGCAGCCACCAAACCACGCTCGCATCACATCATCGAAGCACACCCCGCGGTTCTAGAGAAACTGGCAGCAGCAGACTCGGACTTCAGCAGTGCGTGGGAGAGCAGCGCGCCACCAGGAGGGAAATACGTGGTTCATAAGGGCAGATGGCAGGATACGCTACCCGGACTCTTGGAAAGTGGAGAGGTATTTGACGCCATCTACTTCGACACGTTCGGGGAAGATTACAGCGCGCTAAAGGAATTTTTCTCCGAGTTCGTGCCGGGACTACTCGATGAGAATGGGCGGTTTGGGTTCTTTAATGGCCTGGGTGCTGATAGGAGGGTGTGCTATGATGTGTATACCAGGGTTGCGGAGTTGGATTTGAGTGAAGCAGGGATGGATGTGGAGTGGACCGATGTGCCTGTGGAGGAGTTGGGTGGTGAGGGTGAGGGGGAGTGGAAGGGTGTCAGGAGACGGTACTGGACATTGGATACATATAGGTTGCCGATTTGCAGTTTCTTGGCTTGAGATGAGATGGGAGGGGTGGATTTATGAGAGATGAAGCTGGCGATAGATATACTAAATGATACCCGTGCTGTAGCACATGAGACTAAAAGCATATACTATACTTCAAGTGCATAGAACTCTCAAATGGAGGATTGAGACTCTTAGATCTGGACACCCGTTCTTGTCGTTGGTATGTCTTTGTGATTCTAGCTGATATTTCCTCTTTTAAATTTGTAAACAGCATATATAGTTCACAGTACATAAAGAAGGCATAATGACAAGGACCAAGCTTCCGTAGGAGAGGTACATAGTAATCTAGCCTCCAATCCGACCAACCTTTTCTAGTGTAAACAACCCTCCGTAAAACCACAAGTTCTTTATCATTTCGTCGTAATTTCTGGCATATACAAGCATCCTTTCTTCATGTCCGGTACAGTGTCTACTTGTATTTCTCGGGGTGCAGAATACCAGCGAAATTGCCCTCCTTGACGCGCTTGAGAGTCAATGCAGCAATGAGCGCAGCACCAACTCCAGAACCATCCTCAGCAGCAAGGATTTCAATAGGGTCTTCTTCCTTGGGGCTCTTTTTGGCTGGCCAGTCAAGAATCTCTCGGAGTGCCACAGCACCACGTTGCTTGAAGTGGGGGTACTTGTTGAAGACGGATCCGTCGGCGCCGACATGACAGGTCTTGTATCCCTTCTTCTTTGCAATGGCGGCGACACCACAAGCAGAGAGACGTGCAGCACGGGTTCCGATCAGCTCTGCAAGACGACGGATGAGCTCGAGCTCAGGGCGGGTTGTGGTGATAGATAGCTTGTTACTGAAAAGATCGCCCGTCTCAGACAAGTTCTCAAAAGGGTCCCTGTATGACGTCAGGTTCTGCAAATCATAGTATTACACGAAACTTACTCCTCGACCAGGGAAAGGAATGATGAGTCCAAGGTATATGCCTTTCGGAGCTTGTCAATGTTCTGGCCCTCAAAGATGTGGATCTCCTTGTTATCGTGAAGGTCCACCAATACGAGACGGAAGATTTCACCGAGGTATAGACCAGCAATCATCTTCTCGAAAGCTTGCTGACCCGGACGTGGAGAGTCTTTATCGACGATGATGTCGTATTGAGTTCGTGGCAAAACTTTGTGCTCGTTGTCAAAGGCACCCCACTCGCAGTTGATAGCCATTGGCATATCTTTTGGGAGGTTCATGTGAGCCAACTTCGGAATCGATCCACAATCTTCCATGTAAGCTGCGTTACATCCAGTACCAAAAATACATCCAATTTTCATCTTGGGGTCGGTATAAGCAGAAGCGATCATGGTACCAGTAGTATCATTGATCAAAGCAGTTAGCTTGATGGGAACGCCCTTCTCGATGTTAGTGATATCCTAAAATCAGCAGATACGACATACCCGCTTGGCGATGGCAGCCTCAAACATAGGAACCACATTCTCGCCTTCAACACCTGCAATATCAAATCCCTTGGTCCATCGTTGGAGAACACCGTGGTCTATGTAATCTTGTGTGGCTGGGAAGGAGAAGGTGAAACCCAAGTGCAATTCGTCGAGCTTTTGACCATTATGGTGGGTTTCGACGAATTGTTGAAGACAGTCTGCGATGTACTCCCAAAGTTCATCGGACTCGCCAGTCTTCAGCTCTTCTGGCATGCGGTATTTGGATTGAATGATGTCGAATTCAGATTTTTGGTCAGTCAAGATGATCTCACAAACTCGCAAGTTTGTTCCACCCATATCCAGCGCAAGGAAAGTCCCGGTCTCATCACCAGTGGGGAAACCCATGCACCATGTTGGGTTCATAGGCTAAGAGGATTTAACAAATGACATACGAGAATGTTGAATGTTGACTTACGATGCTACCTCCCTCGACTGACAAGCCCTTATCAAGCTCAGTAATGAAGTGGTCAGTGACCTTCTTCAGCATGTGCGCGTCAACCGTGAATAGCTTTTCGAGCCGCTCGATCTGCTGGAGAAGATCCTTTGGCACATCGGCCATGGAACCTATATTTGTATGTCAGTATAAGCCCGCATGCACAAAAGCAACCATGAGCCAAGATCATACGGCCACTAGCACGTAATAGCGGTGAGCTGACTTGCTTTTACCAGTCTCATGAGGTAAGTATGCGTATATAAGTCTATATATTGTTGTTTGGTAAGGAGAAAACAATGCGGTTGGATCTGTCAAGAGCAATGCTAGAGCAGGAGTACCATAATAGGAGTACCATAATAAGAGTATCAAGCAACTCGGGGCTGGTGAACTCTGAAAGAATACCCCTCCCTTGCAACGGGGAGAAACTCCACTGTACCACAAGGGCACGCGGGCATGATGAATAGCCAAATGCCAGAGTATATTCCTTGAATAACGCAGTACCTCCCTCACAAGGATTCCATCTGAATACAAACAATGCGTGGGAAATAGGGGAGTACTGACCCTTTCGGGAAGGCGGACGGCGGGGTCCAAGACCGACCATATTGAACAGGGATTGCGAGAGAGGGAAGAGGGATGGACTGTATGTGAACCTTGGGATCCCAAAGATTGAAGGATAAGAGGACGAGAGAGGATTGGAGATGGAAAAGAAGCAATGGGAAATGGGGAGAGTTTTTGATTCTTGTGATAAAACCTGGTGGGATGTCCCCGGCCCGTTTCGTCACAGCGACGCGACCCCCACCAACATTGCTTACTCATCAATTATTTCAGCCACAGCCACACAAGGAAACCACTGTGGCTGACACATCTCTAGAAGAACACCTTGCGTAAGCTCTACAGTACACAGAGCTTAATCACTCCGCGTATACTTACAATCACCACCACTCCAAACCAAGGACTTTTCTTCTCCGAGGCCCATTTGATTTTCCCGCTGGCCTGCCTCTGTGATTCAAGATGAGGCCATTGGCGATCGCAACCGCCGTCCTCTCATTTGCATCCGCTGCTGTTTGCGTAGAGAAGGGAAACTTGACGAAACCACTTACCTCCAAACTTATTTTACCCTCAACCTTCAGACCCGCGCAGAATTTCAAAAATGCCAACTTGGTACATATTATCAATCTAGAGAAGAGCTATCCAAAAGAATCCATCAATGTGGTGATTGAGAACGTCGCCAGTACGCCCCAAGATGAGTATTTCATACCATTCACGTCCCAGCAGATGGCGACGATTGGAGGATTGGAGGTGAAGGACAGGAAGAACCCAGAAAGTCCTTTGTTCGAAGTGGAGGCTGTTGAATTTGACACTACAAGGCAAGTTCATTATCTACCTACCATTGACAGGCACTAACAGATGCTATAGTGACACGCAATTCTATCGCATACATCTTCCAGAACCCCTTGCACCCAAGGCACAGCAAACATTAGGCATTTCTTTCTACTACCTCTCGGCATTGAACCCTCTACCAGCGACCATTGCCCAAGCAGACAAGCAATACCTCGTTTACACGTTATCCGCGTATTGCCAGTCAGCATATGATACATTGAAGCAGAAGACGGAGGTCAAGTTTCCCTCGACTACGGTTCCTGAATACACGATTGTTCCAGGAACAAAGGGCTCACCGGAATCGCCCCAGAAGCAGGGCTCCAAGTTCACATATGGATCATATGGAGAGGTACCAGCTGGTGCCGTGGAGCCAGTCAAGGTCCGATATGAATTCACGAAGCCATTGATCCACGTATCAGAGTTGGAGAGGGATATTGAAGTTAGCCACTGGGGTGGAAACATTGCATTCGAGGAGCGATATATCATGACGAACCGGGCTGCCAACCTCAGCAAGCAGTTCTCCCGAGTCGAGTGGGCTTCTCAGACATACTACAATCCTCCATCCACAGCAGTGAAGGAACTCAGGTTCCCTTTGAGAGTTGGAAGCTTGGAGCCATACTTCACGGATGTTATTGGTAACGTCTCTACATCCAGATTCAGGAGTAACAGACGCGAGGCCAACCTTGAGATCAAGCCCAGATATCCAGTATTCGGAGGCTGGAACTACCCATTCCGTGTCGGATGGAACGCGGATCTCAAAAAGTACCTGCGTAAACTGAGTGGTGGAGAAGGCTATGTTCTGAATGTACCTTTCCTTGAGGGGCCAAAACAGCCTGAAGGAATCGAGTACGAACATATCGAGCTTCGTGTGATCCTCCCAGAGGGCGCTGAGTATGTTATCCACTTCTACTCAACACTGCATCTGCTAACAAGTCACAGGAATGTTCAATACAGCACCACCGTCCCTCTCGTTAGCGCTAGCACCTCCCTCCACCGAACATTCATGGACACTACCGGCCGCACAGCACTCACTCTGACTGCAATCAACATCGTCGATGATCTCCGAGACCGTGAGCTGATAGTGACCTATGACTACCCACTCCTAGCTGGTTTCCGGAAACCATTGGTGATTTTTGTGACCATTTTGAGCTTGTTCGCTGCGGCGTGGGGAATTGGCAGTCTGGATGTCACAATAAAGAACAAGCGATCTTAGAGGAGTTCTGGGAGGCGTATATGTACAGTTATAGCGATGCGATGTAGAATAAAAAGTCGTTTCCTTGTCCATTTTCTCTTGGCTTTCGTCATGGCAAGTGCCTACCTAGCATTTGCGACAGTGGGAGATTTCTTCTTGAGACTTAATCACAAGCACGCTCGGGTTTTTTAAATCATTTCTCATGCCTTGCTTGTGGGCTGTAAGAACGGGGACAACCTGGTTCGAGTATCGATTGTCAAAAGATCGCTAATTGTAATTACAAATAGTATCAGCTGACTCGCACATGTTGCCCAAGTTGGCGCGTCAATGCGAAGCGCGATCTCGAGATATGCCTGCACATATAAAAAACGCCGTCTTCAAGGGATTCAAGGCACATCAGAATGCGCCACGCTCGCAGACTAGACAGCTCTATTTGTATCCGCAAGTTGAAGCATTTTGAAATCTAGAACTTGAAAGCCGTGAGGTGATTGTTATCTGAAACGTCCCGTCCTTGAATCATTCTATATTTAAACTTAAGCGGGACGAGAAGTTAAGCTTGATCTAGGATCAACGCTACATCCTCCATGTGGTCCATCAGCCGACAGGTGCCTCTACGGAACGGTACGGAAAAATAGGCACATTTTTTGCACAAGCCACCCTACTAAATTCGCATTAAAATAACCTATTTTATGGCTAAATATGAAGAATTCCTTCTGGAAAATTTATGAAATAAAAGATCGTAGCTCTATTTAATATATATACTCTCAGTTTACTCAAAATTTCAAATTATTGCTGGCAGCAAGGTGATATTAGGTGGTGGATTTAGTATGGATCAAATCCGCCTATTTTATCGTACCCCACAGCTTGCCCACTTTCTCTGGAGGGGTTCCTTGTTCCCTGAAATATGATTGGGGATCCCAGCGACGAGGCCACTAATAGTCGGCGACTGGAAGTCACTTGATAACAATACGGAGCTGTGCTTGTGCAGAGGTACTCCACAGTCTCGGAGGAACTGTGGCTTAATGAGAAAATGAGGTGCTCTTTCTTGCCCTGTACTGTATAAACCCGTCGGTAGCCAATCCCTTGCGTCCTGGGCCTGTTCCTGTGTCCTGGGTCTTTTCCTTTGCACTCTACCGTCTAAGTTTCTACTCAGCTTCAGTGTCCAGTGTTGCTTGCATACTCGATATATGTGTTTCGCCTACGAGCAATTGAAGCATTGGTGTACCGACGCTCCATTCGGTCGATAATTTCAGCCATCAGAGACAGATACCTCGCAGAGGTAGTAGGAGCCCAAGATGCGCTCGTCCACACCCCTCTTTGCAATTGCCCTCTTCCTCAGTATACCAAATGTAAAAGCAAACGACCTCGACACATCCTGCTGGTATGAGACGAACAACCAAATACAGTCCTCCTCAGACGGACCATGTGGTGTTATATCACCTGGTACCGTGCGTCTTCCCCTACTACTATTACTTCCTTTCTAACAAACCCAGGGCTACAAAACCTGCTGCGCTGTTAATGACACCTGTCTCGCCGACGGCATATGCCAATATACACACGCAGGCCCTACTCTAGGCCAAACAACCGGCTACTACGTCGGCGGTTGCACAGATCCCAGCCTAAATTCCGATAACTGCAACACCCACTGTTCCTCTTTCAACTACACAGATATTGTCTACAACAAAACGACAGACAGGTGGCATTGCTGTGGCGATACAGATGGCATTATACACTGCGATGATCCGGAGCCCGAGTTATTTGATGCGCCGGGCCCTGTACATCTGGGAGCTGGATACTATACCGTGCCGAGCGTTGTGAGTACGACTGCTGCTTCCATAAGTACGCATACACATAAAAGTTCAACCTCAAATCCTTCTGACCCTGCTGCTGTATCTGCCTCGGCCTCAGCCTCGGCCATTGCTGTCAGCAAGAGTACTTCCAGCGCAGGGACCTTGAGCACAGGAGCAAAGGCCGGAATCGGTATAGGATCCGCAATCGGTGGTCTCGTGATAATCGGACTCATAATATTCTTTGCAATGCGCCATCGACGGAACAAGCAAGGAAGCTACGGCGGTGCGGAAGTGGGACCGTCGCCAGTCACAGATAGGGGAGCGCTGGTAGGACATCACCCAGGGGTAGAACATTACCCAGTGGTAGGACATCACCCAGAACTTGGAAATATGCAAGTGAACATGCAGCATATTGCGCGAAGTCCCATGTCTCAAAACTCGACAGTATATAGTGATATCAGCAGTGGAATGGGGGATACTCCGGTAGTGCCAATATCGGAGGATTCTCGTAGTGGCTATGGGAGTAGAGAGTATCCTCCTGAGAAAGAGTCCTACGGCGCGGAAACTACTATTGGGAGACAGGAATTGCGTGGAAACGATGCTCCGAGGCATGAACTAGCTTGAAGAAATGTTAAATATTTAGAGATAATATTTGTAAATACGGTTGTAAATATTGAGTGGGTATACAGAGCTCTAGTCTTAATGTAAAGTCTCCAAAGCTTGAATTTGAACGCCAGTGTCTATGAAGCCTTCATTTATCTCACTTCCTAATACTCAGAACCCCTCCATTGAGCTCTATCAAATCCCAGGAAATGATACCCCATGAATCATTTCCCCCCCTCACTCATAATCTCCACCACCCTCTCCCCAACCCCCCTCCCCATCCTCGCATACCCCTTAGCGGTAAAATGCAACCCATCATCCCAAATCTCCTTTCTCTCTTCCTCACTCATACTATGATACGGAATCTTTTCCTTCAAATCAAACAGAAACCTAGAAATCCACAGCCAGCTCGTTAGTCAAAACATCCCTTCATTATTCGATCGATCCCAAAGAACAGCTTCCCGCTTCTAAAAAAAAAAAGGAAAAAAGGAAACTTTACAAGCTTTCCTTCTCCTCCACAAACCGCCTAATAGACCCATTCAACTCATCCCTCTTCGCATCTAACTTCCCGCTCTTGACCCCACACTCCGGCACCGTCATAACGACCACCCGCGCCCCATGATCCAGTGGCATCTGCAGCACGTTCTTGATATCCGTAAATATATCATTCGCGGGTCGTCCATAGCCGAGATCGTTCGTCCCGCCTAGGAAGATCACGAGGTCGTATGGTTCTTCGGACGTTCGATCCGACGCATCTATTTATTCGTCTACCTGATTAACTAAACATGACATCAAATCAAATCAAATCTAGTTTCGATTCCTCCCAAGCTAATCTCATAGACTTTGTATGGAGTAGGAGAGGAGAGATATGAGGGGAGGGGAAACAAGAGGACAGGACAAAACATACAAATCTCATTCATCCGTCCCCCCATATGCAGCACCAGCTCTCCACTAACCCCCTGCTCATCAACACTGATTTCCCACTCTTTTCCCGGCAAGGCTGCTGTGAGGACTTGTTCCATCGTCGTGCAGTAGGGTGCGTAGCTGAGGCCGTGGTGCGTGTAGCCTTCTGTGAGGGAGTCGCCGAAGCAGAGGATTCTGAGGGGCTTAGGCTCCATGTTTGTCTAGATACTTGGAACTTAATGGGAAATAGGGTTGGAAGAGAGAAGGAGAGATAGTTGCAGAAAAGTGCTATGGAAGAGGCTGAGTTGAAGGTCCTGGGTAGGTAGGGGTAGGTAGGCAGCAGGTTTCACGTGATTTGACTCCTTGTCTGCTCCGGTTTTTTACACTTTGTAGGTATGGAATTGGAATTCGTTGAAAACATAAGGAGATATCTATCATATTCTACTAGGTTGTGACGCGGATGATGTTGGAAATCTTAGTTGTGCTGATGGTACTTCTCGAGTGCTTCCCCCTGAGATAAGCGCTTACTATTCCACGCTCCTCTACCACACACATTAGAGAAGCAATGTACTCTTGGGATACTTACCTAAATCCTTTGGTAAAACTTAGGGGTTGAATTAACAATTCTGTCTCTAGGAGCACATGAAGCATAGATTGTATTAAATGCGACGCTATTTATCCCATTACATAGATAAATATCAGCCGGATTTCAGCAACAGAAAATGACGTCCCTCTCGTAATGTACAATGTGGGTAGCTACACGATCTTGAGCAACCCTACTACTTACGCTACACAATTGTCCCAGTACATCAAATAAACTCCCTTTCCTTCAACTCAAACACAGCATTCAGTACCAGAGTGAGGACCAACATCACACATAACATGGTTGGTCCAAATTTATCGTGGTATTTGATAGCCTTCCGCGTCCGGATTGCATAACTTCTCCACATGTAGATACCGACGGAGTAGAGGAGGAAAAAAGCGGCAATGGCAGTCAAACTTCCAGCGGCAAAGAAGGACATGCGTGATGGCTTGTCGCCGAAATTCAGTAGTGTCGTGGCTGCTAAAGCGAGCCAGATGGAAATCTCAAGCTGGATAAATGTTAGTATTGTCACCAACATGTGAATGGAGTACATACCCAAGACAAGAAAGTCCTCTCGGCAGCAAAGAAGACCTTTGGCTCTACTCTCACCGGCACATGAATCTTCTTCCCCTTTGGTGCTTTGAATCTCCTGCTGATAATCCTACCCTCTCCAAGTTGAGCTTGCATTCCACTTCTAGGGACCTCTGATGGCTTTGCTATTGGCTTGACTATACGCAGAGTGTTAAGCACGGACTGACCAGCCAATCTTGCGTGCTTCTTTATAACCTTCGAGTAATATGGCCAACCTCCAATTCGACGCGCTTCTTCGATGGCTTCTACCTCGTCATCTTCCTCATCGGAATCATATAGAGGGTAATCCTCATTGAGAGGAAGCGCAGCTAATTGCTCTTCAATGTCTAGAGAGTTTCCGGTAGCACGGTTCTGTAAGTCTCGATCGCCCAGTTCATCGCGGGTCTTGCGTAATCGATTAATATTCTCGTCCGAGCTATTTGCAACAGCAGTGTTTGATGACTCCTGTGAGATATCGTAATCATCGTCGGAATCGTCATCCTCGTCGTCGCTAGTGCTAGTTGTATTCGTCCGAGGAGCATGGTGGATGCCAAAATTATGTGTGGCGGGTTTACGAATATCGATATCCATCTGTGGGAACCAGAAAGGGATCAAATTGATACGAGTAGGGAAGAGTGTTGCTGTCCCGTGAATAAATTTAGAGAATTTTGGTACAGCTTCAACCAGATGGCTGGAAATCAGCTGTCGAACCCAATCAGGTGGTTCTTGGCCAGATTGCGTCTGAAGCTTCACCTCAAGAACTGCGTATGGAAATATTTCAATATCCTCAGGTGGCAATTGCGAGAACGGAAAGTCGATTCCAATATCCATTCGTCTCCAGTTGTCACCAGCTCTGGCACGCCCGTCGAGGTTATCCTCGCGAACCATTGTAAGTTCCGTGTCGAGAGAAATTCGAACTCGAGCATCAGCAGGTAGTTGAAAGGCGGTACGGTGGTAAAACGATCGGCAGACTGGCTTATACCCTTTTTTCAATATCGAATACTGGATTTCCTTTGCAAGTCGTTCATCCTCGTTTATGACCGCAGCAGGTTTCTTCCCATCTTTCCGTGCCTTTTCGAAAATGGCTTCCGGAAGCATGGCTCCTTGTAGGTATGCATTGACATTCTTCTCCTTCATAGCAAATCTAGCCTTTACTGACTTCTCTCCAGTCCAGTCTTCACGATGTGTCTTCCTCTCCACGAAAATGGTTTCTGTATCCATTCCACCATACCATCGCAGACGTATCGCTTCCGCGCCTTCTGTCTTTTTCAGGCGACCTTCGTAGAGATCCCACACTTCGGGGTTATCGTAGTAGATGGAAGTAATGGCCGTGTCTTTCTCATCAAACTCTTTATTTGAGTTGAAAACGAGAACGGGGAGATGCTATTTATTATTAGAGAGAGAAAAGACCACCCCAAAACAGAAATATACACACCTTCATTATGATAAGCTTCACCTCGGTTATATTGTCCTTGTGCACCCAGTATTTGGTTGTTTGTCGAATGAAGCTGCCCTGGCTACCACCTGCGGCGCTATCACCCGTCACAGGCTTTCCCTTCGACTTGACAGTATCCCACAATTTTGAAAGCTTGATGATGTCCGAATCGTAGTTATCCTTGAAAAATGGCTTGGCCTTTAGTCGCGTCGCAAAAACAGGTTTAAGGATCCATTTCGTTTGTTTCTGCTATGGTCAGCCTTGCCTGCAAAGCAAAGATTCAAACTTACGTCGTGCTTCTTGATGATCTTCTGGAAGCCCGTGTAGTTCAGCTGGACGAATTTGGCGAGATCATTGACCTCTGCAGTGATCTCGTTCAGATCTTCCTCCAGCAGCATGAAGTCCTCGCTATCCGGCTCATCATTATCCTGGACACCACTACCATCTCTGGCCCTGGGCCTCCTACTTTCCATTCTCTGCACAACATCTTTGACCTCCTTCTCGGTACTCCCGATCCGTCTGGATATCTCAATGATCTTGAGCTTCTGCTTCGTATAGACTTTATCTAATTCCTGCTCGATGCGCGAGATAAACTTGCCCTCGTCCTCCTCGGTCCACTCCTGCCTCTTCGGTTTGGGGTTCTGCTTGGTGGGAGGCGACACATAATCCTTCTTCAGAGTCTCCTTCAGCTCATCGTAGGCGATGTAGTACCATTCGTACTCGTCAATTATACTCGAGCGGAGCTGCTCGCCGAACTTCATGACGATAAAGCCTGGTAGGATATTGTATTGCCCTCGAGCTCCGCGGATTTGAAACTGCCAGGGACTTCTTTTGGTCCTGAGGTCTTTGAGAATTAGCATTTGAGAGTCATATCGAGGGCGCGTTGTAAGATAATTGATTGAGGGGCACGATGAAGCCTCAGAGTGAACGTTGAGGGGGGTTCAAGACAGGTGTTTGGTTGTGAAATTGGCATACCTATTGAAGGGAGGAGCGGGGGACTGCGATAAAACTATAAATTTCTGCCAGAAAGGTAGTGACAGCGAACAAGTTACCAGTTTTACCAATATTATCCAAAAAGAAGAAGATTGGGTCGTTGGAGGGGAAGCTCTTCCATTGGCCAATTAAATAATGTTACTGGCACATGTGCAAGCTAAGGTACTTCCGTACAGTACACTATAGTATCTTATCGCATTGCTTAGTTCTCGTTTCAACGTAACCTAGGCGTATATATGAGTATTAGCCGATTAGCATATCATTTCCTAACCTCACCTCATCTTCTTCTACTGCATTGATCTTGAACTACCCAAAAGACCTTTACACTCATACTATACATCAGTGCTTTTCTGTGCACCCGCTAAACTTTATTACTACTTGAATTAAGCTTTCAAAACTCGGGGTTTTTTGTTGCGTGTTTTTCATGCTCTTAATCAAGTGTTTACCGTACAGTGTGTTGGTGGAAAGATGTTGGATTTCTGAGTCATGTTTCTTGGAGAAGGAACCAGCCTTAGTCGGAGGGTGGTATGCTCTTTTTAAGGCTGGGATAGAGTAGGTGGATATTGCCTGGGATCGAGCTCTTTAAGTAAAGAAAGGCTTTGAGCGTACTCTATCATTGGCACCCTAATAAATGTCTCGCAAGAGCGATGCGCTCCTTCCCAAGTCCGAGGCCACATTTCATCAATCGATCTTTTAGATCCTCCAGCCTTAGAGGTAGTAGGAAAGAGAGAGCGAGGGAAGAGATCATTGTTAATTTGACTTGTGATATGATGATTGATGATACAGTACTCGATATGCGACTGCCCGAGAAATGGAGACCAGGCGCAGAGAAAGTGTTTATAGTTATGACATTGCCTTATATATTCATCACCATCATCTCAATACACAATATTCTCCCCTTTAGGTATTCTATTCAGCTAGATGCAATGCAATGCAAGAATATGCCATAGGTCGCAAACGCAACTGCGAATGCAAACGCCAAAACCGTATGCTATATCCACATGACTACATGCGAGAAAATTAACCACCACATCTCATCCTGTCTCCTAGCAAGCCAAGTATCTATCTACAATGCGAAAGCAAGCACAAGTCCTCCAATCAACGCAATACCACCCTGGGCCAAGTTGCTCGCAGCCGCGTTGGCGACCACGATAGGCGCGGTGGCCGAGGAGCTAGAGCTGGCTCCGGTCTTGGTCGCGCCGATAGTCGACTTGAGCAGCGTGGTACTAGTATTGGCGATGGCGGACGTTGTTGGGGCCACGAGAGTTGTATTGGATGCGGCGGTTGCGCTGGAGTTGGAGATTGTCGCGGATGCGAGCTTTACCTCGGGGGTTGTGAGGCCGGCAGATGCTGTGACGGTGACGATAGAAACTATTGTGCTAGAGCAGGGGCTGGGAATGGCGCTGGAAACGGCGCTGGAAACGGTGCTGGGAATGGCGCTGGGAATGGCGCTGGCAATGGCGCTCGCGGATGAGACTGAGGATACAGAAGACGAGGAAGAGGAAGAGGCAGAGCCTCCAGTGATATGGAATGGCTGAGAGTATTGGAAGATAGTTGGGTCCGAGTTCAACTGGATCTTGAAGCCGTAGGTCACAGCGGTAGAAGAAGGAACCTTCCAAGTGTAGCTGCCGACGCTGTTCTTGATGGAAGTGATGGTGTCTCCCGGTTGAAGGGTCGCGGGGTCATTGCCAGCCAAGATAACGATTGATACAGTATCGCTGTCGGAGGTATAGCTAGATGCGGTCCAGGTAATGGTGAAATCGGACCCAGCAACTAGGTTTTGATCTTTGGTACTCGGCGAACTAATGGCATCGAAGCCGGGAGTAGGGTCGGTCGCAAGAACAGCGGAGGTGAAGGCGGCGAGCGCGAAAATAGTCTGGGTGAAACGCATGATGATTGATTATTGGGAGAAATAGAAAGATTTCAATGAATGGACAGTATCTGAGATACAAACAGTGAGGAATTACTAGATGAAAAGTGCAGTGATGGACGGACGAGGGAAGGATGAAGGAATGGGCATCTGGGGATATTTAAAGCGAGTCATTTCGAAGGGCTCAATCACGCACGAGGGTATTTTAAGCGTTGTGCCGTAATTAAGCATTGGATTCAAGGCACAATGAGGGGCAGTAAGCCGATGAAGGATGGGATGGTTGGAATCCAAGTACCAAGTACAAATTGGTGTCAAGGGGGAAATGAGCACATCGCATCTCACCAAGCTACTGCAAGCGAGATTCGCCAGGATCGGCTCGCACAGCCCCTTTTTTGACAAACGGTACTGTATACAAAGGTGGTAGTACGGAGGGTAGGGTGGAGGTAGGTACATGTAAGACAAGGACATCATTCGTCCGATTCTGCCTGGGGGATGATGGTGATTTCAAGCCTCAATATTGCTAAATGCAGTCTTTTCAGACGTCAATACTCCGTACCTACTTGTAGGTACCTTAGGACAGCATCAGCAGTGGCAAGGCGTAAAGTCAAAGAAAGTTATTGGGAACCTCGACTTCAATCCCACCCCACCTCTACCAACATTAACTTTCCACCCGTTCCGACTCCTCGTATGGCTTTTGTACAGAGGCACTATACCGCCGTTACTCCGCAAAGCATCGTTTGCTCCAATTTCCCTAGCGCCCAGGGGTCTACCGACGCACTGGAAATTGAAAGTGTAACATCAGCGACATGCGAAATAAAGACGCGACTCACTTGGCAATGAAACATCTAAATCTTCTCTTTGCGCCATCATCATCTCCATTGCTGCCTCGCACAAACGTTGTCATTCACATATGCAGTACAGTACAAATCATGCCCTCTCCAGCTTCCTTTTCGGCTGAAGAAGCAGAAGTGGAGTGGTGGATCAGCAACCAAGGCGCTAAATATAAGGTTCATAACTTACCGTAATTCCCAGGCACCAGTCCAGTCCTGCCCGTTTAGGCTAGTCAGGTACAGTGCAGTGCCCCTTGAAAGTCTTGGCAAGGCAAGGCACGGCTCCGCTCCGCTCCTCCACCTTTGCATCGCAATTAAATTGTTCGCCGTCGCATTTCGAACTGTGCCACTACCTTCATTATGGGAACGTTTACGTGATAACAAACGGGTACGCCGTATTGTCATACCATATCATAACCGTAGAGTAGGTAGTACAAGTATAGTAAGCATTCAATCTATGTCGGGATATCGAACTCGCGAGATACGGCTCCTACACTACCAAACACAGCAGGTCCCGAATCTAGTCTCCTTTTACAACAATTCGTTCGCTACATTCTAGATATCTAATTGGTCCTAATGATATCCTTGGCGGTCGCTGCATTTAGGAAGGAAAGAGACCGTAACTAACCTCTTTATTTCCTTTTCTTCTCCATCCATTGTTTGCAGTCTCCGAGTGTCTGTCAGTAGCCTTGAGGTGGTACCCCCCAATTTTTCTTTGCTGAGGATGCACAAAGTAAGGTAGTGTGTGTGCATGTACAGACGTTTCTGCTCAACCTATAGCTACTAGGTAGTGTCCGGAGGTCGCAGCACGGATAGAATGCGTCGTCGCAAAGCTAGCTTGTCGTGCAGCTGTTGGATCTGTATTCCTTGGGCTTTGGATCCTATTCCTCAAGCTGGGGTATGGGATGATGCAGGCTGTGCCTCTGGATTTCCTATTTGGCATGTTTCTCTTTGATACCGTATCAAGTTCAAGTTTCGAGGAATTCTAGTTGAGGGGAAGCTGCCATGCCAGGAGATTGTATGGCCCTCTTCCAGGCTTGAGAATGACGAATATTCAAAGAACATAGCGCGATCTTTCAGCCAAGGTAGTCCCTTTCTAGGATGTTAGACAGGCTGCAGGCACAAGGGACTTGAACCAATTTCATCTGCTATCTCTGTATGTGTAAAATATGCTATTTACAGCCCCCGGACCGAGGCGCAATATTCCCTGGAGCACGCATTACAGGCCTCATCCAATTACGCCCAACCCTTGACAAACACAGCAGCAGCAGCAAAGCAAAGCAAAAATATTACCACCTCTCAACGACCACCAACCTGGCCCTTGGGAATCGGTTTGATCCAGCAAACAGCGAAATTGAGACCAATGGTCACAACACCAATGATCCAGAAAGCCTTACCGTAATCGTTGCCAAGATATCTAAAGATGATAGCAAAGATGATGCCACCGAAATTCCCCATCGCGCCCGTGACTCCGGAAATGATGCCGTTGGCAGAAGGGTGGACATGCGGCACAAGGGAGAAGTTCGCTCCGTTTCCAGCCTCGAGGAAGAATGCCATGCCAGCGACGAGTCCGAACATGGTCGAGTGGGAATGCGAGTTCACGAGCCCGATAGCTATGAGGAAGGCCCCGGTGACAAGCGCAAATGAGTGCACCAGTATCTTCTTCGCCCAGACCTTGCCGGTCTTCTTGTAGGCGATATCCGAGACTATTCCGCCAAAGGGACGGCACACTACGTTCAGGAGGCCGAACATGGCAGCCCAGCGACCGGTGCCGGTTTGACCGAGCTTGGGGAAGTTCTTTAGGTAGTAAGCGCCTAGGATGGAGTTGATGGCTAATTCGGCGCCGAAAGAGCAGAAGTAGCATGCGGCCACTACTAAGGTTTGGGGTGTGAAGATGACAGACATGGCTTCTTGGAAGGAGGGCTTGACGACCACTTCGCCCCGTGCAGCACTCAGCATATCTTGTTCGCTCATGGTGGCTTCGTGGTCAAATGAACCGTGCTTAGCACTTGCAATGCCTGCTTCTTCTTCGAGACGCTTTTCGTCGCTTGAGCTACCCAGTATGTTTGTGCCGGTCTTCTGGTGGTCTGTGATGGTGCCGGGGATGTCGACAACTTCCTCGCCACGGATGCCGTGGGCCTGGAGGTTTTGCTGGACGGCGAGGTGGCGTTCCGACCACTTTCCTGTAGGGGTATCAGGACAGAGGAGCACCATCGTGATGGCAGTAAAGGTGATGATAATAAACGGGACGATAAAGGAGACTCTCCAAGCAACGTGCGAAGTGAGATGTTGATCCTTCTTAAGCGAGTCATAAATGGCGGGCATGACGAAGTATGTTATTCCTCCACCAGCGTTACCCCAGCCTGCTGTCAGAGCATTGCTAGTTCCCACGACATTCTTATCGAAAAATCCAGTCGACCATACTTGGCAAGGCACGAAAGATCCACCAAGGATTCCGATGAAGAAACGTATTGCGTAGAGACCTCCTGGCCCAGAGATTGTACCGGCGAGAGCACTGGGAATAGCACCGACGATCAAGGTTACTGCAAAAGTGTTCCTGGGGCCGAAACGATCACACATCGGTCCTGCAACTAAACGAACGAGAAGCCTATGTGCAAGCAAGTCAGCTTTTGAAGCTCCGAGAGCAGGCAAATAGAAGCACTCACGTTGCAGTCAGAGCAATGATATTCGAGTTTGCGATCTCATTTTGGGTCAACTTGAGATCTTTCTTGATTGCAACACTTAACAGCGGTGGAAAGGCATACCTGGGAAAGTTATGTAAGTATACATTTTCGTTTTCCATGTAGGGACAATCTACTTACCATGCCAGGAAGGCAATCATAAATCCGAACCAAGCAAAGTGGAACACCCTTCCATGCTTATTGAAAGGGTTGAGAATCGGGATCGAACGAGCCTTTCCATTTACCGGATTGATCTCTGGCGCCTTCCAAAGTGTTGTGACTTTGAAACCCATTTTTTGCTGAATACTTTCAGATGTATTGATTGGCAGGGCGTCAAAAAGATATCCGACCGGGGTGGGAGGCGTGAGAAGTATTTTGAGATCCAAGTGGATTTGAGGATACTGGCAATAGGTTGATTGTCTGACTGTCCGAAGGAAATATAAGTTGTGGTAAATGATTGTACTTATAAGTCCCAGATGAATAACGTCAAAGGGCAATCAGATCAGATATCTCCGGAAAACTCATAAACGAACCCAAGCTAGCGATCACAAACAGCAAATCCGCGGGTATTATTCCATGCGGAGATCTTCAGCGTCCGGTGGACCAGACCCTTGATGGTGGAGCCACCAATCCTTGTTGAGATGTGGGCAAGGCACTCACTGCACTCTGAATCCAAGGAGGTCTGGATCTCCCCAAATGTTTAGCGTCCAGGAGATGGATGCTGAAAACTATACAAGTACAGCTTCTCCTTATTCCAAATGTGAGACAGAGGCTCAATTGATGCTTTGCTCTACTCCGTATACAAGTAAAAGATGAGGGGCGTTATTGTTCCACCACCTTGTATCATACTCGTACAGCGATGCTTTTACACCGGTGGCAGTGAACTAAACTTAATCAAGCTTCAGAAGGACTCATAACATTGTAAAAGCAGAAACTAAAACTCTCCCAAACCTCTCAGAAGAGAACAACAGATTCTTGAGGCTGAACGGGAAGAAGGGACCGGCAGTCTGTGCAGGTATACAGAACATGTGGTGGGAAAGTATTTACTACTCGAGACGGCCTTATCGATGGAGGTAGGATTTGGCCAATCACAGTCTGCCTATTCATCCATGCATCAATGACTGGAACGATACAGGACAAGTACTTCCCCAGATTCATGATATAATATGCTGATGCGAGGTGAGGTGAGGTGGTGTGGTGTGGCTACCCTTACCCCTTCCCCTTATCTTTGACGAGGCGCTAATGGCTTAAAACTGGAAATTTACCAGCTTCACGACCCACTTGAAGATAAGAGACTACCTTACAAGGCTCATAAAGCTCAAATACCTACCGCTTCATGTCCGTCCATTTCCGCGGGGAGTCTTTAGTCTTTACTTTACGGAGACATTACTATTCTCTCAAATCGCCACGAGAACCACGATTTCGATCTCCTGGGAAGGAAAAACACCTGATAACTTTGATTGGACCACTGGAACTACCGAGTACACACCACCGCAACAGATCTATTTGTTTATGTTGTTCATAACCCCTTCTTCACGCAAAAGAAAGTTACGATGCGTGGGTGGGATTGCTTGTGTGTGTTTCTCTTGTCCTGGAATACCCCACGTCGGTCAGCGTTATCTTGACAGGGGGATCAATAGCCCGACCAGATCGATATTGGCATCTCCGGTGCATTTGATCTAGATAAGATATCCCATTGATGAATGTTACAGCTGCAATTCTTATTCATAAGCCAGTACAACAGAGGATGATTCTCAGTAATAGCAGCGTCATCTGTGGGAGACCTAGAGTTAATGCCATTCATTCACGGGACCTCCCGAGTCTCACCTTGTTTGTTGGTACATCAGATATGTAGTACTACTCCTCTCCTACCCAATCTGAACCTCTTTTTCAACCTTGAAAGAGGGACTTCTGCGTTCTGATGGCATGGTGCTAGAAACAGTATCTGAAACGAAACATACCGCTGTTTCTTGATGGGAAATCTATTTGCAAGAAGCGAATGATAGTCTAGTTCTATTGCACATTTCCTCGTGCTCGTCGCAACCCTCTCGCTTAGCATCTCATTCTCTGCCTCTCCTTGAAGTTACTCTTTCCATATCAAGCATGCCCGTTCCTCTGCTTCTGATCCACCTTCAAACCCGCATTTCCAACCCCGTCTTCCGTACTCATCACCATCTCTCTGAATCCACTCGCATACTCTTTCCTGATCTTCTCTCCTCTCTTCCATCCCTCATCCACCCCTCCATTCCAAATCTGCCTGAATAACTCCATCGTTTCCCGCGCCGTCAATTTCCTCCCTACCGTCAACAGCCTCTTCTACGTCTCCGCCACCTCCTCGGGGCCCTTCCAGAATCTTGACCGAACCATTCAGCCAACAACTGATCCGCGCATGCCGCACCCGCCTCCTAGGCTGCAGTCAGCGCGGCGAGCCTATCAGATCCTTCCTTCTCCATCTCGACCGACATAACTACGCAATCGGGGCAGAGCTCATGCTGGCAATCGTCCTATAATTTACAGCGGGTGACGTCGATTGAGGTATTATAGGCACTCTGCAGTAGAACCACTATCAGCTATCCATTGCAAGAAAAGGGATGGTGGCACGTCTACACGGCTGCTCGATTTTTTATGTTCTTGGCAGCAGAACCATGCTGGCATTTGGAGCGAGTAGGTGGTGGTGGCTTTTAAGAAATGTTTTGTGAAGATATTTAAATTGTGGTGGTTGTTGAGTTTGATTAAAGAGGAACATTCTAGATGTCTTTGCAGACGGGAGGAAGGAGCTCTTTCCGTACTTGCCTTTTTGTGGACCTTGTGCCATCTCAAGCGTATTTCGGAAAACTGAACTTCTCTTTCCCAACTCATGCAGAGTCTTGGATAATTCTGGGTTCCGTTACTCATGGCTTCTCGTTATAAGAGTTGATTGGCATTCATGGTTCAAACCTTTATATGTGTATTGGCTGTCTCTTGATCATCTCGGCTTTTATGAGACATTCAAAGCGGTGAAATTTGAGGGAGTCAACACTGTTCCGGTGAGAAAAAATGCCATACCAACAGAATGTAGTCTATAAAGGTCTTAGTATAGAGTATACTTTACTAACATGCTAACCTTACCTCAGAAAGACCCCCATCGCATCAACCTAATCCTTCCACCCCCTCCTCCTCCCGATTTCCTTCACCACATAAACCAGCCCCAGCAAGACCGGCACCTCAATCAGCGGCCCAACAGTAGCCGCAAGCGCCTGATCACTATCCGGGCCATACGTAGCAACCGCAACCGCAATAGCCAACTCGAAGTTATTACTCGCAGCCGTAAAGCTCTGCGTAGCAGCCAGCTTATACCCAAAGCCTAGCCGGTAAGTAACCAGCAGCGTCAGGAAAAAGATGATGGCAAAATACACCACCAGCGGCGCGGCTACCCTCACTACGGACACAATCTGGTGCACTACGTGCTTACCCTGGGACGCGAATAAGACGAGGATGGTGAATAGGAGGCCGATGAGCGACCATGGCGCGGCGCATTTCAAGAATACTTGGTCGTACCAGCGCGCGCTGGTGAGCTTGCGGAGCGAGAACCGAGTCAGTATTGCGGCGGCGAGGGGGATGCCGAGGAACACGGCGACGGATTTGGCGACGGTGGAGTATTCGATATCGAGGGTTCCTTCTTCGCTGGAAATTACTTTTATGAAGAGGAGAGCAAGCGGTGCGTAAAGGACGATTTGGAGGAGTGAGTTGATGGCTACGAGGATGGCGCAGTATTCATTGTCGCCTCCTGCTAGGCCGGTCCAGATTAGTACCTGGTGTGTGTGTTATTAGTTGACCGCCTATGAGTTGAGTTGAGTTGACTTATTCAAACTTACCATTGCAATACACCTCGCCAAACCCACCAAAATCAGACCTTCGCGTAGCCCTCCTTTGTCAGGAAGAAAAGCCCAGGCTAGTCCGAGCTGGAAATAAAGTTCATCATCAGCGATACGCCCACCATATATCTATATCCTTTGCTCAAGCCAAGAACAGAACATACCATAACCAACGGAGCAACAATCCAGTTGACAACAACACTAAACCCAATCTGCACCCAAATCTCCCTCTTCCGAAACACCCGATGTAAAGTCTCGAACTTGACTTTGCAAAGTATAGGATACATCATAACTAAAAGCCCAACAGCTAATTCAACCCAAAAGTCAATATAAAAACACACTTGATCAAGAAAGAAAGAAAGAAAGAAAGAAAGAAAGAAAGAAAGAAAGAAAGGAAATAACAAACCAATCGGCACCGAAACCCCCACAAACTCCCCCCTCTGCAGAGCCGGTCCAGTATTAGGCACAAAGTTCCCCAAAAGAATCCCAACCGCCATCGCCAAGAAGATCCATAGCGCCAGAAACCTATCCAACCATCCTAGACTTTTGAAAACTGAACTTTTCGCTGCATCTTCTTCTCCCTCCTCCCTTACTGGAGGCTGTTTTTCCACATCCGAAGAACCTGCGCACGGTTGAGACTGTGATTGTGATTGTGGTTGGTAAGGGAAGACATGGTCAGAGGGGAGGACGAGGACTTTGGGCATTTCTTTTTGGTGAGGATATATGGAAAGGGAAAATCTGATATTGGAAAGGAGTGACAGATGTAAAGGGTTTGAGAGTATGAAAAGACAGGGGATTGAATCAAAGGACTTTGATATTCAAGAACCAACTTAACTTTTCTTCATTCATGATAAGGCATGGTCGGATTTATAGTAGAACTCGAGGGTCTGCGGAAGTCGTTCGCCTCAAGAACTGTAATAATTTAGCGAGGCCACTGGCCAATCAGAGCGTCGCAGTGACATTTCCCATTTAGCGGTTTGACCTGGAGAGAAAAAGCGGCGGCCAATTCGAATTGTGTCTAGGTGGAGTGGGACATCAGAAGTTAATGACATCCAGTGCCGCTTTTTGTATGTAGTACGAAAGCGTGCAAGTCACGCAAAATTACACGGCATTCATAAGAATCCGATGACATTCTTCTAGCTCTACAAGTAGAGTTTGTCTTATATATCTTCGAGAATTGCTGTAATCATTCAATTTCACTACTCTGTACCATGACCTGATGCCTTTAAAGAAAGGCTATACATGAGTAACAGCTAGCTTATCCGTATAAAGTTTCGCCTGAACTCCAAAATTAAGTTTTAATACTCTAACAATACATCATTCGTCGCTGTCATCTTCTACGACCCTTCTACTCTTAGCTCGAGAGACCGGCTTCGGCTTCTTACTTATGAGATCCGGAATATCTGGCAAGCTGTCATCATCTGAATCCAGTTCGTATATTGCCCGCTCGGCGGATGGCTTGCGTCTTGGCGATACAGCTGGGGGGGACTTGATGATTTTGTCAAAGGTTGTCTCCTCCTCACTCTACTATCGTCGTCCTCGGCAATGAAATCGAGGAGACTTGACGAGGGTTCCATCTCACTATCTTCTGATGCCCCTTCGCTGTTGGCAAGATCGTCACCTTCTCCTTCAGTTTCATCTCCAAACGTAGGCGCCGGCGCTCTGAAATTTGAATGATGCTGCTCGGGCAGGCTGCTCTGTTCTTCGCCGCTCTCAATATCGGAAAAGACCAGAGAAGTTTTCTGCTTTTGAGTTGGCTTCTTCCTTGGCACTGCTGCTTTGCAAGACGATTTGCAGCTTCCACCTTGTCATCATCAACAAGAGAAGGCAAATCCAAGTATGCAAGCGAAGATTCTCGATCACCATAAGGCTTTTTGAAACGGTTTTCCGTGTCTCGAGATGCTGCCAAGATCTTGAAGAGCTCTACACATCTCTTGGTGTATTCACCATGTGGGACTTTGACGCTCCGAGTCAATGATCGTTGCACAATAGGGTGAGATGTTAAATCAGGCATCGTTACTTCCTGTAGATCATCCCCTGCGATGTTCTGATATCTCTTTTCAAGATCTTTTATGTCTGCTTTGCTTAGTAGGACCGAATCCGATGGAAGCACAGGAGCCATTTGACCTTTTTGTACCGCTGTGCTCTTGATAGCTACACCAGGTTTGGAACTAGTGGAGCCACCACCAGCTAACTTTGAAGCTTTCCGAAAGCCAGTCTCGACATCGTCTGGCATATGAAACTTCTTAGGAGGCTTCTTTCGTGCCTTGCTGGGTCGTCCTCTTGTTGGCACAGGCAGCGCTGGGCCCTGGGTGTTTTCAATAGGAATTTCTATCATTCTTTTATCAACACTCGGTGTAATAGATTTCGGAATGATCCGAACGGAAAGATCATGTCGAAAAGTGAACCGTGCCCCGGAGCTGATCATCTTTTGCATTTGCTCGTAGTTGTCCTTCGCCTTAATGAATGAATCCTCCTCCTTGCCACGCATCAAGAGCAGCACAATATGTCCAGCTCGCTTTCTTCCCGTTCGTCCCATGCGCTGGAGCATGCGAATAGGAGATGCAGAAGCATCATAACAGATGATGAGATCGACCTGACCAATGTCTAAGCCTTCCTCGCCGATAGATGTTGCGACAATGACATTGATCTTTCCACTCTTGAAGTTACTGATTGTCTCAAGCTGCTTTGCTTGGTTCATGCCTTCAGAGCGCTTCGAATCAGCTTGACCAACAAAGACTGAGGCCCGAACCATAGGCCTATGTCTATGCAGGACACGACAGATTTCTTCCGCGCTGTCCCGGTACTCTGCAAATACGATAATCCGAGTGGCTGATGGAGGGGAATCTTCTCCTAGTCGTCCCTCACCGGCATCCATGAAGTGGTTCAAAACGGCATCGCAAAGAAAGGTAAGCTTGGGGTGACCAACAAAAGTATCATTACCGATCCACGATCCTATTCTATCCATCATCTTTTTAAATTCTGGATGCTCAACGATTTGCTTTCGATATTTTCCACCTTTGTTGCCATCCTCAACAGCTTCTCGAAGGTCCTTAACTGCGGAATAGAACGGTCCAATACCATGAAAGTTTAGTAATTTTATACCGTGAGCTACACTGGAAAGAATAGTGAATAGTGCATTCATCATGCCTTTCAGGCCAAAACTAGCCGTCTTTCCTGCATTGGATCCCATCCACTGCTTCCTAGCAGTCACCATGCCAAATGCAGTAAGTGACATCGGGTCCTTTTTCCAGTAGGCGTTCTGAGCACACAGTAGATTTACCAATGGTTGAAGTGCTTTCGAGTAATGCTCCTGCACTAGGGCCATCTCATCTGACGGGTCGAGAAGGACTTGGTCAATATTTCGACTATGGACGTATTGCTGGATATCCATAGACTCCTCAGTGCGAATCTCAACCTTGGAAATCTCCAGCCCATCGACTACCTCTTGGACCGCTTCAACGCTTGCACCAGGAGTAGCTGTCAGCGCCAGGACGCGAAAGCTCTTGTTGAAGCGACGCATAAACTTGACCACATTTACGTAGGCGTAGTTACCAGTTGCCCGATGTGCTTCGTCAACAACAAGAAGCACAATATTCTTTGGATCAGCAATACCACTTGACAGATCATTTTGAAGCGTCTGAGGGGTCATAAAGAATACTCGCTTCTCAGCCCATTCATCAGCTCGCAAAGCCGGTTGTTGCTCACCCGTAAGCATCGTGGTTTGAGACTTTGGTATGCCGACAATATTAAAGCACGCTTCGGCTTGTTGGGCCACGAGCGGTTTTGTTGGAGCAACGAATACGATCTGAGCCTCTGTAGTCCATCGAAAGTAATTAAGCATAATCGTGGCAGCGATAAATGTCTTCCCTAGACCGGTGGGAAGAGCAACGAGGAGATTGTTGAACAGCCCATTCCTAACAATGCTGTATTGATAGTCACGGATCGCACCGAGATTGATTGGGTAGACCCAGGTTTTGAGAGCATCGTCGTCGAGCTTGTGATGGGTGGGTTCTTCTGGAGGCAGATCTACGATGAAATTATGCACTTTGTTAATTTGCGATGCTGGCACCTGCTCTTCTTGTGCGCGACCGCCGAAAAGAGTGGTTTGTCGGAGACCAGTTTGCGGGGCTACTAGGCGCTGTCGTGGAAATGAACTGGCTTGAGAATTGCGTATTGGAGACGATCCAATCGTGATAGGCTCTTTGCTTCCAGGGCTATTTTCTGGAGAAGAGAAGGCGTCATCAGGGAGATCATCCAGTTCTCTAGCTGGATCATTGGTCTTCGGACCCGAAATGTTGCCAGTCAGCCTCTGAAGAATGTTGGGCTTTGCAGCAGCATTTTGACGAGCAGCGGTGAAGGTTGGCGGCTTGGATACTTCTGGTCGCGGTTTTCTGTAGATGGCACCTCTAATCTGATATGCGGGGCTGGAGTTGGGGAAAGCCTCTGCTTGTGTGGCCCCAAGAATTCGGGCTGCCGGTACTGGTTCGACGCCTTCGTGGATTCTGAGTTTCTTCTGCTTCTTCGCTGACTTTCCATTCTCACCTTCCCTATCTCCAGACTCAATTGCATCTACCGACTGTCGAGAATGGCACCGAGGCCCAATCAATACTTCATCATCTGATGTTTCGCTGACCCTTCGTCGCTTTCTTCGATGTGGGGAGAGTAAATTCGACAGCAGAGGTTGAGATGGTTGGCTGATGGCTTCAATAAAATCCTCATCTGCAATATCGCCATAGTCCTCCTCTTCCATCTTGGCTGCGCGTGTTGAGGTGGCCAAGCATATCGCACTGTGCGAGTTGTAGAGGTGTCGCGTCTTGTCGCGAAAAGGAACGCGACGTTGATGCTACTAATACACGGTCACGTGGTTCACTCGAGGTTGAAACAATCCTTCTTCGCGACTCACGAATTAGTATTTTAAGGGTAATGACGAGCAAGTTGCATTGAATAGTTTTTTTCTAATGTTGAGAAAGGTCAGAGAGCGTGTATGGCGGCATACTTGGACACAAATGTCAACAGTTAGTTTTCAAACGCACACGCTTTCAATGTTAGCTTTGATAAGTATGATATAGATATATCTTATATTTTCTACTGCGCATCTGCATCAAAAATCGTGAAAGACCGGGCTTTCATAGATTCTTGTAATCCATAAGATGCCATTGGAACATTCGATGGCCTTAGGCATGGATCAAAATCCCCGCCCAGACCTTTTAACAATGGGTTTTCTCACTGCCCCTTGTGAAGATACTTTCTTGACCACAGATGATGCGATCTTCTTGGTAGATTTCGAACTCTCGTTCTCCAGCCTCTTGTCTTCGCGGGCCTTGTCTTCTGCCATTTGCGCTTCAATCTCCATCTTTTTGTTGAATTCAACTTCTGTCACTCGCTTCTCCCTCGCGGAATAGCCCTTTTCCTTAATCGAATAGAAGACGCCTCCGAGCTCTGCCAACCAGCGAGGATCAACAGAAGTTACTGTTGACATGTATTCTTTTGAGGTGAGAATCAATTCGTGGTAAACGACGTAATCCGGAAGGTAGCCAAGTCCGTAAAGAGCACTTGTAGGGTGCAGCTGGACTGTCACACTTGTCCTCAAGTTGACATACTCCCCAATACCTTTGACTTTCGCAGCTTGATGATAGTAACCAGAGCAAATGCATTTCCGAATGACGTCCCAATCAGTACCACAACTTATCATGGACATTTTTTGCATTTTCATAATATCTAGGAGTTGTTGTCTGATCTCTTTTGCTCGGCGTAAAGATTTGGGGTGCAAAAAGTGCCGAGTACACCAAGCGTCTGAAAATCCATTCGACTTCCATTGGGAGTAAACATGCAAATAGGTCAAGTGGTCAGATTCCGGAACGAAAAACTTCTCACGAGCTGCGTCGGACTCTTCTTGGCGTTCTTTAGGCCGATAAAACACATTTGGAACAGAGAGCATAGATACGATGGTCAGCATCTCTTCACTACAGCCATATTCTTCAGAAGTAATGAGTAGCTTAGCCAAAGACGGGTCCATAGGGAATGCGGTCATTTTTTTGCCGACGGCGGTGAGGTCACCGATGTTGTTCAGGGCACCCAGTGCCCACAAGTCGAAAAGAGATGTTGTAATGGTATCTTGGGGAGGTGGGTCCATAAAATCGAAGTCTAATAAGTCTTTAACCCCTAAAGATTTCAATAGTAGCACTGTGTTACTGAGGTTTGTGCGCTGAATTTCGGGGATAGTCTGGATGTATAATTCATCCTTGAAAGCAGCTTCAGTGAAGAGATGATATGCTTTCCCAGGTCCAGTACGTCCAGCTCTACCAGCTCTCTGAGAAGCATTCGCTTGAGAAATAGGGGTGATCTGCAAGGTATCCATTCCCATCCGGGGATTGTAAACCTTGAGCTTCGAATAGCCCGCATCGACGACGTACATGATACCATCTACTGTCAAACTGGTTTCCGCAATGTTCGTTGCGACAATGACTTTTCGGACTCCAGGAGCAGCTTTATCGAAAATCTTCGCCTGTAGATCTGCTGGCATTTGGCTGTAAATTGGTAGAATGCTCAATTTTGGGGGATCGTTCAGAGCATTGAGTCGCTCTTGAATAAGCTCGCAAGTAACTTCGATATCTTCTTGCCCAGTCATAAAGACCAATATATCGCCGGCTCCCATGGATACGTGAATTGCAAGGACCTGCTGGACTGCCTGATCAACATAATCCTCCACGGGCGATCGGTGAAACATGACATCTACAGGAAAAGTTCGTCCCGGGATGAAGAATTCAGGCGCTCCTCCGTAGAAATCAGAAAACCGCTTCGAGTTCATGGTAGCAGATGTCACAATCAGTTTGAGATCTCGTCGTCGAGCCAAGACCTTTTTAAATAATCCCATGAGAACGTCGGTATTCAAGGCCCTTTCGTGGGCCTCATCCATGATAACGCAGGAGTAGCGATCAAGATCCGTTTCATTTAAGGATTCTCTGAGAAGAACACCATCTGTCATGTATTTGATACATGTCTCCTTGCTCGTACAGTCCTCGAAACGGATTGCATAGCCAACGGTACCACCGAGTTTGCATTGCATCTCTTCACTGACACGTTTGGCGACACTCATTGCTGCGACTCTGCGAGGTTGCGTACATCCTATCATGCCTACGTCTGCATAACCGTCTTCGTATAAAAACTGCGTGAGTTGGGTTGTCTTGCCGGAACCAGTCTCCCCAACTACAATGACTACTTGATTGTCTCGTATGACCCTCAACAAGTCCTCGCGAACCGCAAATGCTGGTAAGAATTCTCTTTGTTCCTTCAGAGACTTGCTCTGACTGAAATTGCTTGCGCCCTCATTATTTTTCATATGCTGGCCGAACTTGCTGGTTCCTTGGTCTTCTTCCCCTGGTATGGGGGCGGCGCTATCTCCTTCGTCCTCTTTGACGCCCATCAGATTTCCAAGAGCTGTTCCGGCCATATTTGTAGCTTCCTGTGCCTGCTTCTGTCGCTCTTTTTGTTGCCGTTTTTCCTTCACCACCTTGCTGCCTTTCCTACTAAAGACCGCCATGTCACTCTGGGCGTCTCGTACCGCGGGCACCGGCTCCAGCTGTTTGGAAAATACAGTCCTTCCATCTAGGAAAGGAGGCTTGAGATCGTGCACAAGCAAGTGGACTCTAGTCGTCTCCTCATCATCCTCAAAATCGTCTCCAAAGTCTCTTCGCTGAGCCACTCCGGACGTGAGCATCCGATTCGTCTCCCAAGCGTCAACATCTTTTTGCTTTTGATTTGCTCGCGCGCTAACTCGTTTCCCAGTCTTTTTTTCCGTCAACGCTACCTCTCGCTGCTGATCGGCCCAGGAATTGTCGTATGAACCGAATGGGTTGTGCGAGTCATCTCCAAAGGTATGTCCAGATTCATCACCAGCATACCAGTCTCTATCCAGGGCATTCGAGTCCTCCTCGTTCACAAAGGGCTCAGGGCCATCAAACTCTTCTTGGTGAGGAGTTGAGCGAGCCGTCGATGGGTATCTTGACTGTGCACGCGGAGTCGATGCCCTGGATGTTCCCATACGGCTTTGGGACCTCGATTGTGCAGAGCTGGGTTTTCCATTGTGGACTGAAGATGGTCTCGTGGGTACCACGAACCTATCGTCAGATCGCAAAGGGTTGAATTCCAGTTTCCGCCGTTTGGAGTTGGATTCTCCTTCATCCCCAGCCATGGTTGTGCTGTGCTGTCTTGATATTGTTTGGCCTCAGAGCTGCTCCCCTGAGAATGGGCTTTGAGCAGGCCCCGCTAGCGCCCGCTTTGCGATTAGATAGGCGATGTGGGGTGGTGGGCAAAAAAAAGTTCTTGGGCACATTGAACTAACTGTATCACGGTTTCCTTCGTAACTGGATAATCTACGACAAGAAGTCAAGATGTCTATGATAACAGCTACAGCATGGGTGCCCCGCGGCTTTGCAGCCCCTTTCCCTACTAAATACACATTTGACGAGGAAGAGTTCCAGCGAATTGCGGATCTTGCAAAGCTGCAACTTGACGATGCGAACGAGGACTTGGAGGAGGCACGCAACCAATCGACGGAGAAGAATGGCGAGGACGCCGAAGAAGAGGGCTCAGACGATGAAGCCGGTGCAAAAGCATTGAAATCGAAAGGGCAAGTTTACCCACCCAATTTGATGTTTTCTTACTAATACTTATTAATTCAGGGATGAGGACGACGACCTGAAAGAATATGATTTAGAGCACTACGACGAAGATGTGGAAATGGATCAAGGCAAGGAGGGCGCGGGCATGGCAATGTTTGGAAACGTCAAGTCTCTTGCATACCATGACTCTAATAAAGACGATCCTTACATTACCATGCAAGAAAACGACGAAGACGACGAAGACCGAGAAGAACTTCAGATTCTTGCGACAGACAATATGCTTCTTGCAGCGAAAGTTGAAGATGAAGTGGCGCATCTCGAGGTTTACGTTTATGAGGACGAAGCCGACAATCTCTATGTTCACCATGACCTTATGCTCCCTGCTATACCTCTGTGTGTCGAATGGTTAGATATACCAGTAGGCAAGCCTGGCGCCGAAAAAGACTCTCGTGCAAACTTTGTGGCCGTTGGAACTTTTGATCCAGATATTGAAATTTGGGATTTAGATACTGTCGACTGCATGTACCCAAATGCAATCCTTGGACAAGGTGGAGAGGGCAAAGCCGCAAACGCAGACGGTACCAAGAAGAAGAAAAAGAAGAAGTCGAAGAAAGCAAACGCAGAGCACCATGTAGATGCTGTACTCTCACTCGCTGCCAACAGACAGCATCGAAATCTCCTGGCCTCATCTTCCGCAGACAAGACTGTTAAGCTATGGGATCTCAACACAACGAAATGTGCCAAGTCATATACGCATCACACGGATAAAGTCTGCTCGTTGGCATGGCATCCACGGGACTCGACATTACTACTGAGTGGGAGTTATGACCGGACAGTGGTTGCCGCCGATATGAGAGCACCCGATGCTAAAGTTCCTAGATGGGGTGTTGAAAGCGATATAGAGACTGTCCGATGGGACCCCCATGATCCAAACTACTTCTATATCTCGACTGAGAATGGTATCATCCATTTTCATGATGCTCGGAACGCACCATCGAATCCAGCTGCAAGCAAGCCTGTCTGGACCTTACAGGCTCATGATGAATCAGTCTCGGCCTTTGATATAAACCCTACAATCCCCGGTTTCATGGCGACTGGTTCAACAGACAAGCAAGTCAAGCTTTGGAATATACAATCATCTGGGCCAACCATGGTTGTTTCACGAAATTTGGACATTGGAAAGGTGTTTTCTACTGTCTTTGCTCCTGATGAGGAAGTCGGATTCAGACTTTCAGTAGCGGGTAGTAAAGGTGTCGTCCAAGTTTGGGTAAGCATTACCTCTTGTGAAACATGAAACATCTACTAACTCTTTAACTTGGTAGGATACTTCAACCAACAAGGCCGTCCGAGCAGCATTCGCAGATAGAATCGCACCAGTGGATGGAGAGATTAGGGAACGACTAGTGGGAGTTGAAAACGATAGTAGCGAGTCCGAAGACGAGGGTGAGCCTGATGAAGAGGGCGGAAAAACTGGAGAAGGCTGGGAGTCCATGGACGAAGATTAAAGACCGACTCCTGGGAGGATTTGAGGTTTGGCCTTCTCGCTTTCCGCTTTGGCAGCCAGATAATCTATCAACTTTCAACTCGGCATGTTTGTCCAAAGGGCAACGTGGGCTTTGAGGTGACCAGAAGTCAATGGTGGACTGGAAATGTACGACTACCATGCATGCCAAAATCCAATAGGGTATCAAATTCGCATGCGGCTGCCTTTTTAGACGCGGAATGCGAGATATTCTCCGATTTCAAAAGATCGCAGATAATCTCGAGATGCATGTCTTCGTCGATGAGCGATCTCACAATGCATTGATACATACTTGGCGATCGTCTGAAAGTCATCGCACTGACTTTTGCGCTTTGAGGTCATCCGTGTCATCTCATCTCAATGCTTTCACAGATATAGTTCCCACAAATTGTTTAAAGAAATTGGGATGTTTCAACTCTAGTAGTGAGGACTTGAGGACGGTTCCAATAAGGTAAAATCCGCCTTAATTTTCCATTTTGTTTGAGATATCCATGATATGATCTCACAACAGGCCACTTAGGTTCAACAGTGAGCACTACAGCAGTCTGCGATGTTTGGTTTAGAAGCTCTCCACGATTTGTCATCTGCGAGACTACCAAGTTTAGATGTTGCAAGCCTTGCGGCTGAGGCAACTGTACTGTGCCTCCCGCCTCCCGAGGTGGTCGTGGAGGGAAAAAAGTGGAATAAGGCACCACCGCGCCTTTTCTCAAAATAACAGATGTGGGATGACTGCAGCACATGTTTCCCCTGATGAACTAACGCTCGTGCTGCATTGATGATGTGTTGAGGCGATGCCACGAAGCAACCAACCAACCGCATACTCGCGCGCCACGGGTTGCATCTTGGATCCACAGCCTCGCTGGCCTTGAGCGTTGAGAGTTTTCATCAGGATTACTCGCAAGATCAGAGAGAAGTATTGGGGTATTGATGTGAAGCCTCTCACTTGCACAGCTGGACGCACTGTACATGAAGCTGCTTGATAGGGTACAAGAAACGCCAGGGTGATCATCCATGGGACCTGTGTATCTGAAACTAGAAACATCTGACCCATGGGCGAATGACAGTGCCCGAGGTCAGACGTTCCTTGTGCGTCCGTTTCAAATTCATCTGAGCGGCAACGATTATTCGCTTGTGCGATCGATGGTTTGCCAACTGCCTGGACCTTGTCGACGCCCCGAGCGAAACGAATCAAATGTGGCAAGTTGATCGGAGGATCATCAAGCTACTCTGGGGTCCCTGGGGCCCGTAAACCCCTTTTAGGCCATCGTGGTGCTAACCCGCGTAGCTCCGCGAGTTCTGCTTTAGATTGCACAAAAATGGATGCCCCGAGAGGTCGACTACTGGCTGGTCATAGCCAAAGTGGACCAAATCCTTCCGCAAGTTCAATAATGCGTGGTTTAAATAACTCGGTTGGACGCATGGCCTAACTTTGTGCCTCTGCTCTAGTCTGGTTCCTGGCCCACTTCGCCCCTGTTCAACAGACCTTTCTAGCCCCCCATTCCACCGAAAGCCGCCTTCGTGCAGAAAGGATTTTCCTCCGCTATCTGCCTCTCTCCTCCTCTCCTCTCCTCTCCTCTCCTCCCCTCTCCATCACACTCTTTCTGCGTAGCAGCAGTAGCATCATCAGCATCGCCGGGTCGATTCACTACTTATCTACATTCCTTCTGTGCGAACCCAGTTGTTCGAACATTCCTTATCGAACAGTCTATCACTTACTACGAGGCATCCCTATCCACCACAGCAAAGTAGCCTGCACAACTGTTACGTTACCAGACTACCAAACCAAAGGACTGCGTCCTCTCTCATTTTCGAATACACCATCTCGTTGCACGAATCGGCAGTATTACTCCCAGCACAAACTTCACTTGAATCCCCCAACCAAGCGCGCACTAGCTCCCTGTTCTGCGAACAAAGGCGCGTCGATATATCTTTCTACAAACCAACTTCATTGTTGCCGTTATCACCTGAACGAATACTGCGCAATCACCAGTCGCACAACACTTCAGACCTTCCAAAAGTAGGTGTCTTCAGACCAAACGAAACGCCAAAACTACACCTGCAGCCCGCGTGTGATCATCTGCCAATCAACCGACACCTGCACCTGCACCTCACCAAATCCGTAGCAGCTCACAAATTCGGATAATAAACCCCACCTTGAATATTCCCAGACCTCTCCCTGGTGGAATCGAAACACTGTCGATATATCCTTATCCGGGGCAAAATCCAGGGTATTCAGCCAGCAACATGTCGTTATCCAGAGCCTTCACCACACGAGGGAGGCGGAACACCAAAGAGACTGCGGGATTACCAGTTCCTCAAAGGAGCTTGACTACGAAGCACGCCTTCCCCGCCGGAACCATTAGACACATAATCTCAGCACCTGTAGAGCTCATCTCAACGACAAATATGCTTTCCTACAATGCGCCAGACATATTTCCAAAGACTTCAGCGTCTCCCAAATCCACCACATCCTCTAGGTCTTCAAACTCCGACGACGACGATTCGGTTCGGTCAGCGACTATGCCGGAATCACCAATTTCATCCCCAGATGGCTCATTGAATGGATCGATCCCCCCGTCGCCAGAACTCAATCATCTCTCCTGTTATTTTGGATCTGGCTCGGGCGAAGAAGGCGCTCCCAAGATTCCTAGCAGAGCCCTGTCGCATACCAAGAAGAATGCTGAGATTCTAGCACGGAAACGATCTATATCACGGATATCTTCTCGGAAAAACAGCGTGTCTACAGTTCGATCGTCAATCAACATGTTCAGCCTACCATCTAATACTCCGGAGCAAAGCGAACAACATCCCTTCGGCAATGAGCTTGCGAAGGTCTCGGAGATAGCTGAAGATTATGGTATAAGCAAGGAGAGATTGACCGTCGTGGATAAAGAAGAGCAGGAGCTATTATCACGGGGTCTTTTCAAATTCCGAGCTGAAGATTACATGAATGAGATCCAAGGGTTCCTTCAGAGTGCTTTCAGCGATGCGAGGCCTACTATGCCGTCGTCGATGTGGATATAGGACATGGTACTGGTCTTCCATGCCCTAACGTCTCTCCGCCAATTGTTGCGAGGAGTCGATTTTCTTTGTACATATCACTATTCTGCCATCTGGCTCATTCTTACTCTCATTTACGAAACTTTTGGAAATATATTACGACATGGCTCGACGGAAAAGGAAAGAGGGAGTTCATGGTTGGGCTGATTATTGGCAACGACTTTGTGCAGTCTTTGGTGCCTGGTTGCTGCTTTAGCTGAGGAGTTCTTGGAGCCTCCATACACTCCTTTGTGTGTCATCTATGACATTTACGGTCGTTACGATTGCTGAAAGGAGATTGCGTGTTTTGCACCCTTCTATTATGTAAGGGCGCGCCGGAATAACTTTTAAATATTGCTGCAAAACTTCAGCTGAAGTAAATTTGAACATCTAAAACCTATATCGCATGATTTGTATACGTGAGGAAACAATAGTAGAGAAGGAGTACATTAACAAACTTCTATCTGATACATCAGCCGCGCATTCGTATCCGCGTCCCAAAAGAATGCGGAGAAGATATCCCCTTCAATCTCGGATTGTGGAGAAATGATGTCCAACGCATTGATCGGCGTTGTCTGATCAACAAAACCGTACTAGATCTCTGGATTTTCTTTTGATCTGGTATCTGAAATCTGGAAACCCGTTGTGTGTGATCTCCCAAGATCTAAGTCAAGGTTCAGCTAAAAAGATATGAAAAATGTGGGGTGATTATGTAAGCCATGCGAGGAAAGTTCCTTTTTTTTTTTCTTGCTGCATAACTCCTTCGGATTTTTGAGACCAGACTCCGCAACACCTCGAAACACAACGACGCCCTTCAACCGATATCACAGTCTCTTAAGCTTGAGAATTTCGGTAAGTCATTGGGCCTTTCATCTATTATCCATTCCAGCATCTGCCAGACCGCGGCAGCTCACATACAATGATGACATCCCAATACCCTCAAACAATCTTTAGGAAGAGCCGGAAAAGGCCGACATCTACAAGATACACGCGCCCTGTGTTGGCATCGACATATGCAGCAGGCCGTAGTGGATGTTAGCGGTGCTTAGAACCTGGGTTTCTGAAAATAACTGCCGTGTTTCTCACATCGTCTGCGAATCTTGGAAATTGGAGATTCCTTGAAGTGCCTTTGAAGCTGACTTTTGAGTTTCAGGAATGTCGTTCTACAATGCCCTAGCTTGGATCCATCTTGCGAGATTACGATAGCATTTATGGATTTGCGGTCAAGCATGGGCTGATGCTTCGGAAGAGGCACAGTCAGCTCGAACCGATGCTTTTGTTGGACTTCATCTCGGCTTGAAGCTTCGACAACAACCAGGTACACTGTATACGGAAGATATGTTAGCCATGTCTGAAACACCGGTAGAAACCCTCGGGAGGCCCCGTCGGACTCATGGATTACATCCGTGAAGCTTCTTGTCCCGCACGGCACAAGTCAGCGCCAACACAAGGTAGGTCGGAGAAGATTTGAGGGAACATGTCTTCCTACATTCTGATATGGGAAGTTACAGATGGAAAAAGTAGCATCTTACATGGCTTCTTTCCATTGTCTCTTCATATTATGGTTCTTTACGGACTCTTTTCCTGTATTGAAACTCCAACGGGTTACGCAATACTACCGAAAATCTATTATGGCAACTTTAGTTGATATGCACCTGTGAAGGCCAAGCAAGTTCTGTGAGTTGTTGCCAGAGCTATGAACAGATGTCAGGTATACTTTCTAGTTGCAAAAGGATAGTATGCAATCAAAGGGATATGTCACAATCCCGTTGCCTATTCCGAGTTTCCGCTTCTATTCATTGACCGACCTAGATTCCGTTGCCGTGTTGAGAGTCCACTGCGGGCTCATCACCTATTAACTCGTAGCGGAAAGTTGCGAACGCCCTCTATCGACTGCTGCCTGAGTACTACAGCGCTCAGACTTGTGAGATTTGGAGTGATGGCCCAGGGAAATATAGTTGCATACAATCCAAGGCTAGATGGAGGATTTTATATATATACACACGAAAAATAATATTTAGGATTAGGTTGGTTTGCAGCTGATGACATTGGAGTTATAAATATAACAGCAATATCTCTCTACTGTGGTGAATCAAGTGCTGTATAATAAGACAGCTTGCAACGTGATAGGTTGGTTGATCAAAAATGGCAACGCCTCGCCAAAACTACTGTACCCCAGCTTTTCGCAACCTCCTCTCCCCACCCCTCCACCTCCACCTCCACCTCCAACACCTCCCAAACAACCACAACAAAAGATGACAACACCACCCCCAGCCCCCGAATCAACCATCCTCTTCCGCCCCTCCAAAAAGCGCAAGATATACCGCCAACGCGCCACCTCCCACTCACCCACGCCACCTCCCCAATCATCAGTCCCCGTCCTTGTCCCGCAAAGCCTAGACGACCTAATCGCATCAACCAGCCACTCAGAGCAACGCGCAGAAATCGAAGGCACACCCGTCCCCATTTCCGAAATCCTGCGGCTGAGGAAGCTCCGCAAGGGTAAGTTCGTAGGGGGCGTGGAGTTCCGCGCCGATAGTGCGAGCGCTATCCACGGGACGAGGGAAGAAGAGAGCGCTGTTGTGCTGAGAGAAGAACCGGAGGCTCTGGATGGCGTGGCTAGGAAGTTCGCGCCGCAGACGGGCGCGGTGGGGGACGTGAATAAGCATATGTGAGTCTTTCTCCTGCCGTTCATACATTATGTTATAAAAAGGGTGTGAAAAGAAACGTGACTAATGAAGGAAGGATGGCGTACATAGATTCGGAGCTAGCTAAACGTCAGGCAGCCGAAGGGCTAGCACCTGTTTCTGCATTTGCGAGAGAAGGGGGAGGTGGTACGGTGGGGTGGAAGGACGAGAGTGGACTGCGGAAGGATATTGATGTGCAGAGACAGCCTGCTGCGTTGGGGAAGCTGATGGAGATTGATCTGGGGGATGAGGCGAGAGATCGGAACGTGCAGCGTACGGATAAGGCGAGGCGAAGGCTAGGTGGAGAGGAGGTCGAGGAGGAAGTTGTGCAGAAGCCTGTGAAGATCCGCTTGGGGCCTGATGGAAAGCCTTGGAGGGGACGGAAACGAAGGGGCAGTGACGATGTGAAGAGGGATAAGCTTGTTGAAGAGGTGATGAGGGAGAATAGACGTATGTGCCCTCTTCTTTTCTTTCCCTCTAATTGTCACGACGCTAACATTTGATATAGTGGAAATCTACGAGGAACCGCAGGAAGAGCCGCCTAACAATGACGACCAAGGTGCAGATGACAGAATAGCAGAGGCATTCAAGAGGGATTTCATGGATGCGGTCTCTCAGAGACAGAGGAAGAAGACCGCGCCTGCGCCGCCGCCGGCCAGGGGCCCTGGTGGTAAGAAGGAAGAAGAAGCTCTGAAGGGACCGAAGCTGGGTGGGAGTAGGAGCGCCAGAGCGGCAATGCGGGAGACGATGTTGAAGAGCGCGAAGAAATAGAGTGACACAAGAGGACAATTTGTCGGATCACCCAATCTGATGACATTCAGTATAAATTAAAAGCCTGTTTTCCAGCCTCTCTTTGGATCGGTTTTATCACTTCTTCATCTCATGGTATTATATTGTTTCAATATACACACGTTGTAAAATTCACTGGTGATGTTTATAAATTTCCCCCATATCTCTTCAAGTTGGTTTGAATCTTATTTGTACCTTCATTTTATATCGAGAGGCCTGCTTATATAAATGTCCTCCCTGTGGAATATTATATTTCCGTCTCACATGAAGTCAGAGTGAGATGACAAGTAATATTAGGGGAAATTTCAAACTTATTGTAGCTATATATATTGCACGATATTCAATCTTGGGTATCTCCAACCCAAAAACGCCGGTAGCTATGATGATATATCCAGAGTTATTCATGTCCCCGCCATTTGCATCCTAAATCTCAAACGTAGTTTCCTCCAAGACGGTTTTTCGAAATCCATCACACATTCATTTATTTCATAAGTTCGTTCTCATCAGCCTACTCATCCGATCCAAATTCCATACTATTACTTAAAGTCATATCCTCACCAGCCTTCAATACCACTGCCTCTGTGCCCGTTCTTCTATGGGGAAACTTCTCGCATCTGGGACTGATCACGCTCTCCACCTTCTCCCTATCATACTTCTCCACGGTTATCTTGGTAGTTGCCAGTCCAGTCGTCTCCTTGTCGCCATCATGTGCTGATATCCAAGCCTTCGCACACAATTTCTGTGCGATTTCCAATCCACCCGGAAACCCAGAGCATATGTTCCCTCCTAGATACCACGGGTTATCTATTCGGTCGAAGCAGTGGAGCAGGGCAGTGAGCGGTAAAGCCATTTCGGAGGTGAGGTGCGAGGCGATGTATGGAGAGAGAGTCTTGTAAGTGCACCCGTGCGGGGAGAATATAACAGAGAGTGCTCGATCGCAGGCAGGCGTCGAAAGTGTCGAGGGAGTCGGGGAAGCCGGCGGGGTCAGTGGAAGTAACGAGTCGAAGCTAGAAGTCGGTGCTCTATATGTTATGCCAATGGCGCTGTGCAGCCCAGTGATATCCGCTTTCTGGGGGAGGTAGGCAATGGTGACTTCTCCCATTGTCCCACCTGGATCGAGGGGTTGAATGGGAATGCGATGTACTATGAGTGGTTTGTGGGGTCTCGAGCCGTCCCATTTCGGTAGAGTGACAACTTTCTCTTCATCGAAATATTTCCAGCCCCTAATCATCTTTGCTGCGGCTGGTTCGGCGAGTATGATTGTCTTTCCTCCGTGTCGGGGTAGCTGGGTGAGCGTCTCTTGATGGCAGTGGTCGGTTTTGTTTTGGCTTATAACTACAACATCTGGCTCCGGCAGTTCTCGTAGAGACGTGATACATGATGGAGAGTTGTGTGTTGAGATGGAAAACGTTGAATGGTATATCTTGGAGGCTCCAGAGATCCATGGATCGAGGACAATGGTAAATGCCCTATTGGACTGTCCGGGGGAGGGCGAGGCTTGGAGAATGGGCGTAAAGGTGAGCAGGAATGAAGCATCTGCATTCAGATGCTTAACGGTCAAGGACATGTTGGAATACTTTGTATATCGTCCGATGGAGAAAGGGAAAGGTCATTGCATGGGTAAATTGGTAAAATTGAAAGACGGAGCAGTCAGATAAGTATAGTATGAGAGTATGCTGGAGTGTGCAATATAAGCAGAGAGTAGGTATATATGAGTAACACGACTGTAGAACGATGCCGTGCCATAAGAACGTGTAGCAACATGGAGGCGGCTAGACGGGGGGGGAGTTCTGTATTTTGTACTTGTACGTGTACTACTTAGGTACCTACTTCCTTGGAACTCAGGGCAGCTTGACAGCTTGACGCGATGGCGCACGCTATGATAGAAGCCGAGGATATCAGATCTCTGTACTTTACTTGTACCTATTTGTCCAGCCTTTCCTTCTTTAAGAACACAGATTCATGTATGGGTTTTAGGGATTGATACGTATTTTCCAAATAGATAAATCCCATTATAATTGCAGTTAAGAATAGCAAACATAATCAAAGAGGTCCAGGCCCAGGTCTTTCCGTCCTACCACGCCTCGGCTCCTGCTGCCAAAAGACGTCGAGTCTGCAGATCTTTGCAAGTCGTAACGAACAAGCCATGCACGCCACGGCTGCTGCTGCTGCTGTCGGGTGGCATCTTACCGGGAGGTTCCCGGCTTCAATCCCAGATAAAATCCCGATCTGGAACCTGAACCTCTTCGTTGATCTTCTAAAAATATTTCTTGAAAAACATACTATTATTCCTTTCAAGGCAGGAAAACGAAAGTCCCTCCTTTCGATTTATCAGTAGGTTCTCTCTCACATTATCTATTTGATTTTTGATTCCCCCCTATTTGGAGTGTGGCTAGAGGCTGCTTCCGTTTGTAGACTTCACCCAAAAGTTTCCTTCGCAACGCAAATCTACTATTTGGCTTTCAGGGGCAAATTCACATACGATACTATGCTGTACACATCGAGCCTACCATCATATCCGCTGAAGCGCTAAAAGCGTCCCCAAATGGACTCTCCTCTCTACTTTATGTCTTCTCATTTCCATCAACTCCATAGTCAATCTGCTGAAGGGTTCTGTATAGGTGGCTTGGTCAGACCTCGCAGTATAATATTCCCTTTGGTGTAGGGTCAATAGCTTCCCCAGTGGGACTCTGTCGTAAAAGTGCCTATTAGGCTGGAACATTATAGTATCATCAATGCTCTTGACAATGCTCAACTCAGTGGTTGACTGGGTCGACAAAAGAAGGGCCAATTTCATCACTCTTCACCGAGACAGGAACTAGCGTTCTGAGAATGAAATCTCGGCCTGGTCTACTTGGTCTTCTCGTAGGATTATTGGAGTCCTTTCCATTCAAGGCCTTTAGCGGTCCCGTTTCGAACAAGGCAGGATAGTTGGATATCATTTCTCATTCCACGTCTATTGAATGCTCATATATGAAGTAACTCACTAGAACGTAATTCCCGAGTGACATTGAACTACTTGTGCGCATAGGTCCTGGAGGTTTTCATCTCAGGTCTTCGAATAGCTCAAATAGGTCGCAAGGTATTTCACTCCATTTCACCAAGGTTCAACGCCCTTGCTTTTGCATAGAGGCGGAGACCGAATGTCTGTCATTGAGCTCTCCTTGGGTTTCAATCAGTTCCAGCCTTGAGCTCGTGATCGTCATCACGTGTTGAGGCACATGGACCGACCCACGGATTGGATAGGATCGATGCATGATCCCAGGTGCAGGGCGGGAGTGGGATCGGCTTATTGGAACTGCTTCTTTTGGCCACGAGCTTTATCAATTGAGTGTGGAGTGACGGCGCATTCGTCCGAAGGCTGTTTGGAATTGCGGAGGAACAAGGGCCATCAATCTGCAGAGCAATAATGGCGGATACCGGCAAACCTCTTCTCATTTTAGGAAGTTCGCGATTCATAGCCACTGCACTTCACCACTCCTTTGGATCGAACAGGTATCTTTTATGTGAAAAACCGGCATGTCAATGATACAGTGCTTGCTTGATTGGGCTTCGTTGGGCAGACCAGGAACAGTGCTCGCTCGAATCCCCACCAACCACATCAACAATTCTGAAGGTTCGCATTGGCTGCATCAGCCTGAACGGTCCATCGCACACACCAGGCTTCATTTCCAAAACCAAGTACCGTAGTCTATCCAACACGCGCCTTCACAGCTGATGTTGCCGCAGCTCCTCACTACGCAGCGCTTTGTAGGTGCAAGGGATGGTGAAGGGGGCGTTACAGCATGAGGTTGAAGTAGAGTTGATAGCAGTTATAATTGAAGCCTTCAAAGTTCCTACCTATCTACCTATGGGGAAGCAGAGTAGTAGCTTTAAGCTCCCCATTTTTACGTAGTACAGCCGAGCTCCTTCGTCCACGCCAGCACTTTTTGACCAGCCAGCTTGCTTGCTACCCCTCACCACATTCTTTCAAAACGCCAATTGTATGAAAGCACTGGAGACAGCTCGATCCAAGCAGCTCCAAACTCCCACACCTATTTTCACTTCCCGATATTGACCCATCTTGTCTTGCACAGCTTCACCACCACAGGAACATCGCTCACCTAATAATGCGCAGCTCTGCACTCGCTACTGATACTTATCGTCGTCTATTGAGAGCTTGAACTTGGAACTTGCGATTACGATCCCACCCTATCTAATCTGCAGCCCACGCACGCACACGCACGCACGCCCGAATGGTGGGGTCGACATTGACGATGCCGCCTCGATCCTCCTTGACATCGTCTTTTTCCGTCTCGGACGCAAATAATGAGGTTGTTTGTCCACTGCGCAATCAAGATGGCTCCAGCTGTCGCAAACGTTGCCTCGGCGTGAGTGCCTCTACTCTGCTGCGTCTGCTTTATCACCCCTCATGGAGCTTTCATGCTTTTTGTACTTGCAACGTTCAATCGTGGTAACAGGATTTGGATGGGCAGGAAAAGCGATACCGGTCTATGCAAGAGCATATACGAAGAGCTCACCCAGAGCACTACATTTCGAAGCTCCCTGCTACAGAGGAGAGCTTCCAGCTCATGATCACTACCCCGCCATCCGAACGACCACCTCCTCCCACAAGCTCCAGCTTGGGTCCCCATGGTTCGTACCGAAGTACCGGTAATAATTCAGACTTCGCTAACGTCCCACAGGCTATGGAAACGACCGGCATAGTTATTATGGCGATGATTCGAGTACTCCTAATACTCCCAGGAACCTGGACGACCTCAATTCTGGTTCGATGCTGCCAGCCGCTAGCGCCGCGGCTGCCCTCGCACAGCTGCATAATCATACGTTGGATGGAGACTGGGACTCGGAACTGGTTTGTAAACCCAGCATTCAAGATAGATGTTCCTTTTTAACTCTGTTGATAGGACTGGATGTCGGATACGGAAGCACGCAAACAGGCAATGAGGTCGTCGATCGAGCTCCCACCAATACAAGGAAACAATATTGAGCCCACAAGCGAACCCTTCTCTCATCTCAATCCACATCGGAGGAGAGAACTTCTTCCCTCGATTCTGTCTACTTCGCCACCTGGCCGATCATCCACTCTTCCCCCGATTCAGAGACCAGGTCCCAATGGTCGCCCACGAAAACAGTCCGTCTCAAAGCGTGCAAGAGAGCCACAACACAAAAAGCATAAGTCTCGAGAGAATGCTCACCTGAGACGAATGAGCTACGACCGTAAAGCCTTCTCTGCTGAGCCTTCGAGTGCTTTGTCTGCAGCTTATGGTAAAAGATGGGAAGACCTGATCGATGCTGCTACATCAGCTACTGAAGACGTCGAAGACGATAGGACCCCTGTAAGCTCTTACAACTTCTCCTACTCATGACGATACTAACCTTCCAGGTTCCGCCCTCGCCCGTTTCAGTAAATCGAGCTTCATTGCCTCCATTCTCCACATCCCACTTTCAAGGGTATCAAGCCTCACCACTCCAACAAGCACTTACACCACCATCATATCTACCCGAAGCCCCGGAGCCGTTCCCCTCTGTGGAAAGTGGCGAAAGTGGTCAGAACTTCCACATCGAATCTCGGGGCCTGTCCGACTCGTCGCCTAGTTTTTCTTCACAGAGTATTGAGATTTATTGCGCAGCATGTCAGGGAGTATCGCTTTTGAAGGAATCGTATGCCTGTACAGAATGCATATGTGGAATCTGCCAAGCGTGCGTCGATGTTTTAATGGCAGAGCAAGGCGCACGGAGAAAGTGTCCTCGGTGCGCAACTATAGGAGGACGTTTCAAGCCATTTCAGTTGGATATTCGATAATGAACGGATGGATTCAACGGACATGTTTCTGGGGTGGAGTTTTTATTTTATTATCTCATGGCTTGCAAATTTGATTACTTGGTCATAGAGAGGCGTTTGATGAGAACAGGATAGCGGTGTTGGTCAATTTCGGGTCATCAGTTCTGACATGGGTTGGGTGCATGCATTTGGATAAGAAGAAGCCTAAGGGCACTTGGTGATGAAGCGTAAAGCTGGCTTTGGACATATGTCTATCGTCTCAAAATAAATCAAATTTATTCCTAGATAGTGACTATTCACCATCAAATGTTTGCATTCAAGCACAGGGAGGGTAAAGCCTACATCGGTCTTGCTTACTCCGTACACTACATATCTCAAGGTCCACTCTTCATACAAAGCAAAACCTCAGCATCCCTAAGGTATACAACAACCACAAACAAACCCATAATTCTCTGCAGAAAAGCCATCCCTCACCACCCACAGAATCCGACCAGATCAGCACCCCAACACTCGCCGTCTCAGGTCTATCCTCTCTACGGCACGTTTTGCTTTGCTCCAAGGTATGTACAGTAGGTGACGATATATACCGACGACTCGAGGCCAAAGTAACTTTCTTGAAGGTAAGAAATAAGCCTCTCAGAGTCAAGACATGGTGGTAATGAAAAAGATAATTTATTTTCCAAGTCGCCCTCTTTTCGTTCCCCCAAAAAGGACAACTTCTAGTTCTCCGTCTCAAGAAATCGAAAATGAGATCGATGTAGATAACGGGAAGGTGTTTTGTTTGCGGAGCTTCTGCTTCTACAGTACCTCTAGAATAAGCAGGAGGGAGGTTCGAAGGCTACTGTATCAGGAATAACCAACTTGTCGCTTTAATGCTTCGGTTGAACCTCTATCGCAGAGCTAGTTCCATAACCATCTGTAAACGAGCAGGACACCTCATCTATCAACAAGAAGATGATGTTTCGCAGTTGGAAGCTAATGAAAGAAAAGGAATCAATGCTGGGCAATGCTTTCGATCCATATATAGTGTCAGTCAGTTTCGACATTACCGTCCTCCAAGATACATACTGTATGTACACCGACAACCCCTCTTGAACATTCGGAATAACTGCTTCTCCACATGCTCATGTCCATATATCTATCACATTACTATTCTTCCGTTCCTTCCGTCTCTTCACCGCGATGAACAAACTCTGCTCCACTTTCTGCCCAACACCAACAAACACCAACTCCCCTAAGCAAGACTATGCTTCCTCGGATAAACCAATTAGGTTCAAAGATAGCGACAGGCTGGGATCTCGCTGCTACAGTATATAGCCTGTACAGCATCTCACGTAAACGCAGAGAGGAACGAACATACCAGATGAGGTTCATTTGAGGGTGTTGCAGTAAAGGGCGATGGTGCTTCTCCAAAGCAGTCATATGAGAGGCGCTGCGTTATAGGGTAGCCAAGCCAAGCCAAGCCAAGCCAAGTGTTTGATCAGTAAGGCTCATTCATGATGCCTCAATTCTCACGAGTATGTTTGATTTGAGTGGGATACCGCATGCCTAAAGCTTATGGACTGGCAAACTATGGTTGAGTCTGAGTCTGAGTATGAGTCTGGGATTGCTAACAAGCAGGAATCTAGTGTTTCTTACAAGATCCTCTTTACACGACGCTTGCCGCGACAGTTCTTGCCTTGCAAGCTGAGAACTGACTATGCAACTTCTCTTAATCTTGACTGCTAGTGTATAGATATATCAGCCATCTCAGCAACAATATTATATTTCGAAGCAGCAAATCTGAAAACATGAAACAGTCAAGATAGGTTATAAAGCATGATGCTAGATTGGGTATCATTATTGTCTATGAGTCTTTAAACATCAACGTAATAGGAAGAACTAGAAAAGACAGTGTAAGAAAACCGACTTCCAACCCCCAGAGAGCCAGTTTTAGACTACTTTTGTCGAATTATCTCGGTTAGAAAGTCCTCACTGTGTTTGATTAGCAGGAGTTTAATTTCGTGATTGAAGGGCATGGCTTACAAGGACAGCGTTATGTATCCGTCCCTATCATCATCATACTTCTTGAAAACATCAGTCATTCTCTTTAGGCTAATGCAGCTCTGCACAAAGAGATCGAAACTGATGGCTCCTTCGCCCCGTTTATCATATGTCCTGAATAGCGTCTCTACGAACTGAGGGCTTAATCTATAGCCAAATGCCACTAACGCGTTTGTGTATTCGTCGAGGCTGATATTTCCACTTCTGTCGGCATCGAATCGATCAAAAAGCGAACGCCACGCGGCTAGGAATCCCCATAATCCACAGAATTCTTCGAAACCAATAAGTCCCGAGCGATCGCTATCGAACATGCGAATCATCATTCTGACTGTATAAGGATCGAAGGATGACCAGTCGCCGTTTACGAGTGCCGCCCGAAGTTCTTTCTCACTCAGTTGTCCGCTACCTGAAGAGCGAGTCAGTGAATAGTTTCTAGGGGTGTAATAAGGCTACGGTACCATCTTTGTCAACAGCTTTGAAAAGGGGCCAAAGTGCTGGGTCTCCGGCACCACTTGGTGGGGCAGGAGATGGAGGCGGTCTTGACATTGGAGGCGGTCTTTGCTGGACTGGTGGTGGCCGCGAGCCATGGTTCCCTGGCGGAGGAGAAGCGTAACCGTGCGATGAGGGTGGCGGGGAATTGCCATAACCGTAGTTTCCTTGTGGTGGCAACTGAGGCGATAGTCTTTGTCCTCCTGGAATCGGAGGTTGTGAGGATCTTCTGTTTTGTGTGGGAAGAGGAGGCTGAGGTTTGTTATACGGTTGGTGAGCCATTTGCTGTGCTTGGGTATGTCCAGAGGGCGCAGTGGAGTAATTCAAGGGCGGAGGGATTTCGGCCTTCCCAGTTTTCTATAGCAGTGATGTTAGTGAAGGTCCTATGACTCGAGCGCTCGATATAGTGAATCAGTACTCTTTCTGGCTCTGCGAAACTGTGAATGTTCAGGTCAGCCTCAATTCGCAGCGGGGTTGGAACTGCTCCTGTTTACTTACGCAGGCAGGGAATCGGGATTGAAGGTGCGATTGTACGCCATCTTGATGGGAGGAGTTGGTTGATTGGATTAGAGACTTAAAATGGTACTTGTGAAGTGCAAGATATCAAAGCAGAAGGGCGGTTTTGTGGTGTTGTTAAACCCTCTGATAGCCTCGAGTGATCAAGTCAAGCAAGCCAACCAACCAACCATGCACTGGCGGGATGCTGCGCCTTGGCTTGAGACAAGGGTGGGCGCAGGTGCGAGCAAACAACCCGAGCTTTTTACATGAAAACAGGAACTCGCACAATCAATAAAATGCAGGAATATATACAGCGAAAGTAAAGAAAGGATCTTGTTGGATTAGAGGAGAATCTGCATCGACACATAAATAGAACTGACAGCTGGTGCCAGCAAAGCTACCTGCTGCCAAGCCAAGCCAGCTGAAGGAGGGGATGGGGATGGGGATGGGGATGTACGTACTTGGTCGCATACCAGTATTTTCAAACATCAACAATACATTCCAACCTCGCCGCGTGACAGAAGAGTCACCCACGACTTTGTTTCACAATCATTTAAATTGTAGTCCTGCTGTATACGCTCATCATCTCCTCCACGTCATCTATTACGAGAGTCAAGTGCTCAACAACGAGACACCGCGACCGCGTCGTTTCCATCTTGTCTTCGCGCCTTTGACAGGCTTCATTTGAGTGTCACCCGGCCACTCACAGAAAACTCGCCATGGCAGTGGATACTTCTATAAGCACAGAGGAATTCTGGCTTTTTGGTTACGGGTAGGCTATTTTTCCATTTTTCTATTCTTGCAACACCTCTGACGTGAAATCCAGGAGTTTGATTTGGAAACCTCCACCGCACTTTGGTGAGTCCTGAACCCCGACCGTCTTTTCATAGGCGTTTCATTGAACCCATGAACAGACCAACGTATCCCTGGTTATGTTACAGGTTACGTTCGTCGGTTTTGGCAGGTCTGTGGCTGTTCCCATCTGGAGATTTTGGATTGTGACTTATGAATCATAGGCTAGGTAAGAAGAAGAATCCTCTTTCAAATGGATTACAAAAAGCAGCAATATCTCAAGTATGGCGGTGGTCTATAGAAGCCTGAAAAGAGACATCCGAATTTCTTGGAATCTCAAATCGCCGCCCATAGTTGAGATGTTGTCATTCTTGCTGTCCAACAACTCTACTACACTTTGAGCTTACTATGCTGACATTGACTAAGCCAGGATCACCGTGGAACGCCTGACAAGCCAGGGCGGGTTGTGACACTGATCGAAAGATCCTTCTGGGAGACTTTGTCTGATCCCCACCCTTCGGCATCTTCAGACAAAGTTTGGGGCACCGCATATCGGATTGAGACAGCCAAAGTCGCCGAGGTCAAGGAGTATCTCGACATTCGGGAGATTAACGGGTACACCATCCACTACACAGATTTCCATCCCGCGGATGCGTCGCCCATGATCAAGACTTTGGTGTATATCGGGACCCCAGATAACGATCAGTTCATGGGCCCACAAGATCCGGAGAGGCTTGCGGAGCACATATATCGGAGCAAAGGTCCAAGCGGGCCGAATAAGGATTATCTTTTGAGTCTAGAGACGGCTTTAGATGGCTTGAGCCCAGAAAGTGGAGATTACCATGTCAAGGACCTGGCTGATCGACTGAAGAAGATTTCAGAGGCCACTGGTGGCGTGAGCCGGGGCAAAGAGGCACTGGATCATGAGCTCAAGAAGGTCGACAGCACCGATGAGCAAGAAGAGACAGAGAAGCGGATTTTGTAAGAAGCCATTGATTCCCCTAAGACGGGTCATTGTTGCCTACCCCCGCTAGACTAGACTGCGAAGTGCAGTAGCTATGAAGAAGACCTTGATCAAAGTGATCTTAGTTGAGATTGGATATTTGAGAGACCATTTGTGATGAATTGTTAGAATACGTGACCGAGACCGAGCAACAGGTAATATCCCCCCAACTCCGAGAAAGCAAAAGGCAAACCGCATTCAGAGACCACGAAGCTGACCGTGAGACACCATCAAAGATGATATCCTTAAGCCTACACCAATGAACCTTTTCGCTGCACACCCAAGCTAACTTTTCTTGCTGTCAATTCGTACGAACGCGCGAGGTCGGAGAGAAGATCACATCCAACAAGCACCTAGTTCCAGCGGCCACCGCCTTGCTGCTGCTCGCCTCCACCATAGCCACCACCCTGACCACCCTGGTATCCTTTATCTGATGGTCAGCATGGGAGGGAATTAAAAGGGTCAAGAAAGAGGAAACTCACCACCGCCACCTCCGTAGCCGCCGCCCTGGCTACCACCATATCCACCACCACCTGATTGGCCTCCATATCCACCCTCACGGCCGCCGCCGCCGTATCCACCACCACCGTATGAACCTCCGCCACGGTTGTATCCTCCACCGCCGCCTCCACCACGGTTGAATCCGCCGCCGCCACCTCCGGAGCCACGCTCGCTAGCTTTGTCGACACGAATAGTTCGGCCGTCGAACCTAGTCAAGTTAGATTTTGTCTAACAAGGAGTGGAATCCCAACATACTCGACGTTGTTCATGGCAGCAATTGCAGCCTCGGCATCGGGGTCGCTGCCGTATCGGACGAAGCCAAAGCCACGGCTACGACCAGTGTCACGGTCCTTCACGACAACCTGAAAAGCGTGTCAGTACAGGATCTGGAATTGGAAATGAGGATGTGATTGACTTACTGCCTCCTCAACAGCTCCGAACTCCTCGAACTTCTGACGGAGAGCATTCTCATCAGTGTGCCATGCGAGGCCGCTAGTAGCATGGGTTAGCGCCGGTTTGAGGATAGGATGGAATGGAATGGAATGCGGTCGCAAACGCGCGGAGGTGGACTTACCCAATAAAGAGCTTGGACATATTTCTGGTGTTTTTTCGAGAACCTGGCTTAAAGTCTCAATTTCCACGCGCTTCACACAGAAAAGAGCGCGCCATGGCGTTGATGGCAGGTACGAAACGGACGGAATGCGGATCACGCAAAGAAAGATACATCGAGGCAGAACAGGACTCCGCAGAGCGGACAAGGAAGGGACATGGGAAGGTGATGAGATCGATGATGACAAGGTCAGCGCAGGCAAGCAGGAGATCAGGACGAACTTCTTGAAGAGTTGAAAAGGTGAGAGATTGGGCGCGGGAGTGAATTTCTGACTGTTGATTGTGAGACTCAAAGGCGATTGTCGGACGACTGAAAGGACAGTACGAACGGATGCTTTGACGAAGAAATCGCAAAAGATTAGGATTCGGGACAGATCGCGAAAAGATATCGAGATTTGTGTAGGTGTTTGGGAAGAAGAGGTGGGAGCGGGGGAGAGGAGATGCAGAGACTTTGAAGGAGGGGCAGCTTCTCGCTTAGAATGGGGCGCTAGTGGTTGATAGGGTGGAAGGCGGGGCAGGAAGAACGCCAAGCTGATCAAGGGTCTGATTTAAGCCAGGCCAGGGGGGGTCTTGAGAGGTCTAGGGGGGGGGACCTTTGCAGAAATGTGAATGGATGTGGGTGGAGGAGGGTGGGTGGATGAGAAATACTACTCTATAGCCCAAAGAAGGGTCAAGATTCTCGATCCTCGATCCTCGATCCTTTTAGTTCTGTTGTCATATGATATCATACCATATCATATCATTGCATCTCACGGCTGGCAATGCTGCTTTGCTTCACCAGCTTTCCCAGCCCAGCAGCTTACCTGTAGGATACCTAGAAGCTCTCGCTTTTAGATGCGTAGGTAGCCAGTCAAACAGCTTGCGAAGGTGCACCAGGTGTGCGCCAGCAAGGGGTCCTCCTCCAATCATCATCATCAATCAAGCAAACAACCGGGTAGAGGCAAAAGCAGCTTTGACGCACGAATAGCCTAGAACGCCCGGCATGTGCATTGCAATGGGAGATGGTGGGATGCCTGCCCTGCCCATCTCTCAACGTCTAGCTCTACCTCCCGCTTGAAAAACTTCATGGCTTAGCTTAGCATCCGAAAGCATATCAAATGCACTACTCCACCGTATATTATATGCTCGATTCCTCGATTCCGCCATGGACATCAATATACCGTCTCCGGATTTGTAAAAGTCCGCGTCAAACCAAGATGTTGCCCTCGCCCGACATGCACATTATTTTGCCAACTACAAATGCCATGGTACAGCCTGCAATCGCTCCAATCGCAGCAAGCAGAACAGTTATCGTTGACTTTATGGCTGCTCCGACATCACGCCTAAATATGCAGGCTGAGGAGAAGGAATACTGGAGCACACAATAATTGATGCATTTCTCTCTTTGGTCTGGAGGTGGGTCGAGAATCGGGGACAGCTTCGACTTCTGTGATTGAGTGAACCTGCTGCCTACCTACTCTCTTTTATAATTTACTACAGTAGACTAGTAAGTTGATTCGATGCGCAAGTGTGCCCCCTAGCTATGATAAGATCTACAAAGGCGGATACTGAAAGCTTAGAGCGGGAGGGGCAACGCGAAAGTTAGGTAGAAAACTTGAAAAGAGGACACTTCTCGGTAGAACTACGAGTGAGTCCGTCGTGGTGGTGGTCCTCGCGGGATACACCGTTTGAATGATCAGAATTGGTTGTTAGAAGCACCGGAGCTCGAATTATTTTTCTCTACCGGTAAGAGTGAGGTGCATGATGCAAGGTAGGTAGGTGTAGGTATAGGTATGTTTGCAGGATTGCCACTCGTTGTAACTGCTCGGGCCAATTTAGTGGGGTTGGAGTGAAATTTTGGGATGGAGGGGAAGGGAAGGTGAGTGAGGGTCGTGAGGGTCGTGAGGGTCCTGAGGGTCCTGAGGGGTCCTGGGGTCTAACTTATCGATAAGGCGAGAGAGGCCCTTGCACTTACACACACCTGCAAGAGGAGCCGACGCTAACCTTCCCTGGCCCGAGCTCGAGCTTTAAAATACACTACGCCATGCCATTTCTTGTACTTGTATTCAAGTTTGTAACATTTGATACCCCGTGGTTGGTGGTGGTGGTGGTGTCGGTATAGTGGCACTTGTGTGACTCTGAGACTCTGAGACTCTGAGACTCTGAGAGAGGGGTGAGAGGGGTGAGAGGGGAGCACATCATGTTTATCTAATAATCCTCACTCAACCCTCACTTCTGTACTTCGTATTTTCGTATCTTCTTCTCCTCACCCGCGCCGCGAACTTGCCTGCTCAGGAACATGCACATGTGATGAGCTACGTACAATAATACTACAGTACTATTACAGACCTGTATTGCTTTTTTCTGTTCTTGCTTTTCATCGATATGCAATTGAGCCGCCTCCCCACTCCACTCCGTGCTTTCAACCGCGGCAGGTGGGAGGCTGGCTGCTAGAGAAAAAGGGAAACAAGGAAAGGGTGAGAAACTTTCGGTCAAAGTATCCCCACTATTATACTTTTTCCTCCAGCAATGAGCTAAAGATATCACACTTTTTTGCTGTCCCAGACTTCCAGGTAACGCAGGACAATGGTAATTATAGCTGCAGAGATCGCCTCTCCAGCTTGCTTGCCATGGTCCAATCCAATCGCCCGGTTCTCGGTTCCCTCGTGACAACTCATCGTGGGCATCTTCAGTCGCATTGCCTACAAATCATGTGATCGCTGGTGGACATCGCATCTCAATCTGTTGGCCCATCAAATCCCCTGCTCGGATTACATGCTTGGGATGCAAGAAACAGCCTGCATGTATGGAGTATGGCGGGACCTTTGTAGGGCTGCGACGGTCCATCTACACCGCTGTTTTGTGCCCCTCACCGTCATCTCCCCTCAAATCATGTCCGATAATCTGGCATACGGAGGACTTCAGATGCAAAGTACCTGTTATGCAGGGGCAGTGTTCAGGATGATGCTTGAGTTGAGTGGCGACCAAATGCATGGTATCGGTATTGATTCAGGGGTGTCAACACTTCAAGTTTGAGATCGAAATTCGTTCAGAATTAGTCTACCCATCCATCTTTTATAATTGCCCGTTTGCATTTCGCTTCTCATCTTTGATTTTCATGGGCCGTTGCTACCAAGCTCTTTTATACTCCTAGAGCTGAGAACGAGCCTTAGAATTAGAGTGACTCGTGGCATCGCAAAATCAAGCCTGGCTGGTGTTGCTGGTGTTGGTGCTGTACCGTTTACAACCAGCAGGAACGTTCTTGTTCAGTGGTTCCTTCCTAGCTAGGCATTCGCGACAGTTGAAAAATGAGTCTCTTCTTTCAGAGGGAGCTTGGAACTTTCAAACCCGCATGACAATACTTTGATTTCCATCTCCAATTGCATTACACTTTCGAGCTTGTAATGCTCGATTGAACTTTCATTATCAATTGTCCAGCCACATGTCCATGGACAGACACCACCAGGGTGATCACCGCGCTCATGAGCGCAAACCCAAAGACTCTGTAGGCTATCACAAACAAGACCATCATCGCAGACGAGAATCGGAGCGCGTCGAAAAGCCCTCTTCGAAGGTTCTTCCCCAGAGCAACGAAATATCAAGGGCACGTATAGGGCAGAGTCTATTAGGGCCAGCACTGAGCGGTGACAATGATTACGTTCGCCGATGGCTCACACAAACTGAGCAAGAGCAGAACGTAGCTGATGCAAGGACGAAAGGAGTGGAGAGGTCGCATAGTAGTAAGCCATGTCCTTTTCACGAAACTACAGCTTCGTGTTACCACGATACTTGCTGATTCGATACCTAATAGGACGTGAAGATAACCTGCTAAATGCACATCTTAACGTAGCAAGTTATGCGCATCCTCAATTTGTCCAGGAGGATAGTGGCGGACGAAGAAAATACAAGCGAATACACAATTCATCTTCTGATAGCTCTCTCCTCGAGTATTCAGCGCCACCAAAGCCGCAGCGTACAGTTCCAGAGGAACGAAAAGACAAGTCTCTAGGCAGACAGGAACAAAAGCCCCAGCTCCATAAGAAGCGCAAAGCCGAGCCAATAGAATCAGGCACAGCAAGTCTATCCGATCAGTCGAGCGCCCCAAAAGAAACGTTCGAGAAAAGAGCACGCCATAAGACCAAGGCAGATCGCTATGAACCCAAAAAGAAATGTCACACATCCGAAAGGGCAGTTGAGGAGAAACGACCTACCACGAAGCCTGAGAAAAGGCGTGGCCGAAAGAAGGCGGCAAAGAAAGCTGGAGAAGACTTCATACGTAACTTCCCATCGAAGAGCATGGACCAAGAGCGCTTGACAGTGAGCAGCTCTCCAGATACGAATAGCCGTTATGCTAAATATCCTAGCTTCGACCATCTCACGGTCTTGGCTTGTTCAAGAATGGGCGTGCATCTTCTCCAGCTAAACGTCGTGGTTGTAAGTATAAGTACATATTTCTATTGGATCGTTTGCTAATACCATTTGTGCAGTGCCTGACTTGGCATTTTCAGAGATGGAGTTTCTCCACCAAGGAGATCGCATCGCGCCCGGTAACAAACCAGACAAAATAACCTCAAAATGCCGTGAGAAGGAAAAGCAAAAAGCAGTAAGAACCCAGGACGAGATATCTACTTTTTTCAAATCAACAAAGACTCCATTAAGAGAGCTCGATCCTAATACCAGAGGTCGAGAATCTTCAACCATTACCGCAATTGAAAATTCTTTCTACGAGAGACAATTTGCATCTGATAAGTACTACAACGCTGACAAGCGGCCTCAATATCTTGAACCTACGAGGGAACAAGCTTTGACTTTTCGTCAAAGATCTCCATCAGGTAGACTCTTAAAGCTCCGGGAAACATCCCTTGGTGTGAATTATACCGATAGACCGCCGGAATCGACTAGCAGAATATCAGGCAAGACAAAAACCTATTTCACGTGGTCTGAGAGTCAAATTTCTCCCCGTACCACTGAAATGTCAAGGCAATTAAGAAATACGAGCCAACAACGCAGTCTAACACCTGAGTCCATCCGCCGGTCTCTACAAAAGACTGGAATCTACCGTGGTACAGGGATACATGACCGTCCAGAGCCACCAAGCTTTAACGAAGTATTATCTGAGGCAGAACAGCTTCGGCAGCATCGGGGGCCCGGCCATGAAAAGAACGCGCGAAGAAAGTTCCCTCGCGGTCGAATCAGTGGCCCCGCAATCTCATCAGAGTCACCAGTGACAAACTCAAGCAATAGAAATGTTGTCAATCTCTCCTCTCACACTCCTAGATACCAGAGAACAAGAAGTCCGCAGTACGAGAAGTTCCCCGAGACAGGACTCCACGACAAGGAAACGCACGAAAATAAACCTGGTGTAACGGTCAAGGACGGGAAGAAAGACTCAGGTCTGCGTGATAATCAGCGTATCATTGTCGAGCATTTTGATCAAGAACTCGGATGGCATCGACGACCTAGTTCTAGAGCCCAGGAGGTACGCCTTTCTGCAGAATTGAAGATGGGAAATGAGCCGGAAGCGAAGGGCACGCCCATGCCTAGAGAAGTACTTGCCAAGCTCGCTCGCATCAAACGACCAGCAACGACTTTGCCTGTAGCTCACGTGGTAGGAATGGGAAGGACCACAAATAATACACCCCTTATTGTAGACCAGCACGATATAGGTCCTCTAACAGGAGCTTCAGCTCAACAAGCCTTTTGTGGAGAGCAGCCCATACCGTCACCCCCCCGAGCATCAAACGCAGACGAAGGAGGGCCAGCACCAAAGGATTCTCGAATCGAAGAGACGATGATTTCTCAACCTGGATCTGACCAGGCTAAAGCGCAAGCTGCGCACGGCATCGTTTCACAGGGAGGAAAATCCGTACTACCCCTGGTCAATTTACAGAGCGAATCGAAAGCCCAGCAGACTATGAGAGTAGGTCCAAAGGACGGGACGGAAAATGATTCATACCTCGGGCTTCCAATACGAGGGGGTTGGGGTACTCGAGCCTCAACACCCGCTTTTCAACCTGCAAGACGTTCACCATTCATAGAACCCATGCCTCTTTTCATACACCAAATACCAAGGACGTATACACCTCAGGAATATTATATTCAATACAGGAGTCAAAGTGGAAATTTCTTTAATCCTGCGACCCTGAATTTCGACAGCAACCTGCGCGTTGAAGATCCTCCTTACAAGCTCTCGGCTAACCAGGGGGTCGAAACTTTCCAACATGAAGAGACTTACGACCATCATCAGGAACCCCTGGCGTATCAAGCGGATGAACTCGCCCAAGAGCAGGGCGACTACGAACACCAGCTTTACAATTATACTTACGAAGAAGACGAGGAGAACAGCCCGGCGTATGCTCATGAGACCCAGATGTGGGGCCACGAAGAAGGTTATGCCGACGAAGTAGAGAACTTTGAAATGCCTCTTGAACAAGGACTAATACATCAGTACGAAGACCTCCCTAGTGAGGAAGTATTTGTGTCAACCGAAGAACTAGAACAAAACCATAATCACCCTGTCGATGGTGGTAGCTATCCTGCTAAAGGGTTTTGGAAGTCTTGCCGCTTGTATTAATGGGCTTCTGATCGATTTTCACTTTGGTATTGATTTTGATTGTACTATACCCAAAAGGTGGTTCTAATAGTTCCTGTCGTCTGGATGATTTATGGGTATATTAGCTAGAAGCAAAGGATTCATCAAGGACAACAGACCTCATTCCGGCTCCTGATCTTTCCATTTCTCTCTGATAGCATCAACATCCATTCCACACAACCTCGCCTTCTCCACCGTAGCCTTTGCCTTCCCAACCACAGGCACATCGATCATTTTACCATCTAACGTCCACGCTCCGCGCCCCTTAACATCCGCCTTCTCATCCCCAACCACAACCCTCACAGCCCACTCCACCTCCTTCTCACCCGGCGCAAACGTCCGCTGCGCAATCTCAACCTGCGACGGATGGATACACTGCTTCCCATTAAAGCCTAGCCCCTTCCCCTGCAAACACTCCTCCCGCAACACCCTCTGGCCCTCCTCCCCCCTGAACGACGTACACACCAGATCAATCGTACTCGACAAATGATGCGCCCTAGCCGACGTTGCAATGGCGGAGCGCGCATACAGAAATTCCGTCAGAGACGGCGTTCGCGTGAGCGAGAGATCCAGCGCGAAGTCCTCAGCGGCGAATATCAAGCCGTCGAGGTAGGGCGACGCGCGGCATATCTCGTTCAGATTCGTGATTGCCTCTGCGGATTCTATCAATGCTAGGATCTTAAGCGGGTTCTCCTTGGGTTCGGGGAGCGTGTGTCGGATGATGTCGGTTATGAAGTGCAGGTCTGAGGCTTTGTTTACCTTTGGCACAACGATGGCGTCAAGGTGCTTTGCGCGCAGGATGGTGGTTAGGTCTTCAAGGGCTAGGCCCGAGGAGACGGCGTTGATGCGCACGGAGAGCTCGGTGATGTGGGGGGGCCGGGGGGAGGAAGAAAGGAAGGAGAGGAGTCTGGTGCGAGCGTTGGGCTTTTGGGCGGGGGAGACGCTGTCTTCTAGGTCGTAGGATATGGTGTCTACGGTTAGGGAGCGGGATTTCTCGAGGAATTTGGGGGAGGAGGATGGGACTGTGGGGAGGGAGATGGGATGTTAGTTGTTGTGTTGTGTTTTGTAGGGGAGTAGTGAGGGGGAGGGGGAGAGGGGAAGTTAGGGAAATACCGTAGAGGAGAGCTCGTCTGAGGATGGAAGAAGATGCAGTGGTTGACATTTTGGATCAATCGGGATATGAAAGAGCTCTAGATGTCAAAATGACCATATTTTGTAAAGAAAGCAATGTATAGGTCCCTACTTGTATCAAACCCTCCATCTCATATCAACAATGACATTAATGTCGCCAGCCGGCGGGTGTTGGTTGAAGCTCGGCAGATCTCACAGGGGTTCTCCCTCTGTCTTGGCCGTGGCGTGGATCTCTGGCGTGGATCGCTAGCGTGGACAGGGGTAATTCTACGGTAGGAATTGACAGCTTGACGGATTTCACAGTTGCAGTACGCGGCGGCAGCGACACGACACATCGACAGTTTTCCATCTTCCGCATATATCACATCCCACCATGGAACAGAACCAGCCCGAGGGCTCTTTGAGCTGGAGACTCAGCTCGCATCCCATTACACTGTTGTGGTTCTTGGCCTTCAGAATATGTATGTGAGCTTGGATTTAAACCAGCTGCGTGTCCCCAGCGAAACTTGCTAATAATGTCTACCCGCCAGCATCTCTATTGGTCTATCTATTCGGGGGGATTCTCTTCACGGCTAATCAGTAAGTCTTCCTGATCTAATACATTAAATCCTATGCTACGGTTTGCTGTACAAACTGCTAATACCTTGCAGCGTCCTCATCTTCATCATCACCATCCTCCTCCTCGCAGCCGATTTCTACTACCTCAAGAACATTGCCGGCCGCCGTCTCGTAGGCTTAAGATGGTGGAACGAAGTAAATCCCCAGACGGGGGATTCGCACTGGGTATTCGAGAGCTCTGATCCCTCGACCAAAGTCATCAACGCGACAGATAAACGTTTCTTCTGGATGGCACTCTATTCGCAGCCGCTGCTCTGGGTCGCATTGGCTGTTGTGGCTATATTCAGATTCGAAGTCATCTGGTTAACGCTCGTTGGTACGTATATATTATATCATATTCCAAAACGGACTACTGGATGGAGGGAGTGAGGGAACACATGAAATTTACTGTACTGATACGATGGACAATACAGTTATTGCTCTTAGTCTGACGGTCACGAATACGCTTGCATTCTCGAGATGCGATAAGTTTGGGCAGGCGTCGAATATTGCCGGCAGTGCGTGGTCTTCTGGAGGGCTTGCGGGAAATGTAGCTACGGGCTTGGTTGGGCGGATGTTCTCTCGGGGTTGAGCGGGTACTTTGTAGATGGGTGACTGGGGAAAGGTGGGCATGGGCGAAGGAAGTGTATGATACCATCTTGATTTGGCGTGAATGGAGCCAAAAGTTTTACTGCAGTCGGGAATTTCAAACAGATGTAATAACGTTGGTCGGAATTTGTTTGAATTTGTTGCTGTTGGAGGCGCGCTGTTAAGTTACATGGTTTCGCAGAAGTCTGTCTGTTATGAGGGATGAATGTCCACGTATGTAAGGAGTGATTGATTGAGTGGCTCAGTTTTATGGCGTTTTCAGGCAGCCCGAAGAAGCAGGGTCTAGAGATGGGGAGCAAGCATTGCCTACATGGTTGTAAGGTCTTTTATAAGATCCTTCACAACGAAGTTGAAGTTTTGAAGAAATGCTAAATTACTTGAAGCTAGTCTTTTCCCACGTTGTCTGTCCCTCTTTTCTTTCCTTCTTCCAAGCAAAGGGGGTAGGTACGTAACTTTCTTACCATTTGCTTGCACACGCCGGCGGCGGCGCGGGTGATCTTTACATCTTTCTCTGTTGAATCTTGAACTCTACGCTTTACGTTGTGAAAATTTCCCATCTTACGGCCCTGGCAGTTAAGCTAACAGCGTTTCAAGATCCGCTTTGACACGTGTAGTAGGATTAAGATAATAAGCGCGCTGTGATGATAATTCCAGAAATCATCACAAGAGACTCCATTATGGCTCGGAATATGTATGCATTGTTTGAGTACTAGAAGTACTTACTTCCCAGCATTGCCCCGCATAGCCTGAGTATACACCCTACCAACATCCGCCGCCGACCCATCCAGCCCCTCCGTTTCCTTTCCAAGCGCGAATCTCTTTCTAGTTCTCCCGCCCTTGATACGATGCCACGGAGAGCCGAGAGGGCCACATACAAGATCCGGCACATCACATTTCGTTGGAAGAGCATGGCCGGTTAGGAGGCAGTCTCTCGGGTGATCTCGGTGTGTTCTTGTGTTGTGAGGTGGGGTTTCGGCTTCCGTCCGGTTGATCACAGAGTTGGGTTGAGTTTTTAGTCGAGAGGATTGAGAAAGATTTGAGAATGAATCCTGCAGCGTGATTTGATCTACAACACAATATATCCTAGCGCAAGAGTGAGGAAGGCGCCGCTTAGTAAATCATGTGTTCAGGAACCCGGTCCCCGTGTAGGCCAATACCACCTCGAGTATATCCTCGCTGCAGGTACTCAAGTGCTTTGCAGGTACACAAGGGAAGCACTTGCGCCTTGGAATCCTTGAAGTCGCTCTTGAAAAAGGCATTGGAGTACTCCGTATAGTGAGTAGTGACAGACAAGGGTTTTGGATAGGTGATAGGGTCTCTTTTTCTCACCGACGAGGATTGTGACTTCAGGCTACGGAAGGAGTCGAACACCCTAGCACCAGTAAGCTTTCGTACAATCAATTTCCCGGTGTATGTTGGCATATTCGACAATTTATTTTGGGGATAAGTCACACAGGAAGTCGATATGACTTTGCTTACTTCCCGTTCACGCCTGCTTCGCACTTGCGCTGTAGTTTTCCTCATAAATACTGCTCGAGGCTTCAGACAATTTTCTGGCTTCTGTCTCGGTTTGTGGGAAATGTCAGATTTTCCGGATTTCCGATGTGATTGATTGGTGCGAACTCGAAGCAGCGAAAGGCTTTTTTTGTACCAAAGTCTGAAAGGATGCGGGAGCCTCTGGGGCCGTGTGAAACATGTATACTTTTGATAAAGGTTTTCATGTCATGCTTCCCGTGTCCATGGATGGAACGCTCTCTGGGATCAGAATATGCGGTTTCAACTACCACGTTTTCCAATCCTAGGAAAACGAAAACTTCAGAGTATCATGGCGAACAGATGAGAATAAAAGTTGATGGAAAGAAGGCAAATGAAAACTCCGTAGTTATGACTTTCAAGCATCCAAATCGACCCAAATTAGTTATGATTCTCAGGAACAGCCAGCAGTTGCATCACCCACCGCCGAGAGCTTGCCATTTTTGGGCGACCTTTGTTTCTAGATCCAGGACCTCGAGTTTGTCTAAATTTTGCTGGCATCTGTATTCCGCTCTGCCAGATTCCTATCCGCGGGAACAGCAAGAGCAACATGATGAGAAAGAGCCACAAGACCATTCCCTTCATCCAGGATTACAATCTCAAGATCCATCCTCCCGTTTTTGATCGCCTTGGCTTCTACCCTCACAAGAAGCCACTCAACGCCTTCGTCCGGCAGGACCTTCTTGACGTCTAAATTCAACAGCAAAGTGGGATACCACATTGTTCCCGACTTCTTCATCTTCCCGCCGTTGCTATTAGCATCAGAAGCATTCTGCTCGCGCATGAAAGCCTCGACTGGCATAGGCCACATATCAGCCACATATCCAAGACTACTGTTCGTCCATTTCTCTCCGCTCCTCAGTCTAATCCATTCATCTGCTTTGTTCCTTTCTTTCTGCCCGTCTCTCGGCAGAAAGAAGTCTGTTTTCGCCGTTGCCTTACGGAAAGCCGCAAAGGGCATTTCGGGTTGCAAGCACCAGTTTTCATCCCTGTTTTCCGAGAGACGTGTAAGAGAGACTGGTAATGGCGCCGGGTTTAGACTCCAGGAAGTTGGAAATGTGACGCCAGTCTCGGTGAGTATGTTGGAATTGGTGATTACGCCTAGCACCTCTTCACGGCCAGCTTGAGATAAGGTAAGGTGGACAACGGAGGCTTGGCGACCTAGCTTTGTGTCTTTGACTGTGAAGTGTGCCTCCCCGACTTGTGTTCGCCGGAGGAAGTCTAAGTGTAGAGCTATGGTGTGGGGTTGATTCTGCTTGGAAAGGGTGGTGTTGAAGTGTGTAGCCACAACTTGCATGAAGATACTTGTTACATATCCTCCATGAGGCACTGAAATATTTTAGTTGGGGTATGTGTATTCTGAGAGAATATCCAAACCTGAACCAATGCACCAATCATCGTGAAACCAGGCACTATATTTATGAGTTGACAAGGCTTTCACAGCTGTAGCGTCTCCAAAAGTCGTCGTTTTGCGTCCCGAAGCCATCTTAGACCCCGTTTTTGTATACAGTATTGAGACTTTGTTGTCACGAGAAGGAATACCCGAAGTTCAATTAGACTAGTCTCTCTCTCATGTTGTTGAGCGATGAATATGTAGGTATAGGTAGGAATTGGATGTAGCAAAGGTATCACTTTTTAGCTGGGATAGCTTCGGCAAGCCTGGACAGAAAAGCAGCATCAATGTTGCATGTTTCAGGTGCAGTGGCACATTAAAAAACGGCCATAATGAGTGCCGCTTTGTGTATGCATCACAAGCAGGGCCACCTTTCCCTCCTCACCGAGGCTATTTCGATTGTCTGTGTCCCGTGGGCCGTGTTGGCCATTGCGCGGCAAACCATCGGGATGCATGAACTCAGCTGAGGCCCAAGGGTCAGTAGTACCGTACCGTACCGTAGTAGGACAAGCTCAAGCCAAAGCCAAGCTTAGAATATTTATAGCAGTGGCAAACTGTACTGTACTGTATGTAAGATTACAAGTACCTACCCCGGATTTGTCTTGGCTTAGGGCAAGTTGGGGGGGGGTA